TAACCAGGGCTCAGATCTGGTTGCATTTCCTTTTTCTTCTTCTTCCTTCTTCTTCCAAAACCCCCCCCTCCTCCCACCTTCTCTCTCTCTCTCTCTCCTTTTACTGGTACGATCCACTGACTTGACTTGACTGGACTGACTGTGTTTCCTCTGCGTCATTTACACAGGCACCTCCTTCTCTCCCCAACAGCTGGTTGCAGATAGTGTAGAGCAGCCTTTGCTCTCACCTGGGTAAAACAGCTGGATGATCTCAATCTCAACCCCCACCCCCACCCCCACCCTCCCCTCTCACCCACCCACCCCGCTTCAAGCACGCGATTATTGCTGGACGTTTAAAGGCGAGCGAGCGAGCGAACGAACGAGGAGTGAGGGGTGGGGAGCGAGGGGAGCCTATTTGATACCTCTTTATCTCTCGCCGCCTCCCCACTTCGTTTGTACCCGGTTCGGGAAGATCAGCGGATTTGAACGGCGAGTTCCGCGCGGGCTGGCGGAGGTGGTGGCAGCCCGGCTTCAGTTGGCGGCGCTCTCGCCTCTTCTCGAGTCGTGAAGGTTGCGGGTTCGAGCCCCGAGCAAGTCGGGACTTTCAGCTCACAGACCACACCGGGGAGAGGAGTGCTGCACTGTCAGAGGTGGCGGCCTTCGGATTATATATTAAACCAAGGTCCCGTTCGGGTTAAAGATACCATGACATGATTTCAAAAGGGAGAGGCCTTTATCCTGAGTGTTCCCAGCGACTTCCGTCTTTGTTTTCAGATAAAATTGGTCATTCGCTTCACTGCTGTGTGTGGGTCTTTGCTTTGCACAAATTGACTGCCGCTTTCATCTCACTATATCAAATGAAAGATTATTAATTGTCTTGCACACGACGTGGTTCACAAAGCGCATTTAATATGGAGAGCAGAAGGCTTTTTAAGACAGATTGACATAATGTAAAGAAGGGAAGGAGGGAATCATTCTGATAAATTTGGAACACATTTAGGTGTTCAGAAACTGCAAATTTCTCTTGGAACTGTACTCGCTGCAGCTGCAAATCGTCAACTGAATTGGAGGAGCCAAGGTCTTTGAGATAGGAATGAAGAGGTTTGAGACGAGCCAGAGTTATCAGCGCTCTTCGATCTGAGTGGAAACGATTTCTCTTTGATATCTCATTTTTATATCAAACGATGCCTGAGTGTGTTTTTTAAATCTGGCTTCACCCTGGGATGATGCATGCATATTCATACACGCAGAAATCTTATTAATTGAATTATTATTCAATGCATCAAGATCGCTTACTTTCAAACTTCTGTTCGAGCCACAGGAAAATAAATAATTCAGCCACTTGCTCAGCAGTGATTCATTGTTTAGTGGGAGTACAAGAATCAGGAACGTGGAATTCCAAGTTTCTTCACACAAAAGTCATGCTTTTGATTTCAGCAGCTGTTGCAAACTAGTTGACAATATTGACTAAATATACCTCAAAATAGCAGATTATGTGACCAAATATTCAGAAGGTAATCTGGTTAACCTACTGTAAGAAAGCATCGAAGGCAAACAAAAATCTTGGAAATCTTATTAGTTGTTAATGACAAAGGAAACCAATATCAGTATTACTTTATGAATAAAGTCATTTAAGGTTTACTTAAGGGTATCTTAGATTTAAGTAAACCTTAAATAAAAGCATTTACCCAGATGAATGCTTCAAAGTTACATTTTGCAAATCCTGTTACACAAACTATCTCAGTCAAGATATTGATCATTTATCGATTTATGGAAATTTATGGAACAGCAGAAGAAATGCTTATAAATAATAATAATAATCCTTACTTTTGATGCAACGCTTTTCACATCTTCGAGACGTCTCAAAGCGCTTCACAGAATATACTGTAAAGTGAATTGACTGTATATTTGTGGGCAAAACATGGCAACAAATTGCGCACAGCAGTGTCCCACAAATAATCATGGATTGAAGTGACCAATTTTTTTTGTTTTGTTCAGTTAGAACATATAGCTCTCCAAGGGTGTGGACTATAGCTTTCTAATCTGTTCCTTGACAAACTCTGCTGTTTGAACTTAAAAATGCTCATTCGGAAATAACTATCCCTCAGTAAGTAAGAAACAATTGTCTAGAGTCTAATTTTGTTTGCACTGCCCAAATAATTAGCTTCTAAGCTTGTAACATGACGGTTTTTAACATTAATATTAATTTCTTATTTTAAATGGCTCTCTCTCTGGATAGTGCCAATGTCATTCAGAATAAGGATTAGTAGCCTGAACCAGATAGATCCAGTGTCTGCTTTCACAAAGTAGCATTAATGAATGGATAATTAGTAATAGTAATTCTAGCATTTGATATAATGCTTTTTCACCTCATTGTGACGTTGCAAAGAGTTTCACAGAATATATTGTGAAGTGAATTGTCTGTGTATTCTTCTGGGCAAAGCGTGGCAGCCAATTGTGCACAGCAGTGTCCCCTAGTGTTTTCACCCTACATGCTTTAACATCCACTTAATGACAGGCTGATAAGACTTTGATTTAACCTCCTATCCAAAGAACACCAACTCTGATGACAAAAAACTCCAATCATTGCACTAGAATATCAGCCTAGACTGAGACTGAAAGAAAAGGTTTGGGAACAATGCATTGCCTGATTACTTAAGTGGTCCAACCGGAGGGAGGATAAAAAGGGCAATTTAAAGCATTAGCTTGTAATAACCATAAGGATTTTATTTCGTTAAAACACTCTGAATATTTCCATTGAAATCAGATCTACGTCTGTTCATGGGGAAAGCTTTCACAGATTAATCAAGAATGAGCACTTGAATGAGGAATCAAAGAGATTCTGTCACGTCAGGTTACACACAATGGTGACACACCATTGTTAGAACTTTAAAAACAGTCGCAATTAATCCACAATTCAAGACTTAACCACTTTAGATAACAAACATATTGTTCAAAGCTAGTTTCTATTAAAAATCCATTCAAAATTCTCACTTTAGGTATTCGTAATTCTAAGCTATTTTTATTACAACCATTTCACTATGGTTCAGAAACTGACTGGTGTTCAATAAAACTTGGATGAAGCTTATTTTTCTTGGTCAAGTTGCTTAGGATTGGGATTTTTGTGCCCTTCTGATAATGGTCCTCATGGCCAGGTGGTTTGGGCACTCAAACAAGAACAGTCTGAGGATCACTTAAAACCTCCACAAATCAATACAAATCTGAGAGCCAAATTTTCCGCATTGAAAGCAACACCAACAATTTCTCATACAACTAGGCAAAAGGCATCATTGTAAAAAGGAATCTGTCCTCTTCACTTGCAATCAAGTTGAACAGGAAGAAACACTCATACACGTATTCATAACCATCCAGGCTTGACCATGCTTGTAGGCCTCCCCCACTCCTCTCTCCATAGGCTGCAGATCATCCAGAACTCTGCAGCCCATGTCCTCTCTTGCACCAGACTCCATAACCCTATCACGCCCATCCTCGCCTGACTCCACTGACTTCCCATTACACAGAAGATACAGTTCCAAGATCCTGGTCCTCACCTTTAAAGCCCTCCAATGACTTTGCTCCTCCCCTACCTTTGCGACCTCCTAACTCCCTACCAACCTGCCCACTCCGTCCGTTCAGCGGGCTCTGGCCTGCTTCATGGCCCCCGCCTCGCCTGCCCCACTATTGGTGGGCAGGCCTTCTGCCACTCTGCCCCCACCCTCTGGAACTTCATTCCACAGTCCCTTCGCCTCATCCCCTCCCTTGCCACCTTCAAGACCCAGCTCAAAACCCTCCTCTTCAACCGTGCCTTCGATCACCCTGCTTCTCCCACTCTCCATCCTCCCCAATCCCACCCCCCAGCTCAGGTCCAAGGCACTGTCCAGCGCCTTGGGATGACCTCCCGACGTGAAGGGCGCTGTACAAATGTAATTTTGTTGTTGTTGTGGATCAGCATCCATAAGAAATTCAAGAACCCAATTCTCAATTGGATCACGAATAGTACAAACTGCTTTCTCCACATATCTTTGAACTTCAGTTTTGATCATCACTGATGAATATAATGTTTAATGAAAATGGTTAAATAATAATAATCCTTGCATTTGATACAGCACCTTTCACATCAGGATGTCGCAAAAGCTTTACACAAGTTTTACTGTAAAGTGGAGTGACTGTATTTTGTAGCCAAACACAACATCAATTTGTACACAGCACTGGCCCACAAACAGCTTTGAAGTGAATCATAATTTCTTTCTGAGGGACTGTTGGCCAGGACATTCACAGCTTCTGTTGGTCTGCAGATCAGCATTCAAGGACCACAGACGTTTTTCTGTAAAGCCTTTCAGCTGTCAATATCCCACGATTCACAAGCGAAAAATTCAGAGTATGGATGTTATTAAATTCTGCACATTGAGGACTGATAAAGAAATACAATCAATATAACAGGTTCACATGCAAACACCTCAGCAACCCACAGTTTTAGTGTAAGACACATATTGATGTCCAGTAACAGCCTTGGGAGGGATGTTTTTATTGTTCCAGAAAGCACATCATGTTAGCTTTCCAAAAGATAACAATGTCAACACTATTAGATTTGAACCGCGAGTCTTCATTGAGTCCCAGCTGCAATTTTCTGCAACTACCTCAATCCCAGAGGTGGACAAAATGTGTTCTGAATATTCAGTCCAACTTACAGGACCACATTTCCCAGTTATAAATTGTGTGCACAAATCTCACCTTGTATTATAATATTAGTATATAATATTGTTATTATTATATTAGTATTATAATATCAGTATCATAATAATCCTTTCATTCGATATAACGTCTCAAAGACGTGATAAGGGATCAATGCTGAGAGCACCCAACACTGCTCGGACTATGACTACCTACACCTCAGTCTTCTAAATTCAATCTTGCTGTAGTTCTGTATACTGGTATATGCATTGCTATATGGTAGAATGTGTACACAGCTATCCCGTATCATACACACTGACATCAAACTTTTTCAACATTTACAATGCGGATTAACAATTTTCAGAATATTTTAATCATCTCTGCAATAGAGAAAATACACAAGGTTAAATCAATAAAATATATACAAATCCAATGACAAAAGCTAAATGTTAGCCGTTAAACAACTTCTTAATTAACAATGACAACCACACTGTACAATCCAATTTTGAACCATGGGAACTTCATACAAAACAATGTTTATTTATAATTTTATGAGCCATATCAATATTTCCACTGCTCTGATAAATCAGAGATAGATTGTAAGCAATGTCCCGCCTTAGATCCACCTGATCTTCTTCGATTCCCTGCAAAAAGAAAATATTTCTTTAAAATCAGCATTAATTCAAACCTTTTGACTTTTTACAGAGAATCTATGTACAGAATTCAGAAGATGGAAGTATTCAAAATGTGCGTCTGACAAACAAAATCTCAAGTTCCTTGTGTTACCCTGTGATGTTGATCCAGCACACTGCACTGTGCGCAGAGTACCAGTTCATGTCTGTAATTCCCGTCAGCCTCCTCCACTACACCATCTAGCAGTCAGCTTAAACATAGCAACAGCTGGGACATGGGAGCATGATGTCTGCCATTTATCTACCCAGAAAACTGTGCGTGGCCTAAATGGAGCAGTAATAGCTATTTTACGATCAATCCTGTTCATTAACGTTTTGTGTGAGAAAAGACGGCAATGAAATTGGATATTTAGATTTCCAGCAAATTATGTACCTCCAATTTAACAGGTGGGAGTTCCAGTGCCTTTTCATAATAATGAATTGCAAAATGCACCAGCCCCAGTTGATGTAATGCACGCCCTATGTTATAGTAGACTTCTTGGCAAGGTCCCCGAAGTTCCAGATAGCGGGTGAGGAAAGAGAATCCCTAGAGAGAAAGAATATAGATGTAAATTAAAGCAACCTAAAAATTTAGATCACGATCACAGCTAAGCACGATCACGTACGTCCTCATCCACATACTTTCAAGCAGAATAGCAATCCAATCGCAATCAGAATAACTCGCTGATTCCTCCTCCAATGTGATGAGGCCATAGCTGCCCAGCTGCTTCTCGACCAAAATGAACAAACTTAGCTCAGACCAGGACTATAAACCAGCAATCTTCTAGTGTATAGTACTGCACTGAGCAATAACTTCATCCACCAAATTGTCACAATGCTTAGGTATGGAAACAGGATGTATCTTACTCTCTCCTTGACTCCCAGTATATTACTTACTGCTTTTTACTCTAATTGGGTGTTATGGGTGTATGCAGTCGAGAGCCAAGGCCTGTTTACATGCCAAGCCTTACAGATGCAGTGAATACACAAAGATCAAAGGCAACTGAACCCTGAGGTTTCATTCAATGGGAAATAAGATGCAAAAGTAAAGGACTCTATTGTCAGCTTCCAATCATTTCCAATCATTATCTTTAGGTTTTCCTTGAGACTAGACTTCGCACCATAAAACTAAAACTGAACGACCTTGACAAACCTGCACCAGAAGGGGATGCCTTTTTAAAACAAACTTCTGAGATGCCATGTGGATAAAAGTAAGGCCGACACAAAGACTGTGGAGAGGTTCATTCGGCTGAGCTCTGAAAGCCTGAACGTATTGACCTGAAATTTAAAATCAGAAGGGATGAGGTAATATTTATTATAGTTAAAAAAATATGCAATAGATGTCTAATCCTCCAAAGCGCTTTCACGAATAAAAGACATTCACGAATAGCAATACATTTCCTCACCTGCTCCGCTATCAAACAAATGTCCCAACAGAAAATGTACACCACTTCCACCTCACTACCAACAATGTTCAGTCATCCTTCATCATTTAGTGGCCAAATTATTACAATCACATGTGGTAATACTTTTTAATGCAATTATACAGTTCATAATACTTTGCCAAAATACGTCAACACACAATAAAAAAAATTAAACCAACCAAAGAACGACACTGAGCTAGTCTCGTTGAGAGGTTTGTAACCTGAACGAGCTCGAGTTTATAAACCATTTTCAGGACCCGAGGTCAGAGATCGCAAGCTCAGAATCAGTCCAGCTTCTGCATTAGTGTTTCACATGATACAGAATACGTTATAAAATAGGTTGGCACTGATTACCTAAGGCATGCTTGAAACTTCCAGCCACAAAGGCATTGTGGCCATTGAGAACACAGAGTGCGTGATTGTCTGGGTGTTTCAGCATTAGGCGCAGGCAGAAACGATGGTGTCTCAAATCCTGTGAGTGCATGGTGACCTGGTTGAAGATATTCCACAGCTGAGGTCTGTTCACGTTTTCCATCACCATGACCCTTGAAAGAAAAGAGAAAGGAAATCGATTACTCTGGGGCAAGACAAAAACGATAGGTGTTTTGGGCCTTTTTTTTGTCAAGGAAAATCCCTTCCTGCAAGCACAGCCTCATGCTGGGGTGCAGATCCACAGGCATTGATTTGTACTGTAGAAGCTTTCCTAAGCATATGGGACCCAATGCAGTGAGTGCTAAAAAAAAATGCAACAATAGAAGGGTGGTGGGGAGTGGGGGGGGGAGAGAAGACATCACAGCTGTCCCAATCCAGTCCTTAATTGAGGTCCAAACATGCCCAGTATACAGCAGGGGTCACTGGATAGTAATCAGGAGCAGGAAACCACACTGACCTTTTTTAACCTCGCTCCTATGTTCTCAGTAAACTGATGCCAATTGATGCACCCCCTACTGCTGAGATTAGCTCACTCAGCACAGACTCTATCTTAAATCTGCAGCCCTCTCTCTGCCTTTCCGTGGCTGTTTCACCCCTAGAAGTGGCTTTACCGATTCTAATTTTACCTTCTATGAATGAATAAATCAAACAGAATCAAGACGTACAAGATGCATACAACAACAAACTTGCGTTTATATAGCACCCTTTAAGTAGGATAACATCTCAAAGTGCGTCACGGGGTTTTATTGCTGTGTAGTGACTGTGCATTTGTAGGCAAACGTCATTAGTCACTGGACGGGGATCACAAATGGTTAGTGTGAAAAATGGCTTCAATGATTACAGATGTAGCTTCTTATTAAACCTTCAGATATTAGGTCACTCAATCCACAACTGTTTGTGGGACACTGCTGTGTGCAATTGGCTGCTGCATTTAGCCCACAAAATATAGTCAATTCACTTTACAGTATATTCTGTGAAGCACTTTGAGACGTCTCAAAGACGTGATATCAAATGCAAGGATATTATTATTAACTTTGGTCAAGTTTAGCTATATATCTGACAACCTCTCATTCTCCGTTAATCAATTCTACATGTGGCTAAACACCCCCGCACAAAAATAAATCAGGGTTTTTCTTATAAATTGGCAGACAAAATCTCACCTGTTGTACATTGAAACACATCACACCATTTGTATCCCTAAAACAAGTTAGAATGAAATGATAACCTGTTACCAGTATTCGAATGCTATCTAAACCTACAATTTAAAGAATTAATTAAGGTTTGCAAGGTTGAGCACAAAGAAACCAAGCCTCTCATATCATAGACTGAAAGAGCCCAATTGAAACCACTACTCTTTTATCTTGTAGAAAGCTGCACGAGTTGGCCCTCTGGTGGATATAGCAATCTCTTTCATTTAATTCATTTCTACAGGATTTCAGCCTCAGAAAGGCCACTGCATCAAGTAATAAGCAGCAACAAAGCTTAAACCAGGGACAGAGAAAGAATGGAGAGACACCGACTCCTGTACAATTCTAGAGCTGCATTAAGCCATACTCCCCGGTAAAATCCCATGGCAATACATTACTCATTTTATTGTACTACCCAGAGTGGAACATCTTGCAGTACCTTTATGTAGAGCTTTACATTTTGGAGATTAGCATTAATATTAAAATCAATTGGTAAGAATTTATCTCTGGGTGTGATCTTTTTCATAATGGAAAATGAGAATTGCTAAGTGGAAATAAATTACAAGTTCAAGAAAAAAACGAATTAAAGCCACATCTAAATAATAAGAGGAAAAAAAGGGAATGCATGTATAATTTGCATTAGAAAAAGATACAGAGGAGCAGCTTTGAAATAATAGCTCCAAATTCCTGTGGAGTCCTGTAGCTCAGTGCTTAGAGCAATTGCCTCACAAGCGAGAGACCTGGGTTCGATTCTTGGGCGGGGCAAAATGTTGGGCAAGTTTCCTTACTCCACACACCTCTGTTTACCTTGCAGTAAGTAGGAACCCGATTGTTAGTCGATTGGCAGATTGCTTTTCCGGGGGCAATAATTCCTTCAAAAAAATAACAATAATTTGGTCACTCAATCCACAACTGTTTGTGGGGACGCTGCTGTGCGCAATTGGCTGCCACATTTTGCCCATGCAAAATATACAGTCACTCCACTTTACAGTATATTCTACGAAGCGCTTTGAAACGTCTCAAAGACATGATAAGGCGTATATCAAATGCAAGGATTATTATTAAAACCAATTACAATGAGATGCCTAACTGAAAGGAGACCTCAAAGGTCTCAAGCGTAGGCCTCACAATGATGCTCAAACAGGCTGCCCCAGTTCACTGCAAAATATCCCAGTTACTTTACACATTGACGTGAATAATTTACATTTAAACCCACAGTTAAGAATGGGCTGAAATGAAGTACCTGATATAATTGTAAGCTTTCCTGAAGTTGCAATCAAGAATAGCAGCAGACAGCCCAAAGTATTCCAATTCTTTTCGCTTCTGCTTATCATCATAAAAGGAGTAATATTCCAAGGAAGAATCAACCAGGAGTTCTGCTTCCATGAAGCGTTCAAGATCACACATGGTATATATGGCTTTCAGCAACAAGTTCCACCAGTCATCCCTATTTAGTACACTTGTTTTTCCTGTTTTAAAAAATAATACAGAAATATTAAATAATTAATACTGGCTTTATAATTGATGGTGTGAAGAAATAAGAAGAAAACGGATTCTTCACATTAAATTAATGTAATAAAGGGATTTCAAATGTGATTGATATTGGCCGACCGGATTCAAGTGGCTAATTGTGACTTCTGCTTTGTTGCAAGATCAGTTGCGAGATTTGCAAAAAGGCACATCACAAATCCTAAACTGGCAAAGTCTAAAAGGCTGGAGCAGAGTCACCAGGAAATGCAGTTCAGTGACAGTTGCAGCTGAACAGCTCAATGACCATTGAACCTTTCAGTGTTGTATCTAAATTGCAGGCAGCAAATCACATTGTGTGATTCTGTACACTAAGATAATAAGCTGAGTTCTGGCACTTGAAGACTTTTCCCTACAATATGAGCTCACATACAGTACTAACATTTGCTTTCTCTGCCAACATGGTTGACATTATCAGCTTGGAACAATAAAATACAATTTGCAGAGAATAGACATAATATGCTGAGGTAGCATAAAGGGTACGGTTACAATGGAAAGATTATCTTAGCATCACTGGTCCAGCAACATGTTGATGTTCATTACAGAAACTCAGTGACAAGCAGCACTGTTCAGTGGGAAGAAGTGGTTTTAAGTCACTGCCTCTGAAAGCCCCACATCAATTGCAAACCTTCTTCTTACCTTTAACATCTAAATATGCAGCTTCCTGGTCATCAATGTCATTATCTTTGTCTCTCAAGTCCTTTACAAGGTACAAGTGCTTCTCCTCACCTTTTATTCTCGAAACCAACGATACTTCAGCTCTACTCATTGCTACCTGAAATCAAACTATTTTTAGGCACAATTTCCTTTGGAAATCAACATAATTCAATCTTTAATATGATGTTATCATATAATAGTCTTCCAGGCCATGCAGGCTTTATTTTTGTACATCACAGTCTCTTGTACACAAGGCACAATGGCAGTATTTTATAGGATATGATTTGAACAACAAAGTGGTTGTGTGTATTATTGTGAATTTTAATATTGTTTTGTACCAAGCCAAGATCTGCAGGCATAGCATGGGTTTCATCTGCAGGTGTGCTCAGAATTACCAAATTTACTTAAACCAAGACATGGCTAAAATCAAACAAAGTAAATGACAAGCTCCTTCCTCTCTTTGATCTTCTCTTTGACCGTGCCTTCAGCTCCCCTCTCGACTCTCTTCCCCCTCCTCGCTCCCTCCCTTCCCTCCCCTCACCCTGACCATTTCCCCCTCCTTGCTCCCTCCCTTCCCTCACCCTGACCATTTCCCCCCTCCTCGCTCCCTCCCTTCCCTCCCCTCACCCTGACCATTTCCCCCCTGCTCGGGTCATGACCCAACTGTGCAGCGCCTTGGGACGTCCTCCTGACGTGAAAGGCGCTTTATAAATGGAATCTTGTTGTTGTTGTTGTTGTTGATCGTAAACCAAATGAAGCAGTTTAACTCCAGCTGTAGGCAAAGGAGCAGAACAAACCCAAGCACAAAGGCTGTGCAAATAGGTAAACAATTCCAGTCAGTGATAATACAGTATCCACACTGCAAACCTTATATTATCAGATAATAAAGAACAGAATTTCTTCTTTGCAAGGAATTCAGCGGTTTTCTACACTAAAGTCCCAGCTCACAAATTTACTTATAACAGTTTGATATACATATATTACATACTCAAACACATATACACATTTTGCTCATTTCCTAGTAAAGCTTCATATAACATGGACTTTCAAACATGTCGACAATTGCACTCAAGCTGACTATTACAGACTCATGGCTCAGACCTACTGCTAACCTGAATGGATCCAGTATACATATGACCCTTGCAACAGATGATAGTTGGGGATATGCTTTGCACTGACATTGAACCTTGAATTGTGTTTGCTTTCTGATTGACAGTGAGTTTACCCTGTGAAAGAAGAACTTAATAACTTACCTTTAGAAGCATTGTGAGCATTGCAAGTAAAGCATCCACGTAATCATGCAGTTTTCTTTGAGAATACAATAGAGTAGAACGATGTAGCAGCAGCTTCAGCTCCTGCAAAGGACCACAGATTTTTACCACCTGACAAATTGATGCATTTATGTGAAAAGAGAACAAAAAACATGGACAACCCAATTTCTCCACCAAAACTATTGGCCCCAAATGGTTTATTTGTAACTCTCTATAATATTTTGGTTTGTTATTTGTTGCAAAATAAGTTACTACAATACTCTCCCTTATTCTTATCTTCTTGTCATATCTTGTTTCTTTCTCCCAAGTCCTTTCTTCTCCCCACTTCCTTACACAGTGAATTCCAAACCACATTCCACTTCATTCACCAGTCCTTTTAAAAACGACTTAACTCATCCACTGTGGCGGCTTTTATTGTCATAGATTTCATAACTTGACCCAGTTAGTCACTTAACTGATTGTACTGGGCTCCAGTTTGTTTTTAATAAAAACAATTCAGCTCCTTTCCCTGCAATTTCCAAAAATCCTTCTTTTAGTTTCCTTTAAGTTAACGAGAAGCAAATATGTTTAACACTAAAATCACACAGGAAACTACAAGGCAGGCAGATTGTCATGAAGGACAGAAGGAATGCCCGTTCTTCACTTTGAAAATCCATTTAAAGTAATTACATACAAGTGATAACTATTTGTACTGAAAACTTGTTTATGTGTGAGTATAGTGCTGTGCTCAAAACTGTTACCGCATTGGCATTAAACAATCATTTATTTAATCTGCTGGTATGCCAGACATGCTCATACCCAAGACGTTGTCATGAATAGATTTAATGACATTATAAAACAAAAGCCTTTGAGTTGCATGTAAAGAAATGGCACAGCCTTGACATTTCCAGGAGTGAATTTGATGCCCTATAGCCACCAGCATGTGTCACAAGTTTCTGATCTCCTTACCTGCTGTGCTGCACTCGCATCATGTGCTAGTGTCTCAGGATCATGCATAGATTCCAGTGCCTCAAGAGCTTTCTCTGGGCGTCCCAGTTGCTGTTGAAGGGTCGAGAGGGAGATGCGAGCATCTAGATGCAAAGGTGCCATTTCAACAACTTTAACATAGCTCTCTGCTGCCAGTTCCATGTGTCCCAGAGCCTTCAGACACTCTAAAGTTACAAGATGAAAGTTACAGTTAAATACCAATGACTTATTCCTTCTCTCAGAATTGCTTCTCACTCTCTTTACCTTCTCCCATTATAAAACACCAGAACATGCTGCACTAATCCTGTACCTTCCCCCCAAAAAGTAGAAGGACATAAATAAAGCAAAGAGGATATGCAAGTGTAAGTATAAGGTTAAGTGTACCATCTAACCATTCAGAAGCATTACGCTGGAAGCAGTCACTACATGCACTAATTGGGAGAGATGCAGACATGCCACAAATTACAAGAAGATATGAGCTGCACATGATGTCTGCTTCACTTTGAAATGGAATTGCACCAAGTTCTGGGAAAATTGTGGTGATGTACCACCCACTTTTCTTCCCCATGTAAGTTTTTCTTACGTTTTGAGCAGATTAATCCAAACATATGGAATTAGATCCGACAGATCTCTATGCCGCATTGCTGAGAAGATTTACGCTGAATTTCTGCTCCGAGTTCCAGTTACCTGCATGTCGAAGCCACACGACTGCCAGGTTGTACCGCTCTGAACACACCAGGGCACTCAAGAGGGGCAATGCCGAGTTATACTCCCCGATATCCAGGAAGGCCTCAGCCACGTCCAAGTAAAGATCTCCCATTTCTTCAGGGTTCTGTTCCATTAAATTGGTCATCAAAAACTATCGATAAAAGAGAATGTACTTGGTTTAACTGCCTGCGTCAAAGTATTAAGGAGCTGTTACAAAATAGTTACAGATGAGGGTGGTGAGTTTGTGGAACTCAATGCATGAAGTGGTGGTTGAATCAGATAGCATAGTATTCAAGAGGAATCTAGACCTTCACATGAGGGCGAGGTGAACAAAAGTATGGGAGGGAGTAAAGAATGGGTGTGGATTATAAAGACTGGCATGGACTGATTGGGTCGAGTGGCCTGTTTCGGTGCTGCACATTCTTTTCAAATCATTTTAGATTGCAGTGTAGATAAATGAAATCGTTTTTTGGGAAAGTGCGTTTTTAAGTAAATAGTATCTTGAATTAAAATCAAACCTGTGGGCTGTTCAAGCTTATTCACATAACATATCTGTCACTGCACTGTGCATCAAACGTAAGACCAAGAGTTCATCAAAAACTCCAGGGAACCAAGCCATTTGGAAAGAAGCTCAATGTTTAAGATTAAAATGTAGTTTGGGCAAACCAACCTGCAATCAACCATGCTTGAGACACTGCTGCACAATATGAACTAAATGCATCAGAATGGTTTGGGTTAAATGTAAATTCATTACTCTTTTCTGTAAAGACTATGGTATAAATCCTGTAATACTTAACAGTAACATTTAAACTAAATTTACTTAATGATAATACATAGACATAAATTTGAGGGTGGGGAGATTTTTATATCTACGCAAAACGCCCACAAGACTACAGTATATACTGTATACTTGATGCTTTGGGGCATCCTCCCGACGTGAAAAGTGCTATACCAAATGTAAGGGTTATTATTATTAAATCACTAACGTCAAAAAGCAAAAGGAGTGATCTCTGCTCAATCTGGGTTGTTATCCAGTTCTTAGTGGACATAAGAATGGGAATAACAGTGATTTAAAACAAGAACTGCAAAATAAAAATGTACAACTTCAAAATAAACTTATGTTCATCATTTGCAGAGCTCTGCTTTACACCACTAACTGAAGTAGAGCTATCTTCGTAAACTGAACAGGCACAGAATCTGCTCCACCATTTTGTTGGACCCTGGCATATCGTTTAATTCCATTTCTCTGCCTGTTCTTCATGTAATTTAATCCTTTTATTTCCCAAGTATCAATCTCATGTTGAGATACCTTCAATCAAATTTGATCTACAGCCTTCTGGGGTAGTATATTCCACATTCTCATAACCCTTTGTTTGAAGAAATGTTTTCTGATCTCACTTCTAACCGGTTTCGCTTTAGCTTGAACACTATGACCCATTGATTTGCATCCCGTCTATCTTGTCAAATGCCTTCAGCATTTTCAATGTGTGGAGAAGATCACCCCCTTAACCTCCTCGGCTCTTGGGAATATAAACCAAAGTTCACCCAGCCTCTTAATCATCACAACCAAATCCCTTCATCTCAGGGATGAATCTGGTGAATTGTTATTGGATGACCTTCAAGGCCAGTATGTTCTTCCAAAGGTTTAATGTTCACACAACGAAACACAATACTCCTAGTGTGATCTGACCAGCACTCTATGCAACTGTTGCAGCAGTTCTTTGCTTCTATATGCTGGACCCCTTGTTGTAAAGCCCAGCATTCCAATAACCTATTTGATTGCTACATTCTGCTTACCATACAGAGCTAATTATATCTCGCAGAGTGAGCCTAGACTTAGTTATAAAGGGAAGTAAACAGCGAGCTGAGTTGAAACATACATCAAGTGGCTGAAGGATGTGAAGATGGATCAGGCACACCATCAACTTGACTCTGATATCAATGGGAACCCCCTCTGGGATCTGACAGTTGTACACAGCTCCTGCAATCAGATTAACACACACACACAGCAATTTCATTTTCACTCAGCATTGTAAAGTACTCAAATGAACTCCAGCAGCATGTCATCCTCGGCTTTCATCTCAGTCCCCCCATGCTTTTTAATGATTATCTCCTCCCATCTCTAGCTTCCCCAGAAGTATGCACCATTTCCAAACCTCTCTCTCCATATATGTTGCTCATTTTGCCCCACTCTCATGTAAAGCACACTGGAACGTAGAATGAATTATAACAAGTTTTATTGCTCTCAAATTTAGACTTATGGAGGGTTTACTGCATTATTTCTAATAGTTAGTGGACAAGAATCAAGCCTTTTGCAAGCACTTACTGAGATTGTTATGTCAGTGTATAGCTTCCATTTTTTTAGCTCGGTAAAGTTAAAACGGTATCTGGATTATTCGCATTTTATTCATTAAAAGAATCGCAGAACAACTTTGTGCCAATTAAACAAAGGTAAACTAATTACCATAAGTAGATACAAGATATTGATTTAACAATGCAATAATGAGTCCATGCACAAAAGATTTATTCTGATGGTGTAAAGTACAATGGGAATATTTAAGGGAAGTGATATAGTTTGAGGATCAGTTTTAAACAATTTACCTGTTGTAGTTTCCTCAGAAGATTCTTGCTTTGGGGAAACTTTTCCAACTACAACTTCACTAAACTTTGTTATAACCTAAAACACAAAAAAGCAACAGAATGCACATTATAAGACAAATACATTATAAGAAAAACACAATAACCAATAATAATACTTCATTTGATATAGCACCTTATCACATTGTTGAGCCGTCTCAAAGTGCTTCACAGAATATCATGTAAAGTGAATTGTCTGTGTATTTTGTAGGTGAATATCCCTTGCGTACATTATGCAGTATGGAGAAGGCTGCAAGATGTTCGAGGGTTAAGAAGGTGTTTAAACTGCTTGAGTTTCTTTCTTGCGGTTTAAGGAATAATCAGTCAGCACCCACTTTTGCAAATCGATCTTCAGGTATTCAAATATTACAGGGAGGTGACCTAAAATTCAGCACACACAGAGAACAGTACTGTAATTCAATCTTGTTCCTTATTCCCACCTTGCCTTACCTCTAATGTTTTATCGTACTGTTTGTTTGACAGATACAGCTCAGCTGCCATGTTCACATCCTCAGCAGAAACCAGGTTCTGATGTTTGCCGAGAGCCTCTTCCATCACACCAATTGCTGACATAATATCATTGGTTTCGTAATAGCTCCTGCAGAAAGTACATTGATTACGATTCAGAATTATTTAGAAACCAATATCTTAACTCCTAATAGGCATGAAATTGCACAGTCTTAGCCTTTAAGACCATTTTGTCTTCAAATTTAAGATCATGCAGGACTGTGGAGAAAATTTTAATTCAGGCTTAATTTGGAAACTGGCTCATTTTAGGAATTGCTGCAAACTGGCTTCCGAATCAAATCAGAATTTTAAAACATTTCACAACGGCGATCTTAAATTTGAAGACAAAAAACTGGGTGAAATTTAAAGAAAATAATCTGTTTCTCTAATAAGTAAACTAAAACATTTCTGTTCTTATTTTCCAAATAGAATTGATACAATTTAAGGAATTACTCAGATCTATACTCTTATTGGTACCTTTTATTCCTTCCTAAAGTTGTTGACAAAAACAGTCTGGAAATAGACATTGTCTGTACCATTTCCTCACTAAATAGGAAAGCTAAATAGGAAACCCTGACCACTGTCCCAGTCATGATTCTAGTGCAGAGGAGATACTCTACACAGGAGAGTTATTGACAAGTGGTTTGTTGGGATAAATGTAAGAGCAAAGAGAAACTCACCAGTAAGTGTACAATAATCATGTCACCGTTTGGGATTATAAAGCAAATCAGAATAATCCTCCTCCTATAACCTGTTAGGCATGTTTATATGATAGGTTTAAAAATAAACTAAGAAATAGTTTTAGGATGTTTATTTGAGTAAGATGAAATTTGGTCATATTTTTTCACCTTTGTCTAATATTCCACATTTATAGGATTTTAGATTTTAGACATAGCTGATCTAAATTCTTCTACAACTCTCTTTACAGCAATGTGGCAATCATAACAATGACACTGACGCAGCTTTTGTTAATTATCTTTTTAACCATTTTTAATGATTTTCAAATCCGCCGATCTCCCAAAGTGAAGAGCAAAGGCAATCAACAGTATGGTAACTATTTCAGGTTTATGTTACTTACTTTGCCATGTCTCTTGCCAGCTGCATGAAGTGCTCCCCATCAGTAGGTGGCAGAAGGTTAAGGATGCGCCTGTATCCATCCATAGCTAGCTTGTGTTCACTCAACTGTTCATAGAGGCTGCAACGCTCCCACAGGTAACGTACATTTGTGGAGTCATACTTTATGGCTACATATTAAAAATGAAATTAAAATCATCCTGGCGTAGAAGTTTCAGAAAAACACTTTCCAAACAACCTTTCATTTTCACACAATTGTTGAAGTAAAAGGCACGTAAAAATAATAATCCTGGCATTTGATGTAGCGCCTTATCACGTCTTCGAGATGTCTCAAAGCGCTTCACAGATTATACTGTAAAGTGAAATGCCTCTATATTTTCATGGGCGAAAAGCGGCAGCCAATTGCGCACAGCATTGTCCCACAAACAGTCGCGGATTGAGTGACCAATATTATTCTATTTTTAGAGAATTATTACCCTTGGAATGTGATCCAAAACGCAAATGGAAATTATTAAGTGCCAACATATTTTGATCCGCACAGTCTATTTGTCTTGCATGTACTTTTATCAGGAATTTCACAACTTGATACAATCCAGTTAGAGAAATAAATCCTGCTGTTGTATTTCAAATACAAATTCCAAATTCCACATTTTATTTAACGGTCAATTTTTCTTGGGGAAGTTTCCCCTTCTTTCACAATGTAAAACGTATCCCAGAGGGCTGAGTAAAGAGCTTCAGCTTTTGTACCATTTCATTTCCGTAAGGAAATGACAACTTACAGCATTAAAAAGATGCCATCCAACACATGGCAATTATTCTGTTCCAGGAATCCAGGCCAAGCAATGATCTTCTTTGCATTTAATAAAAGCAAATACTTCAGCAGAGGCTTGAGACTGGGAGATTGAATGTGATTGATATTGACCTTGGAGCTTAAGACTAATCTTTTGATTGAAATTAGACGTCAGAAAAATGATTGAAGGGTCTGCCTGAAGGATTCAGCAGCTTAAGTGCATTGTCGACCAAACAAAAGTGATTTCTCAAACACTGGAGAAGATGTCAATATCTGGAATCATTTGATTAATAACCCTCAATACTGAAGTAGAAACACACTGATTAAACCAATCCAGCTCCCCTCACTATCGAGGATTCTTTAATAGTCAAGAATTATCACTGCTAACCCATCACTGGAATTTTGAAAATTGTATATAAATCTCTATTTTTCTAAACCTCCCATTAACAGCATTTTACAAGCAGTGAGTGGCCCATCACCTACCTTGAAGTTCTTCCTAATATTTCTTCCCTGGATCCACTCTCTGCTACCCTATAGGAGGTCCCCAAGCCAACACTTTCAGGTCTGATTTAACCTACTGCTCTCAGTCATAATCTACTTGCCCTGCTGTGACGTGTGTTTTATAAAGTAAACTGAAATGCTTATAGACGGTTTACAGCAGTAGCAGCAGCCTCTAGCTTCCATTCAATGAGACAAGAAAAAAATGTATCCCACCTTTTGAATAGCAGAAAATCGCCTGTTTGATATTATCCTGTTCAAGGGACATTTCTGCCAATTTCACCCATTCTTCTGGATCGCTGGGATTCAGATGAGCTGCAATAAGTCCAAATTGCAGCGATTTCTCCATGTCTCCTTGATCCTCATAGATCATAGCAAGAGTCGAAAAGGGCTCATAGGCAAGTGGAGCTAGGAGAATAAAAGAAGATTTTATATTTACACCACAAATGAGAATATTTTATCAATAGAAATTATGAGCAGCTCTTTCACTATTAACACTGCCTTTACGCCAATGCAATGAGCCTGATATCAGTTAATTCTTGATAACACAAAATATTCGCAATATTAAAGATAGCAGACTTAAACAATAAGTATTGTTAAATAATTGTTGCTGGTGTACCTGTGAAAAGATAAAATGAATGAATGAAAGAATGAATGAAAGAATGAAGCAAAATAAAAAAACGATACGTGAGTCACAGAAAGCCTTTCAAATAACTTGACAGCTCAATTCCAATTATCATCCTGTTTTTGCAGTTGTCTCAATGAAAGATATCAATTTTATTCGTAAAATATGTTCAATCTTCATATGTTAATCACAGACAAGTCCTCCGTTACCTTGCTTGGCGATTTAAATTGCACCTTAGACACTGGGAGGACGCCTCAAACAGTTTCTCAGGATTTTACAGTAAAGGGTAGTGATTGTATATTTTGTAGGCGAATGCAGCAGTCAATTTCGTGCCCAGTAGTGTCCCACAAACAGTCAATGAAGTGAATGACTACCAACACCACCAAGATTATATTTGTATAGTACAGCATTTCAGACCCGAGCTGGGGTTGGAGGGGTGAGGGGGGTGACCGATGGCATGGTTGAAGAGGAGGGTCTTAGGCGGGACTTGGAGGATAAGGAGGGGGCGAGGCGGAGTGACTGGGGGGCGGAATTCCAGAGGTTGGGGGCAGAATGGCTGAAGGGTCTCCTGCCAATGGTAGGGCAGGTGGGTCGGGGGACGTGGAGCAGACCGGAGCCGGCTGAGTGGAGGGAACGGGCGGGTTGGTAGGGGGTTAGGGGGTCGCAGAGGTAGGGTGGGGCGAGGCCATGGAGGGCTTTGTATGTGAGGACCAGGATCTTGAACTGGATCCTCTGAAGGATAGGGAGCCAGTGGAGTCGGGCGAGAGTGGGGGAGATGGAGTCATGGAGTTTAGTGCGGGAGAGGACACGGGCTGCAGAGTTTTGGATTATCTGCAGTCTGTGGAGAGAGGAGTTGGGAAGACTGACAAGCAGGGCATTTGCATAGTCGAGCCTGGAGGTGATGAAGGCATGAACAAGAATTTCAGCGGCCTGAGGGGTGAGGTAGTGGCGGAGTCGGGTGATGTTACGGAGGTGAGGGAAGACAGCGCGGGTCATGGCTTGAATGACCAATTTTTATTTGGAGATTATTGATCACAACACTGTGTGAAAATCCCTTCTCTTTTAAAATAATGCAATAATCCAGCAGAACAGGCAGATAACCACCAGAGAACTGGACTGAAGTATTAGCCACAATCTTCTGATTCAATGGTGATAGCGATACCTAGCCAGGCTGATACCTAGTTTTCCATAGACATCATCACATGTGCTCCTGTACCTTGCCGGATGATTTCCATACACATCATCACAGCTTCTTCACGATCTCCTCGGGCAAATCTGATATTAGCTTCTCCCATGAGACCCCTTAAAGCTTTGGGGAGCTTGCTCCGAGGTCGCCTCTCCTAAAAATGAGGAGGTTGAAGGCAACAGAAGGTGAAAAGGTACAACTGATCCAGAAAGCATTAAATAGCACACAGGCAATCATTGCACCATTTCACAGCAAGAAAGGTTACATTAAATATTGAATCATTGATGGTCAGAACTAAAACAATATGATGACAATAAAGTACAAGAAATAGTTCACCCGATAACCTTTGAGAAAAGACACCAAAAGGTGCTACAACTATTTGCAGAACTAAGTCATGTTGGCCAGAATATTGCATGTGTGATTCCTGTTCTGTACTGAGATAGCCCGACAGCACCACAATAACTTTAGCGCTCCTGGGCTGGAAAGGGGGAAAATAAAACGACAAGGTGCGGTTGCGACACCTAATCACTATGCAGTGGCCATCCCGAGATGCCAAGTGCAAGTGCAGATGTCAGGTGAGAATAGGATTGGGCTTGGTTGTGATTCCGCACTGTTTTCAGACAGGCTGACCATAGCTTTGGTCTATGCTTACACATGAAGAATAGCCACTTGGATGATAATAATAATAATTATTGCATTTGATGTCCTAGGAAACACATAGAAGTCTGATGCCTGAGAACTGACAACTTCTACACAGTTCAACTCGTTGAAGCATTACAATACAAATTTACATTAATATAGAGCCTTTCACATAACATATAGTAATTGTAATTGAGATAAACTGTAAGCCGGAATGTCACAGTGCTTTCAACAGCGGAAAACAGGGGAAGAAAACTAACAAATATCAAAATAAACCTTGAAAATAAATGCAGATTGACAGAGATGAAGTGCCACATCAAAGAGAGCACATATTTTAGGAGGCAGAGGATCCAATTTGAGTGTGACATTTCCTATAAAAAATTCTCCCACTAGTCTTCCCCATGTCTGGAAACACCATCTGATTCCACTCACCTTCTGCATTTTCTTATGCTCTCGATGCAACTCCATTTCCAAAGCAAAGACATCTCCAGCAGAGGGCTGTTCACTCTGCTCTTCCTCGTCATCACTTACGTGATCACCAATCATCGAGGCAAAGGCTCGATGGACGCTCTTGCTCACGCCATCAGTGGTTTCCTCTGCAGAACAAACAATTGATAATATTGGTATAAACACAGAAGTCGCTGGGAACACGCAGCAGGTCAGGCAGCATCCATGGAGAGCGGAAAATAAGTTAATGTTTCAGGTCAATGACCTTTCGTTTTGCCTACAAAATAAACAGTCACTAAACATTGCAGTATAAGCTGCAAAGCTCTTTGAGACATCGTTCCAACACGAAACAACAACAACAAGATTACATTTGCATAGCGCCTTTCACGTCGGGAGGATGTCCCAAGGCAAAATATCAAATGTAAGGATTATTTTTTATTATTATTATATTGGACAGGGTTCGCAGCACAAGATTTGAATAAAATCAGGTAGAATGTAATTCATCATCCAGTACAGAGATAGAGCGCCTACAATTACTTGTCTTTTATTGAAAGTGATGAAACTTTTTTCGAAATTAATGATAATATACCCGAGTCATCTGCCTGCTGCCTGACAGAGCTCGTTGTGGCTTTAGAAGGTCCATCCTGATCTCCCTCATCCTCAGTCGCTGCATCACCTTGGATTTCCTGATAATGTGAAAGCACAACATTTATTCACACTCAAACCATCGACTCAAGAATATTGATAGAAACTTACAAAAGGGAAACTGGAATAAGTTTATTTAAGCAAGCAACTTATTGGAAAAAGCTTGTGGAAACACTCATTCAAAGTGAAATGTTACCACCAGCTATTAAGACTCGGTTAATAACATCATTTAAAATGGAATTAGATAGACAGGATGAGATTAGATGGCTCCAGTGAGGGAGCTTCTGCATTATTAATAATAATATATTACAGGCACAAGAGGAAAATTGAATCGTTCTGCGCTGAACTTTTTAAAAAAAATTAAAAAGCATCACAGAGCTGTGGGTCTTTCCCTCTTCCACTGTCACGCTCACTCTCCCCCCGTCACCCTAACCCTATCGTGGCTCCTCTTCCCTCTCCCTCTCCTCTCCCCTGTCCCTCTCCTCCTGACCCCCTCCCCCTCTCACTTTGCCCCACCCCCCTCTCTCTCTGATCCCTTCCCCCTGACCCCCCCTCTAACTCTGACCCCCTCTCACTCTGACCCCCTCTCACTCTGACCCCCCCCTCTTCCTCTGACCCCCACTCACTCTGACCCCCTCCCCCTCTGAACCCCCCTCTCACTCTGACCCCCTCTCACTCTGACCCCCTCTCACTCTGACCCCCTCTCACTCTGACCCCCTCCCTCTCTGACCTCCTCATTCTGCCCCTTCCCCTTCTGAGCCTCTCCCTCTGACCCCCTCCCTCTGACCCCCCGTCCCCCCCACGAGGTGATCGCATGGATTAACTCTCTCACCCGCCCCCCGCGGGTTTTCCTCTCCTCCCGGAGCCGCTCAAACTCCTCAAAGGTGATATTTCCCTCCAGGTAGTCGATCAGTTCGGGGCTGAAGCCGGACATGGCGGCGCCGCCCGGAGCCGCCGGACACGGACAGGACGCGGACACGGACGCGGCGGACACTCAGCGGAGACCATCGGGTCCGACCCCGAGAGGTTCCGGCGGAGGTTCCGCTGCCGGGGGTTTCGGTTCCGGGGGACAACCTGGTGGGGGCGCGCGTGCGCATGCGCGCGCGTGTGTGTGTGTGTGTGTGTGTGTGTGTGAGAGAGGTCTTCGCTCGTGTTACATGTTAAAGGTACCCGATTGAGGGGCTTTTTTTTTGTCGGCCAAAAAAAATTTTTTTCTGAAGCTATGGCACGTCCTAAAAGGGGGGGGGGGGGGAGAGTGGGGGGGGTGGGGGGGTCCGTGGGATTGCCTGTGTCTGAGCCTCCAGCCTTTGGGCCCCTCCCTCTGCGATTCCCCTCTGTGTCGCCGCTTCACACCCGAGAGGAATGTGAATGATATTCCTAATAATTCACAATAATAACAGCAGTAATCTGCGCATTCCATCCATACAGCGCCTCTCATCGCGTCTTCCCGACGCCTCGGAAGCGCCTTCACGGAATAGGCTGCAAAGTGAAACTGACCGTCTGCTTCGCCGGCGAAACGCGGGAGGACGGCGCCGGCGACAACCACCAGTTTTTTTTTATTTATTTATTTTTTTGGGGGGGAGGTGGAGGGGGCGGTTTCGTGAGGGATTATGATCGGGGCGCCCTGCGCGGAGTAAAGGAAACTTGCCCATGGTTTCGCCCCGCCCCGTGGGGGGGTGGTGGGGGAGGGGGGGAATCGAACCCGGGTCTCTCGCTCCCGAGCGCTCCCGACCACTGAGCTGCGGGACTCCGCAATGAACCCCCCAATAATAATAATAATAATAATAATAATAATCCTTGCATTTGGATACAGCGCTTTTCACGTCCTGAAGCGCTTCACAGAATGTACTGTGAAGTGAATTGACTGCATGTTTGTGGGCGAAACGCGGCGGCCAACCCGTCAGTTCACAGCTATTTAAAAGCATCTCGGAGTTTAGCGCTCGCCGGGCATCGAGAAGTCAGTCCCCTGTGTGTGTGTGTGTGTGTGAGTCAATTGCTCTGATTGTTTTATTCATTCTTTTATGGGAAGGGGGAAAATCCCCCAAAGGCAGCCAAGATTTTGTCCTGGTTTGTGCGTTCACTTCCAACCACAATCGCCACCACCACCACCACCACCACAACAACAAGAAAATTACATTTGTGCAGAGCTTTTCACGTTATTTATATACACATATATATATATATCATATAAAATCTTACTAGCGGAAAGGAAGCTGTTCTCACACAGTAATGCTGGAGCGAATAATGGCAAACGCAAGGAGTTACAGAACCAGGTGAGTCAACTCCCAGGACCCTGGCAAACCTCCCAAGCCGGCGCTGAGCTATTTCAGTCCAGGCTGAAGCTGTTTAGCAATGGGTTGTCATGGTGTGTTCTTCCCGTCATTGTCTGGGAAAGATGGAAAAGCCTCAACGGCCAGACACACAAACACCAGAGATTCAAACATGATTAACTTTCCATCTGTGGTCGGTACATGTCCAAGGTCACATCACTGATGTATTACAATACTATATATATATATATGTGTATATATATGTTTATGCCCATGTAACGTCTTTCAGGACGAGAGGGGCATTTTCACAGCGAGTCAAGGTTTTTCCATGTTTCTCACTTTGAGGCACTGGGGCCAAAAATAAACACAAAAAGAGAAAAAACGAGGACCAACTTAAAATATGACTTTATTTATATGACTATATGACTTGGTTAACACTGGATGGGAAATGCAATGATCTACAGCTCAGGGACAAAACAGTAACCTGGACCGCAGTGCTTAAAACCACATTAAAGCAATTTTTTTGGGGGGGGAAATGTTAAATTATGCATCATGTGTGGTAACTTGAATCAAAACAGACCAAACAACCTAAATTGCAACAAAAGCACAAGTATTTCAACTAAAAAAAAGGAAGAGTCGAAGTCGTGTTGCGAGGCAAGAAGAATTTCCCTCCCACCCTGCAGCGATATAATAACAAATATTACCATCGAGGGAATTTAAAGGACAGCGAGGCTTTTGAACGAAAATCTGGAGAGCAACGTGCAAAGAAAGGAAAAAAATTACAAGCGAGACAGCGAGCAAGTGGTGGACGTAAGGAGAAGGGGCTTTATTTTTTAGATGTGTAGGATTTCCTGCTGCTCAGGAGAGACCAGAGACGGGGGCGTTTGACAGACGTTAGTATAACCATTATGTTCGACCCTCCAGGAAAGCTGCAAAGGAATCCTCCTGTGCTTTATAGTCAGAGAAGGCAGAAGCCAGGTGATCCCGCTGTAGAGGAGCTGCCGCTGCTGAGTCCCTGTTGTCAGTCCTGAAAGATTTGGAGAACTTCCCCACGTCGATGCCTCTCCCCGATAAGTAAGCCTGCAATGTTCGGAAAAACTACAGGGGAAACCAGAACAAAGCTGCGGTTTAAATCCTCCAAAACCATCTCTCTACCTTCTGCATGCAATATATATATATATATATATGGATATATTTTTTTTTGCCTCCGTCTGATCACCTCTCACTCTGAGACGTGTGCAGTTTCCAGGAATGATAATTTAGCTGTCTACATTCATCTTGATGTTTTTATTTATGTCTCCCGCAAAGAGGTAACAATCAATCCTCATTGACATGCAACAATAACAATACTATTATGCAGTATAAATACGCATATATATATATGTGTACATATATATATAATGATGCGTTAAATAGTTATTTATTGATCTTATTGCAATCCTGCTGCTACAGTGGGTCTCATGCAAAACCAGCCTCAGCAATAACAGGACCATCAGTTATACCATGATTTACCATCTACAGGTAAGGCAGAACATTAGAATGACAGCACAGATACTCAACCTCTGTTCGTTCTGACACTGCACATTACTGTAATAACTGACTAGGAATCATAACAAGCCTCTGAGCCATGGTGAGAGCAAGCCTCACACAAAAGTGGTTGCTGTGTTATCCAGGTAATTTAGAGCAGGATCCAATGTATTACTTGGTCCCTCTCTGTCTCTCTCTCTCTCTCTGATGTATCCCTGCTCCCCTCTGAAATACTAAGCTTGCAAATCTTTTTTAAAAAAACACACTTTATGGTTCTCGAGGCTCAGGAGCTGAACTTTTTGTGTGACTGACACGATCAGCGTTCTAATGTTTAAAGAGTTAACGTTTAATATGTGCGAGTGAATCAAACAAAAGCTGCAGGCATTTCTTTTCTCTCCTTAACAGATACAAGAAGCCCCCAAAATACAGTCAATGCAGTCAAACAAAAAGGATGCTGTGAAGAGTAGTTTGGCGGCTATGTTAGAGACACTGAACTGTTTCTGACATATCCCCAAGCGCATCTCCCTGCTAGGTTATCCAACAGAAAGAAAAGTGCTGCAATCCTTAAAAAGATGATTTTCCGAATCGAAGCCAATATCATAACATTTACCACAACAGCATTGGAAACCACGGTGGAGACCTGACTGAGTATTGTGCACCTCAATATAACTGCTGAAATCACAGGGGGACGTAAGAGTTTCAGGATTAACGCAGAGCTGAGCACAGCTTCTCTTACCAGTTCCCTGTTTCTGGGGTTTTCCAAAGATTTCCAACTACTGTCTTTAGACTTGACTGGAATTGTGTGGACCAGGACCAGGAGAGAGAGGGTGAGATATAGAGCCAGAACCTGCGCTTTCAGCATGATGGAACCTTGGGCTAGACTGGAAAAGAAAATCAGAAGCTTTGGTTATAAAATTACAAACTTCAGATAGAAGGAGCGAGCAGAAATCAGGCAGAGCTCCCTACTTACAGACTATTTGTTTTGAATCCAATAGGGATTTGAATTCCAGGTGATCAATGCTACGAAGCTTTACAAGTGCCTCTGGCTGGATCGAAGCCTCGTCTTTTATAGCTGCAATGTTTTTTTTTGTGTGGGGGAGTGTTGCTGACGTTAGCAAGAGAGTGTGCAAGAGTAATGATATCCCATCATGTAATGAAGATTCTCAGGGAAGAATCTACACCCTAATTTCACAGGCTGTCGAAGGAGATTGCAATCCAGGAACAGAATAAATATGAGATGAACATTAATATCCAATCATAATACTTACTTCTAATTTCCATTTATTATAATAATATATTTTACAGTATATTCTGTGCTTTGAGATGTCTCGACGACATGATAAGGCGCTATATTAAATGCAATGATTATTATTATTAATCATTATTATTAATAATCCTTAGATTTGATGTAGCATCTTCACGGTGGGAGGTTGTCTCAAAGTGCTTCACAGGATATCCTATGATGTGTAGTAATCGTTGTGTTTTCTGGGCGAACAGGGCAGCTAGTTTGCAAATAGCAATATCCCACAAACAGCTCTGAAATACAGGAGAATGCTTAAGTGCCTGTTAGTGTCATTAATGTTGTGCATTGCCATAAAGTTTCTTGTCAGAAATTTGGACACACATGTGCTACCAAAAAGAATACTGAGCAAAAGGAGCATCAATTCATTATTTTTAAATGAATCTGCAGCGGTAACTGTGGCAGGAGCATGTCTGAATAAAATACTTACAATAATAATCCTTGCAATTGATAGAGCGCCTTATCACATCTGAGATATCTCAAAGCGTTTCACAGAATATACTCTAAAGTGAATTGACTATATTTTGTGGGTGAAACAGGGAAGCTAATTGCGCACAGCAGTGTCATACAAACAGTCGTGGATTGAGTGACCAAATTATTATTGTTTATTTATTTATTTTTGAAGGGATTATTACCCTCAGAAAAGCGATCTACCAATCAGCTAACAACTGGGTTCCTATTTACTGCTGAGTAAACAGAGTAAGGAAACTTGCTCAAAGTGTCACCCTGCCCGAGAATTGAACCCAGGTTCTCTCGCTTGCGAAGTGGCTGATCTCGTCACTGAGCTACAGGACTCCACAACTAATAAAGTGGTGAAAACAGATTTGTCTGAGCCTTTGGTTCTTTACAGATAGGCATATGAGGCAGACATTTGCAGAGTAAAATTATAATAATTCTTGCATTTGATATAATGCCGAATCACCTTTGACTACAAACACACAGTGACTCCATTTCACAATAAAATCCTGTGAAGTGTTTTGGGACATCCTTTGGATGTGATAAGCCCCTATGTCAAATGCAAAGATTATTATTATCGAAACATCGCAAATCGCTTGACAGGATTCAACCGTAAAGTATACTAACTAACTAACTAACAAAAGCATAAATGAGAGTAAGAGTTAAATGAGAGTCTGGAGTCCTGTAGCTCAGTGGTTAGAGCACTTGCTTTGCAAGCGAGAGACCTGAGTTCAATTCCAGACAGGGCGAAACCTTGGGCAAGTTTCCTTACTCCACACAGAGCCTAATAGTAATCCCTCCGAAAACCCAAAACAATAATAAATTGGTCATTTTCAATCTACGACTGTTTGTGGGACATTGTTGTGCGCAATTGGCTGCCGCGTTCGCCCACAAATATACAGTCAATTCACTTTGCAGTATATTCTGTGAAGCGCTTTGGGACGTCCTCCCGACGTGAAAAGCGCTATATCAAATGCAAGGATTATTATTATTACTTTGTAGGTGAGTACAGCAGGCAATTTACGCACAACAATGTTCTACAAACAGCCAACGGCGATTGTTGGCCAGGAGAAAATCCTGCTCTTTTGAAAGATTGCCATGGAATCTCTAAAATCCACCTGAACAGGCAGACAGGAACTCAGTTCGATGTCTCATCCCTGTTGATCTAAAAAAAGAACTTCAAACTGTCAAATAAAGGTAATATCCTGGGCGAAAAGCCTGGGCTTTTTGATGGAAAAAGCATAAGAAAAGACCATCTACTAAATATTTTATCTTTTGCCTCTAAAAGGTTGCCCTCAGAAAATAACTAAATTCCTATATATAACTTAGTCTTCTTTAATGATTTATTTATTCCTTTTACCCCTCAACCAATTCATATTCTTTCTGGAATATGCATCTTTCTCTTGGTTGGTAAATCTGTTTTTCTCTCTGCTTTAAGTTATTATGTAGGAAAATGATACCTTGGTTTTAGATCTGGACTGAATGACTGCATTTCATCCACAAAACAAAATTGTACCTGCATTGCCATCTTGTTCCTGTGCTACCCATTGGTATTCTATAGAATTAAAAATAACACTAATAATAATTCTTGCATTTGATATAGCTCCTTATCACAATGTCGAGACATCTCAAAGCGCTTTACAGGATATGCTGTAAATTTATTTATTTACTGTTATTTTGTGGACAAAACACAGTGGAGCTCTGCAATGTCCCACAAATAGCAATAGAGTGTGTGATCAATTTTATTTGTGGGATTGTTGGCCAGAACATGGGGAGAAATTCTCTTCTGGCTTTAGATAGCGCCATGGGATCTATAATGTCTACCTGAATAGGCAAATGAGACCCCGGTTTGGCTGCTCTGTCCCACCAAGAGCAGCAACTTTGCTCCCGCCATATAGAACGCTCTTCCCAAATTCCTCCACCTTACCCCTTCCCTCTCTGTTTCCAAACCAGTCAAATCTATCTCTTTGACCGTGCCTTTGACCACCTTCATCCAATCTGTCTTCCTCCCCCCCCCCCCCCACCACCTCCAAGCAATTCCCTCATCGCCCTCCCACTGTAAAAAATGCTTTGAGATGATTTCTTTTTGAAAGGTGCCATATAAGTGTAATTTGTGAATATTGTTTTCCAATGATATATTAAGAGAATGGCATAATTACCTGCAGAGATAAACACAGGGAAACTGATTGATTCCATCAATAGTCAGATCATCCACCACACGCTAAGCTCCTTCATGTTTGTTTAAACTAATTTTTCCCTTCTGGAAATTAAAGTGCTGATAGTACAGTACGTTTGGAAAGCGGCCCATTAAATAGAATGTTTAAAATTAATTTCCAGTCTCTAGTAAAACATTTTTTATTCAATCAATGCCATTAGGCAAACCCTGTGGAACACAGATAAACAATTAACAATCCAGATGTAATTGACTGACTGCACTGAGTATTACACATCTCTTTGATTACTGGTTCCAGAGAATCCATCTCATTTCCAGTGACAATACCTGCTTATTATCTTACAAATACATCTGTCTGGATGAAGCAGTGATGTAGTACAGTACTAATGAACATCAGTGATTGATTGTTACTGTATAAACCTATTTTAGACTCTAAGGAAAGCCCTTATCAATTGTATTTTCAAGAGATGCTCCCGTCCCATTTGTATTTGCATGAAATATCAGGAAAGGGAGGTAGGAAGGAATTGGTGTTGGTAGTGGTGGGGGAGGGAAGGAAGGATTAGAGGGATGTGATCTAACTCACAGTCAAAGAGATGGGCCTTTAGATGGATTTCAAAGCAGATGGGAAAGGGGCAAGGAGCAAAGTGCCTAAAACCTTGCCTGCAATGGTGGGGCACGGCACAGTGGGCACAACGATTAAAAACCCTTACATTTGGTAAAAAGTGCCTTTCACATCGGGAGGCCATCCCAAAGCGCTTAACAGGATTCACTGTAAAGTGGAGTGACTGTGTGTTTTGTAGCCAATTTGCACACAGCAACGTCTCACAAACAGCCATGAAGCGAATGACCAATTTTATTTGGCGGATTGTTGGCCAGGACACCAGGAGAACTCCCAGCATGAAGCAACTATCACAACATTCAACAAAACATCTCAATTTGGAGCTATTTGTTTCCCAGTGGGTGTTTGGTCTGAACAAGATATATGTGAGTCCTGTAGCTCAGTGGTTAGAGCACTCGCCTCACAAGTGAGAAAGTTCAGTTCCCAGACAGGGCGAAATCTTGGACGAGTTTCATTTCTCCACATGTCTCTGTTTACCTGGCAGCAAGTAGGATCCCGGTTGTTCGTCGATTAGCGGATCACTTTTCTGGGAGTAATAATTTGTTCAAAAAAGATAATATGTTGGTCACTTCAATTCACAACTGTTTGTGGGAAACTGGTGTGCGCAAACGGCTGCCGTGTTTTTTCTCCCGTAAAATATAGTCTATTCATTTTACAGTATATTCTGTGAAGCGCTTTGAGACGTCTGGAAGATGTGATAAGGCGCTGTATTTCATCTCTTGATCAATTGTTTAAAAAAAATCCTAGAGATTGCTCTGGCTTGTTTTGGGTTTTCAAAGCTTGTTGCAATTCTTTTGAAAAATGGCTTCAAGTTTGTTTTAAAAACAAAACTGTCAGCAAGGAGTCAAAGATAACAAATAGGATGGCACTATGTTTGATTATATCAGTTGTTGATTAAAATATTCCAACACCAATTATTTTTTTAAACAATTTGGATAGGACATTAAAACCACTTTCATAATGTGGTTTCTAATTCCCATTAATCACCTCTATGGTTCGGAGAAAAAAACAATTTTTATGTATATCAAACTGTACCATCCTTTGAGATGCAAAATAGTCTCTTCAACCTTAACCTATGGTACCTGACATACTATTTTGTTGGAAACGTAGGAGGAATAAAAGCTTGTATAGCATTACTCATGCACAATGTAAATGTCATGTTTTAAGAATTTGAAGGCCAAGTAACTCTTCTATTCATATTAATCTGTTAGATATTTCTTTCCCACAGTCCACAAAACTTCAGTAGGTGCAAAATCATGGCACGACTGGCCTTAAATAATGTTTAGTACAATAATGATTCAACTTTCCAGTCAAGTAAGCAATCTGGCAAGTGAACGTTTTAAAGTTTATAGAAAAATAATATTTGTTACATTTGGTCTAGCATCTTGGGCTTCGTAATGCTTACCTGGACAGGCAGATGGGACCCCGATTTAACATCTTATTCGAAGGACAGCAATACAGTAACCCCCGCACCTCCCCCCCATCCGCAGCAATGTATTGGAGCGTCAACCCAGAATATGAGAGTTCCAGTCTCCATGTGGGGCTTGAACCCACAAACTTCTGACTCAGAAGCAAGAGTGCTACCAACTGAGTCAGACTGGCACAAATAAGCAATTAAAGAAGCAAGTAAAGGTGTAGGAGTGATAAGAACCAAACCAATTTTTCACAATTATGAATATAATCACTAAATGTTCCAATTCATCGGCTATTTTGGAATTACAAACACTAATTATTACATTACATCATATTAAGTTGCACAACATTATGTGACAGCCTGGCTCAGTGATATAGCACTCCCATTCTCTCATTTCTCATTCTCTCGCCTCAGAATGAGAAAGTTGTGCGTTCAAGCTCTACATTGAGACTTGGAATCACATAGGCTAAGATGACACTCCAATGCAGTGTTGGGATGTGTTGCATTGTTGGAGGTGCCACTCTTTGGATGAGACGTTAAACCAAGGTCCTGTCTGCCTGTTCAGGTGGATGTTAGTACCCATAGTACTATTCAGAAAGAGAAGAGAGTTTCTCCGGTGTCCTGGCCAACAATCCCCCAGATAAAATTAGTCACTCACTCCATGGCTGTTGGTTGGACACTGCTATTTGCAAACTAATTTGCCCACAAATTCCAGTCAAATCACTTTACAGTATATCTTGTGAAGCTCTTTGAGTCCTCTTGATGACATGATGAGGTGCTATATCAAAGTCAGGGATTATTATAACATTTAGGCGTAACATAAGGGTGCAAAATTCAGTCAAAAACCTGAACTTGTTTGTGGAAAGCAAAGTAAGATTAGGTGGAAAACCTGCACTGAATTATTAACAAGCAACACAGAAAGCTATGTTCCAAGGTCCAATGCACATTTCAGCAATCCTAATTCAGCAAGCAAATATTTAACACTACAATTGAACTTCTGTATACAGTAGAAGGTCAGAGTTCTATGAACAAAATAAGCAATGGGTAAACCTTTAGAGTAGTTGTTACATGCAGACTCTTTTAGATTGATAAAAGTCTTCAGGAACAGACAGAACCACTCTTTTGTTTCTGGCAGAATCAGAATTAAATGTTAGCAACTGTGATGCTTTTTTTCCGTGATCCAAAAGTAGAGCCTGGCCACGTCTCTCAAATATTGTTCAAAATGGATTATGATGTGAAGTAGATCATCCTTGTTTACCTACAAAATAATCACGGCGCTGAACAGTAAATGCTGTGAAGCGCCCTGATTCAGGCCATTGCACTGTTTTAGATTCCAGGAAGAGATAATTTTTGTCTTTTGCTCTCCAAAACGTGTCATCAATAGGCAATTCCAGATTTTATATTTAAAAAAACTGTTGCAAACAGTCAAGGTTTTTCCAGGATTCCATCATCACTACTTATTTTTCCTATCGTAGAATAGGGCAAAATTACCAGACGAAGAAGCTAAATATTTGTAACTGAATATAGTTCACGGAGGTGGATGGCAATAGGCCGGGCAATATTGACTCAATCAGTTAAAGGCTGAAAGTACTAAATGGTTTGTCCTTTGTTGTCCACTTCGGTCGTGAGTCGTGAATGGTTTGTCTCAGCAGATGGGGTGTTACTCATACTCTGTAGAGGGTGGTATTATCAGGAAATAAAGCAATACTTTGGATTACATTCATCAGGTAGTTAACTACATGCTCCTTCGATATCATCCTCACCTTTCTCCTCATCTCCCAGCTCCACCTTCTGGCCCCTCTGCAGTCCGATGTCATTCTTGTCCACCGGTTCAGTTCCCACACCCCTAAAAACAGCCGTCATCACCCACATCCTGAAAAAAACCTTCCCTGGGCCCATCCCTCCTCTCCAGCTACCACCCCATCTCTAACCTCCCATTCCTCTCCAAGATCCTGGAATGAGTCGTTGCGTCCCAGCTCCGCTCCTATCTTTCTCGCCATTCCCTCTTTGAACCCCTCCAATCCGGCTTCCACGCTGCCCGCAGCACGGAAACAGCCCTGGTCAGTCACTAATGATATTCTGAACATCTGTGATCAGGGCTCCCTCTGCCTCCTTGTCCTCCTCGACCTCTCTGCTGCCACTCCATCCTCATAAACTGCCTCTCCTTTTTACTCTTCGCGGACCTGCCCTTACCTGGATCGAATCCTATCTCTCTCATCGTCTCCACTTTGTTGCCTCTAAAGGTTTCTCCTCCACCCGTGCACTGTCATATCTGGCGTCCCCCAGGGCTGTCCTTGGCCCTATTCTCTTTAATATATACATGCTCCCCCTTGGTAACATCATCGCAGACATGGGGTTAACTGCCGGTCTGCTCCACGTCCCCCGACCCACCCTCCCTACAATTGGCAGGAGAGCCTTCAGCCACTCTGCCCCCAAACTCTGAAATTTCACCCCCCAGTTACTCCGCCTCGCCTCCTCCTTAGCCTCCTTCAAGTCCCGCCTCAAGATCCTCCTCTTCGACCATGCCATCGGCCACCCCCCTTCCCCTCCCTTTTCGTGCCCTGACCCCAGCTCGGGTCTGAAATGCTGTACACTGTTCAGCACCTTGGGACATCCTCCTGACGTGAAAGGTGCTATACAAATGTAATCTTGTTGTTAACAAGCATGATAAATAAAGTAGCGAGATCAAGCAAGATTCCCTGTGCAAGTGTTGTGAGAAATTAGCATTTGACAACTGGACTCGAAGCTTGTAATGTCTTGGGACGTCCTCCCGACGGGAAAGGGGCTATGCAAATGTAATTTTGTTGTTGTTGTCTGCAAGAAACATACCCAGATCAACAGCACACAAGTGCAATGCAAGAGACCAGCTTCTCAATGACACGCTGCGTTTTAGAGCAGAGGTTTAAGCAATGATTAGAGCTACTGCTGGCTTTTGAGAAACTACTCACTATAAAGTTGTTACAATTTCCACTAGCATTATAAAATGAAATACAGTACAAAATGTAGTATGCTTCATAGAATGTGCTTTAATTATAGAAATAAAAATTACATTACAGACTTTTTGGTTAAATACACTACCACCACCACCAACCATCAACACACAAACCATTTCAGTTGAAAACTTTATATCTTGACACTGTAGAAACCTTTCAAACACGAAATAACTCACAACTTTGTTCTAAAACCAGTACAGCTTGCATCACTGAACAGGTATAAAATAGTGTTTTATAATTGCCTGGATTTCACAAATATTCCTTCAAATTGAAACAAAAATCAACAGATTAACATTGAACATTTTTCACAGCAAAACGTGTCTTAATAAGTCACAACAGTGATATTATGATTGAAGCCAATGTAAACTTGCACTCATTTTAATCCTGCAGATATTTGGTCACTTAAATTACTGATTCTTTGGTGCAAGAGTCAGCTGCAGGCTTTCAGAGATCATGAACCCCAGTTTTCTCCTAAGTTTCTCCTGGTAATACATAGGTTCAAAACAGGAGGGCATTAGCTTTAACTTCCACTTATGTGAAGTGCCATTTTACAAACAAGGCGGTGTTGTTAAATATTCCAACCTTTTGCAATGAGGATGTGCCAGTTATTACAAGAACATCCCTTGGGATGAATGGTATCTTGTGCATTAAAAACGAGAGCAGAACATATTCAAAATTATTTTCAAAAAGATTATGGGAGAAGGTATGGAGATTAAGTAAACAGGAGATTAGGTTTCAACAGGGCAGGGGGTCAGAGTTACATACAAACCTGAGATTCTGCGAGTTACCAATCTCAACCACAGGTTTTGGAAAGTAGTGTAAAACAGAATATTCTGACATCACAAGTCCATTGAGAATCCCATGCTCAATCTGTGGAATCTAATATTCGATTTAAGGCCCTCAAACTGGGAAACAATTAGTGCAATAATATCTTATGTAACATTTACTTCAAATACTTCCCCTCCCCTCAGAATGAAGCTTTCTCATCCCATTGCCGGTGAGGAAGATAATTTGTGAACTGTGATCTTTGCACCCTTGGATCCTAGGGAAATTCTTTATGATCAATCTACGAAAGCTGGTAACCATAACCCACCCGAAAGCATCTTCCGCTAATATTATCTCTTTTTAAAATTCTTCTTTCTCCTTCTTCAAATTCCCTGTACACCCCCCTCCCCGCAACACATTTTCTCTTTAACAATAAAAATTAGGCCACAGTCATTTTTTTAATATGACCAACCACCAATCCCACTTATTTCTATTAATATTCTCTTGAGTTGAACTGAACTTCAAGGACTTTTAGGACTTTGATCTGTGTTGAACACTCTGTACCTGAAAATATACGTTACCTATAGACAAGATGTTCTATATCCGTTTCCACTCAGGCACCTTTGAGAGAACATACTGAACGTTTCAAACAACTTTTTTTTGGATTGATTCTCAAGCGCAGATGAAAATATAGAAAATCGTAGAATAAACAAACTCCTTAAAAATCTGATTCTGGCCAACATTGTTGCGCATAATCCTTAAAATGGGCAATTCTTAAACCCCAAAAATGTTTTTAATGGGCAGAGGAAATACCCAGGGGGATGGGACCAATGAAATCCAATTCAGACCAATGTCCGCAAAGTGCTAACTCATTAAAACATCAAGAAACAGAATACCCTGCATTTTTAATACATTACAAGCACAATAAAAGTTTGCAGACATGTACGTGAAGCTTCTGGTCAATTAGCTTCTTAACTTCTCAAAGTAACGGGACTTTTTAAGAGGCGCCTCGCGTCAAGAACGTCCTTTTGCAATAGTTATTTTCCACATCCTGCGATAAGAGATACGCTAACCGCCGATTCACATAATTGCTGAGCTGAGGCACATCAATAAGTGAACACATTTATGTTAGCACCACTGTGTACCTATCGTGGTAGGTATATATAAAACATTTTATATCTGTTTACCCGAGGCAACAAAGTGCATGTAAAACTAATGAACATGTAACAAAGTAAGGAACTCTGTACAGGTGCACCAATCCAAAGGCCGCCATGGGAATGGGAAGGAGGAGCTGTAGTCTTGCTGCGTGCTTCAGGAGTTTACTGGCAAGAATCAAAAGACAATAATTAGTTACAATGTGGGAAATATACAGCAGAGTTCCTGGCAATCGCGTTTCCCGGAGCATTTTAATTTTTACTAATTAAGGCGCATCATAAAAGTCCAGTGAGGCAGCTGAATGCAAAATCAGACGGGTAATTAGCAATGTTACTGTGCTGAACCAGGACTAGAGAGACAATGAGCTGTCAATGCTGTTAGTTGGGAGCATTAAAGCAGAACAATGTGCTCGGCTGACAGAAGGGAAAACTGGCAGAAGTCCCACTTCAGGGAATAATCCAGCAGCCCCTGCTGGCTGATCATATAACAGCATTGGTGCAGATATTTCCAGTCTCCTGTTTAGCATTTCAGCCTGAGCCACAGAAATTACCACAGAATATTAGGTACATTATTCCTGTTGGGAGGAATCATTGGGCAACTATCCTCATACTCCCAAATTCAAAGTTTAGCTTTCAAGTTAAATCGGTTCAATTTTTTGAAAGGCTACGCAGTTTGTGAAAAAAATAGCAAATATCAAGTAACTACTGTAATATTAGCATAAAATAATTCACATAATATGCTAGGAATGCATTATGTAATTGCATGAGTAACACAATACATACCTTTTCTTGACTGAAGCTGCCTGCGAATTAATGAGAACTCCGGTTGTTAACACAGCAATAATTGCCACAGAGCCATAAGGGTCGGGATCCAGCCTCCTGGAATACCTGTTCAATGTAACAAAACTGTAATTGGTGCCATGGCATTAAGCGATTGGGGAAAAGCCAAAAACGAAATTACTGCACAAAAATGGAAAGGTGAACAGATAAATATGATGTTTTATTTTTCATCTCAGTCACACTATTGCTCTGATGTACAAAACTGATCTTTAGGTAAACCAAACCTAATTGTCTTTAATTCCGGGAGTGAGTGCAAATCAAGCTACAGTCACGTAAGAATGTTGTGGTTTTGTGTCAGTGAATCTCAAATTTGAATCAGGAGCATATATCGCTTTTTGCATGAAATTTCATTTAATTGATGTGGGCACATATTGAATCTGTTCCTGAAGATGAAATGACTGCCTTGCTGCTGATTTAAAAATTGTAAATAAAATATATGGCAATGGAGAGAGATGGTCTGAGAAGGAAAAATGAGTAACTTACTGTATTTATTCAAATCTAACTCTGAATCTAAGGCACATGCAAATTTTAGAGGGTTCGGGGTGGGGGGGGAGGAATCTTGCTTCAATTCTAAGATACTAATAAAATTAATTATCAGGAACATTTCTATGAAAACAATTTGTGCATTTATTTATTTTCAAGTGAGATTTCTTGCCTTTTCCTCTCTACCAAATTTCTCTCATCCCTTCCTCATCTGAAGATGGGGTAGGTAGACTCTCAACGTTAGCTTCTTACCTGAGATTTTTTAGCCAGTAAATAAATGAAGGTGCACTGAGTAGAATAATCCAGTTTAATAAATGCAGTACTGTGATGTGAATTTGAAGAGTATCTGATGCTTCGTCGATGGCTGAGGCTGAAAGAAATTTATCGCCAGCTGAGTTCGAATGGTCCTTTTCTTTTGAAAGACCCTCAGCTGCTGGAGAATCCCTGGCTTCCTTTGTTGTAGAGGAATCTAAATGGGTTTTCTTCGTGGCTTCCTGCATGGGTGCCTGAAATAAAACGTTTTTTTCTTATGACTGAAATTTTCAGGGAAAGAATTTAGCTGATATGACTCTTGTCACTCCTAGATTTTGGGCCATTCTTTCTGTCTATTAGAAACTTGGTGTTGCTCTGATACTTCCAATAGCAAGAGTGAACTCAGTCATCCATCCAATAATAAATGCAGTTTTATGTCCCATTTTCCATTATTATGGAGCTCTGCTTCCAGGCAAAACTCATCTGAACAGAGAAAAATGAAGCAATAAACTGGATCAACAATGGGAAATCCCTCTGAACTCCCAAGGGTGTTACAGAAATAGGACTTAATGCTGGCAACACCACCAGTATGTGTTTGCGGTTAAAATCTCCATTTGATACCCACGTGTTCTTAATAAAATTCTTGATAAGCATCTGAGCAGCTGAAGCTTTTATAGATGTAAAAGATTTACAGCATAAATGACAGCAAAATACTTCATGCATTGGGAGAAATAAAAAAAAGGCAAAGAGCTGCAGAAACCTCCTGTACTCTTGGTTGCCTGCTATCATAATATTTTGCCCACAAAACATAATCAATTCACTTTACAGTATATTCTGTAAAGCACTTTAAGATGTCTCGAAGATGTGATAAGGCGCTATATCAAATGCAAGGATTATTATTATCTATTAATCAGCTCACGAGCAGCAGAGGCAGAATACTAGGAACACGCTTGCTGCCTGGGTTTGTAAACTGAGCTCGGTATGTGGGGTGAGGTGTCATTCAATGAGAAAAATAAGAAAAACAACCTTTGCTACTGTAATAAGCCAGTGAAGTATGAAAAGCTAAATACTTACCAAATTAAGAATACCTTTCAGTGTTTCCAATGAAGCCTGAAGACTCAGAACCTGGAACGGAACACACATCAATCATTTAGATATTCATCTATAGCAAAATGTGTGATCTACAAATATTTGTTATGCAGCAATTATGCAAAGCAAAACTTGCAATAGTTAACAGGCATACAATGCCTTTGATAAACCTTTGACACTGCGTTATCGTTGATGAAATGATTTAGTGACAAAATAAAATTGCATGCTGAGGTTACCTTAAAAAAGTAAAGGAAGTAAGTAAGGATGAGAGCCAGAGCACCACAGGTTGTCCAGCTGATAAACAGCAGGAGGATCTTAATACTGAAACTGCAAAGATTTAGGAGTCTGGGTTTGGGTTCCTTTGTGATAACAAGAGACCTGTAAAAGAGGAAGCAAGAATAGCATTGGAGCAGTGTTTAAACTGGACTCAAGGTAATACAAATTAATCAAACCGATTCTACCCATGGCAAGGTGGATAAAGTGAGTGTAGGCAAGCTACTGTGGAGAGCATCCCACCCACCCTATTCTCACTTTCGTACAGGTATATTCTGGAACACTCTTCCTCTATCCCTCCACCTTGCTCCTTCCTTCCCCATCTTCAGGTCGTGCCTGAAAACCTTCCTAATCGACCGTGCCTTCGGTCACCTCCCATTTCTCCCCGGCGGCGCACTACTCCGCCACTGTCAAGCGCTCTGCGTAAGGGGCACCATATACATGCAAGTTGTTGTTGCACACTTACCAGCAGGGTTCACAATACCCAGCAATGGGAACTCTGTCTAACTTGTCTCCTCCCAACTCAGATGCTAAGGCCATGAGTTAATAACAATCTGAATAATATTTTAATTTGGGGGTCTCGAATTGCCGCTTGGTTGTGAAATAAACATATCATTCGGGATTTCAGAATCAGCTCAAGTTTACTGTGTGCACATTATGCTGAAAGGTAGAAAGGATTAAGCAGCAAGGATATTCAGAGAAAATAGCTTTCAGATACACTACGCACCGATTTAAATTAATATCCAGCTGTCAGTGAAGAATCGTAATCAATCTTCAACACCTTCCGGTGCAATTGTGTTTCCCCCTTCATCCCAACAATATAACCTTCAAAGCAGGTACTGATGCGTAAGCAGCTCTTGAGTAAGAGCCATGTACAATGTATCAAGTCTTGATGAAACTCTGACGAGAAGTCACAGTGCTTTTCGCACACATCCAAACTATAACTGTGTGTTCCTTAGTCATTCCGTACAATTTGCAGCTCCATTCAGAAAGGAAGCCCAAAAAACCATGATCTTTTATCGACAAAGCAAAAGCTCAGTTCCCTTCTTTTTTTTAACTGGCTGGTGAAAAACAACAATATGACTCACTGAACCATCATTGATGGTAGATTCCTTATCCTACGTGATTCCATTATTATTGCAGTAAATATTAGAGGCTTTAGTCTCACTCATACCTGAGCTACCAGCAGCAGTTTTAACCCATTATGTATTTTGAACTGAAATGTGGAACAATAGATATTCTCTTTGCAATGCCACTGCAAAATAGTTACTAGTTTACAGTAATCCTGCGAAGTGCTTTTAGATGTCTCGATGACATGATAAGCTGCTATATCAAATGCAAGGATGCTTGTAAATACATATATATATCTCTATAGTACCATTTATGTCAGGAAGACATCCCAAAGTGCATTCACAGTCCTGGGATGGGTACCTGAGCTGAGGGCACTGATCCTAGTTTAATCAATTTGTCATGTGTTTAAATGGAAAATAATATCCAAATAGCAACATTTCTGTAGTACTTTGCTTATGTAACTATCATATTTCACTCAACAGAACTGCATGCAGAAGCAAAGTGGCGCAACCAAAATATTTTTCACTCTCCATCCATTCCCTGCGACACAGTATGGGGAATGGGGGAATCAGGTTTTCGTGCTGTACACCTCATTGGGAACATTCGATTTCTATTAGTACAACCACTGTTATACCCATATGAACTATTTTTAAAGTGGCAATTCAGTTTAAACTTATAGAATGCTTGATTCACAGACAAAAGTCCGTCTCTAATACCAGACAAGTGAATTCTGAAGTTCTGTTATTAAGAGATTTGTATATCCTTTATTGTAATCCTTTCCTTTTCCACAGTACCTCCGTTGGCAGCCCTGACGTTGTTGTCAGCCCTGAGTCGTTCCAGGAGGAACTGCTTGCAAAGTAGCTGAAACCCACCCTTGAGAAGGGTGTTTGTTCCCTCCTAATCCACATAGTGAAAGTGTAACTATAAACTTACCTACAAAAGACTGACCAGAAGGAGGAGGCATGCTTAAGCAATAAATGAAAGAGTATTCCACTCCAATAGGCAATCGCTGTCCCAAAGAAGAAAAACAGAAACGAAACTAATGGGAAATAGATGTCTTGTTTAGTCAAAATAACCGCGTCAAGTTCAGGCAGCGAAAGGACAGCCCATATGTCTTTAAACCAATCGTATCTGTAACATAAAAAACTCCAATCAGAACATCTCACAGTTCAATAGGATGTTAATAATGAGTACCTTTATTGACGGGCATCCAACTATTAGGCTTTTAAAGTCATGGGTATAGATTTTATCATATACAGAAGATAAATAATGTTATGGTTACCAGTAATATCCCCAATCGAGTATTTCAAAATGAATTGGCAGAGTTTGAACATAGCCTCTAAAGCATCCAAAAGTGTTTTTTTTCATTCTCTGTTGAACAAACTGTGATCAAAATACTACTTACCGTAAAAGAAAAACAAAAAGATGGACAAAAGGAATAACTTTATATGGTTTTGCTGAATGTTTTAAGACAACATTGAAATCCAAACAATGACCTAGAAACAGAAGAGAATCATATTTTAGAATAAATTAGAGAAAGTGGCTTTTAACTTTACAATTGAGGCAAAATTAACCTTTCAGAAACGCAGAGATGAAGCGCATACACTTGGAATCTGCAACTCAGTGCTGCATTCTATAATAGTAGTAATAACAATCCTTGCATTTGATATAGTGCCTTATCACATCTTCGAGACGTCTCAAAGTGCTTTACAGAATATACTGTAAAGTGAATTGACTGTATATTTTGTGGGCGAAACACGACAGCCAATTTGCGCATAGCAGTGTCCCACAAGCAGTCATGGATTGAATGACCAAATAATTTTTTTTTAAAAAAAACTTGAAGGGATTATTGCCCTTGGAAAAGCGATCCGCCAATTGACTAACAAACCGGGTTCCTACTGACTGCTACGTAAACAAAAGTCTCTGTGCTGTTCAATACAACATGTTTTGACACCAAATTATATTTGTTTTATGCAAATTAATTTTTTTGTATTTTTAAAAAAAATGCTCACAAGTTACCTTTATTATGAAGATGGAATAACTGTCCTCCATATGCTAACAGGATGTTTGCAACAACATACATGGGAAGATATACACCGTGGAAACGGAATAACTGGAATAAAAAAGGCACATTTTGATGAACAACCATTCATTGAAGTAAAACTGAACAGAACTAGATATCAACCATCTTATCAAAATTATACATACACCATAAAAGTCATGGGTATAGATTTATTATTATATACATAAGACATCATACATCAATTTAATCAACTGTTCCTTTTTACAGTCTTTACTAAATGGCAAAAAGCCCTATCTTTACATAGCCTGAGAGAAACAGATAAGGCCATCACCAATTCATACATCAAAAGACTGGATAGGATTTTGTCATAGTTTGTATGCTGACAAACCTGGCATCTCGAAAACTTGTACTCTTCAAATATTGCACACTATTTCTCAGACTAGTATCTCAATAATTGAGTGCTATCAAATTGTAATTCAATCCATCTCTATTGTACGTCTGGATACCAAGATTTTCAACCAAGTATATTCATAAAAGAACAACAACTCATTTGGTTAATGTGTTTAGCAGTTACAATGCCCCCTAGGGTTAGAGATTGCAGGTGAGTACAAAATACTTTTAGCAGTGGAGGCCAACCCATGGGCCGTGGGCTGAAAGTGGCCCACGGGTCATCAAGAAGTGTCCACTGAACATTTGCACTAGTCCAGGTAAGTCAATGTTCAATCAATCGTGCATTTCCAATTTTTTTCTTGATTGAATATTTGTTGATTGATGGCATAAATCAATCAAGAACATTAATTTTGTTGACTGACCAAAAAGGTGTTGTTCAATCTTAAACTCATGAAGGAAGCAACTCCAAATCTTTGACTGGGAATTAACCTAGTACTTTTGAAACAAAGTTAAGCAACGTTGCTTTGTTTGAATTACCGTTCCATGATGGCTAAAGGAACATGGCTACGCTGATTTATATATACTTCAAGAACATTTGCCCACAAAGGTACAGGTGACCTCCTACTTGTAACAGTTGAGTATTTCAATACAAATAAAGCTTATCAATGCCCAAATCTGTTTACAGTATAAACATGTAGAAGGTTCCAATAATTTAAAATGTAGCACAACTGAAGGTACAGAAAGTTCTCAACCGGCAAGCAAACTCTTTCTGTATTTTGGCCGACTATTTCAATAACAACTGGAATTTATGTAGCACCCATCACGTAGGATAGCGTCTCAGAGCTCTGTACCCAAGGTAGTCTTATATGTATAAGCTGGCAGTTAAATATTAACAACAAATTACATTTGTATAGCGCCTTTCACGTCAGGAGGACTTCACTAGTTCTCTGGACATAATTAATTGGCCAAAGGGTAATATGAGGAGGGTAATTGTGATTATTTTAAAAAGAAATGCCTTAGCCTCTGTATTCACACATAAAAGAAAATTGGAAAGACAAAGCCAAGAAGATTCTTGAATGAGCACTGTTTCATTGGCCCTATGAAATTCCTTTCAGGAAATTATCAGGAGTTTTACAAATACCAGTTGTTACAATGTAAAGGCTATATTTTCATAGAATTACAACTTGGATCCTATACACATAAACTTACCATGTCTCTTATGAACTAGAACTGTGTCCTTTTCGGGTAAAATAACCCTTTCCAAGTAATGTGCACCTTTAAACCATGCCGTTTTCATATTCTTAATATATTGCTACATACACCCTATCCTGTGTCCCTAGTTATACAGCATTTTCCATTTGAAAAACAGAATTATTAAAAGGGACACAAACTTCAGCCTAGTCATCAAAATGAGTTTATTAAAAGAAGATTTAGACAACATCAAGCTTGAAATAAATAACACAAGCTCTCTAACACAACAAACTGGGATAATTAAAAGAGTATCAGAATGCATCTTACAAATAGTCCAATACCTGGTGATACAATGAAAGTTGAAGAAATTATATGTTTAAGATTGTAAGTAGCTCGGTGGGGCCAGGCTCCCAAACGAAGGTTATTAGGTCAGCTGCAGAATGAAGGATTTCTGTTTCTTCTCTGTATCCCAAAAGTCTTTGTTTGATCTGGATCCTTGGAAGGGGGAAATGAATTCTAAAGGAACAGCAGTGCTTCTGCAAAGATGATCACACTGCAACATGTATTAATAATAATCCTAGCATTTGATATAGCGCTTTATCATGTCTTTGAAACATCTCAAAGCACTTCACAGAATATACTGTAAAGCGAATTGACCATATATTTTGTTGGCGAAATGCAGCAGCCAATTGCACACAGCAGTGTCTCACAAACAGTTGTGGATTGAGTGACCAAATTATTTTTATTTGCTTTAAAGGAATTATTACCCCTGGAAAAGCGATCTGACAATCGATTATCAACTGGGTTCTTACTTACTGCAAGGTAAACAGAGGCGTGTGGAGTAGAGAAACTTGCTCAACGTTTCGTCCTGCGGGGATTCGAACCCAGGTCATCTCGCTTTTGAGGCGAGTGCTCTCACCTCTAAACTACAGGACTCCTATGCAGCCCCATTCACGTAGGATAAATGACCCCAAGTGCTTAACAAATATGATTGGAAGCAGCAAAGAAAAATAAATCAACAGAGCATTCAATTTTAGTCTGGCCTGAAATAGCCCAAATAGATCTGTGAGCTTTCAGTATCAAACCTCAGGCTCCTGCCTGTTGTTATGGAAACCATGTACACAAGCACAGGTTTTAAGTCCCATCACAAGCCATTGAGGAAAAAAGGCTTCATCATCTCTTCATTGCTAATTGTCGCATTGTTAGAATATGGTAACAAAACTCCAATGCGAGAGAATATCACACTGCAACGTGCAATACTAGATTCAAATAAATACATTGATACGTAACAGAAAATACAAATGAATATCTGTCAACTCTAAGCTGCAGCATCAACTTTTATTCATTTCAACCCTTGATTAAGGATGATTCCCAAGTATATACTGACAGCTGTGTTTTCTTCAACTGAATACAGAGTTCATTACATTATATATTTCAGGTAAGGAAAACCTCAAGTCAAATGTGGCATCAATGTAATATCCTGCCTGGTATATATTTTTTTAAAAAAGCACACAGTTGTACGGTTGGATCTTGCAGGTTGACAATATAAAAATGCTCACGTTGCCTTGTTCAACAGATAACCTTGGATTTAGGGATCTGTGGAAATGCTGTTACGAGTTCTGACCTGGATAGACCAAAATGAAGCAATCTTGTGCGTCTGGCTGAATCAGATGAATCCAACCTGCATTTTACTGGGGACCACAGGTATTTTCGAAGAGAAGGGCTGCGAGCACCCACTTTATAAAATTGGTCTTCTACAGACATCGGGCTGACTGATGAAGCAGTGGTGCATCTTTTCCCCAGGAATGAGTAGGTGAGCTTCGCTGAAAGTTGCGGTGACCTACACGTACTTACAGCGGTTCTGAGCTGCTTACGGTTTTCTTTGTGCAAAGCAATTCTTTTGTCCTCCTGGGGCTTGTTACTCACATTTCTTTCAGCCGCACATGAGCTCAGTGAACAGATGTGAACCTTTGCCATATCCTTCAGAACCAGTTCTCGTGCCAGTTTGTACTTTGGGACTTTCATTTTCATCTGTGCCATTTCATTTTCTGCCACCACAGTTTGTCTCCACTTCTCTATCTCCACCACTTTCAGTGGTGTAAGATATCTGCAGCGTTCCTCCCTCGTAATCATATTTTCTTTGATGAGACAATTGCGTTTGGAGTCCTGTTTCTGCAGCAGTGCTGTGTGTTTCCTAACATTTTCTTCATTCAGGGTATGCGTCTCCTCAGCCAAAGCCATCTCATACCTTATCTTCAAACTCTAAAATTGTGTTTGCGTGATAAGTGGGGAGGGAAAGGAGGAGTGGGTGAAACTCTCACATTTCAAAATCACCCAAAATATTCTTGTAAGCCAGAGTGGAGCAGCAGTAGTCTTCTTGGTTACACTGCTCTCCGATGTTGACAAATGCCCTTATAAATCACCAGTCCAACATAAAAGAGTTACACATGGAAAACCAGCCAATCCGGAAATACCACCGGTAGCCTCTACTGCACTCCCACAACTTAACAATCAAGCAAGAACCAACCACTGAGGCTCAGTAAACGTATCATTAAACATTTCCGTCTGGTTGCCTTAAAAAGGTAAGGCAGTGTTCAATCTCTTTAGCAGAGGAAAAGAAATCTGGTGATTACCTTGAATTTAATTTCACAACTTACTGCCCACAAATATGTGAAGGAAGGGTTTTATTGTCAAGCGTTGGCACGGTTACAACTGATGTTTTGCAATAAGTGATCTATGGTTGAGAAAGTCTTAAAAAGTAATGCCGTAAAATGCAACCCCATAAAATTATGCCTGAATGTAAAATGTGTGAAGAAAAGTTATGAGTAGGTTACTTAAGAGTTTTTACTCACACAAAAATATTTTTGTGGTATAGCACACAGGAGTGGCTGGTGTAGATATCATTTAGTGGCATATTGCATGCTAGATTTTATTCAGATATTTAACAAATCAACAACTTGCACTCATGTAGCATCTTTCATACAAGATAATGTCTTGATGCACTTCAAAGATACAGCTTATTTCCCAGTAGGATTGTATTTTCTGCCACTAATAAAACAACAAAATGAGTTCTCTCTTTATTCAGCACAATAAATCAGGCTTTTACTGAAAATATAACCAAGCAATTAACGTCATGGCTGCTTCCCATACAATTTTCAAATCTAACCCAGTACAACTACACTAACTAAATCAGATGAATCCAATCTGCATTTTACTGGAGATGACAGGTATTTTCAAAGGAAAGGGCTGTTAAACAATTATTAAGACTACCTTGTACTTTACGATGCTAGGAACTGTGCCAAACTCCTAATGAACATGTGCTGCATGAGAAGCACGATATAAAAGCCCAATAAAAAATTATATGTAACTCACTACAAGCTAGATTTTGAATTAAATATTAAAAAATGGTTTATGATAGATTTACAATGTCTCATCATCATTTGCATTTTGTCGTCATTTCAAACTATCGGATGTGAGGTCGCAAGAGGGGTGAAACTATGAAAACAGAGACTTTAAAAAAAAATCAAAGTCACATAGCCTCTCAACATTTAGGAAAAATCCCTGACAATAGTTTCAACCCTTTACAAATATAGTCAAAGAATACGTCTACAATAAAGGCACAAATTTATCTGTTCAGTGAGGGAGGGAAACAGAATGAGGTCCAGAACAGTTCGCAGTCCACCTGAAGAACTACTATTCTATTCAGATACTCACAAGGCATTATTTTCAATGCAATTTTCCGAGGTATTTCCAACAGCAATTGTGTAATGACCATGACAGGTCGGTGTGTTAGCATTCATGCATTAGCAGACTACATGGAGAGACCCGACTGTCATAGTAAAATTGCGCTCTAATTGAAAACAATGACGTATTATAGGACTATGCTGCAGTGCATGGCAGTAGCATTTTTATCGCTTGACTTCCAACACCCCAAGCTCAAGCTAGCTTTTTGGGTCTGACTAACTCATTTGATTTTAAAGTGTGACGTCCAGTGAAAGCAAAACCTATTCTCACAGGGAAGCAGAACACAATTCAGAAGGTGAATGAAGTTCTTGCAGAGCTGCAGAGGAAAAATCCTGCTCGTCTGTTCAGTTAATGTTCCTTTGCATGCAAGAAACTAAAGTAGGTGAGCGCATTTTAAAATTAATAGGGAGTAGAAATTAAATACTACAGGGAAGATTACAATTAAGAGGACACATTCAAGTGTCTGGGACAATGCGTTTAATAATCATCATGTTTGACCTTTTAAAACTCATCAATCTTTTGTGGAACATGCATCAAAAAGCAACTCCGACAGAGACAATACTTGTTGGAGATAAACAAGATAAACAATCAATCTTAAGAGCTCTGCTTAAAAAAAATGCCACCTCCCCTCCTGCTCAACCATTTTTTCATGCCCTCTCGGATTTATTTTAATGAATTTCCCCCCATATTGAAATCACTCAAATGCAATTGTTTATTAAGCCTCACTTATTGAAATGCTAAGTCTGAAACTGACAGTGATGCCTGCAGTCTGCCATTCAGTATGAGCAGGTCAGTGCTATCACGAAAATACAAGGTGGAGAAGCCTTCAATTATGTAACTGAATTAAATGTGTTTTTGAAAATCAATAATGAAACAAGTCAGTTTCCTAAATTACAACAAAGGTAATGTCAAAAAGTGCAAAGACTCCTTGTAGTTAGTGGTGGGTTACTTGAGAACAGTGATGTTCTTTGTTCTGCCATAGAAAGGAACACTGTACATTGCCACTTGTGACTAACATCAAAACAAAAGACAGTCTGCAGGGGGTCTGATAAATCAGCAGCAGGCTGGTAAAGTGCGGAAAGCTTTGCCCCCATTACACAGTGCCATAAGTGTACAGTGTTAACCTGCCATTCTCACACTAAAACCCAGCTCAAAACATTTAAATGGCACTTGCTTGTCTTCTCACCAGCAAATTTCGATATTGTGGCTATTGTTGTGTTGTGGCACTGCATTGTAGAATTTTTGCAGAGTATCAGTTTGCCTGTTTAATTGAATATCATCATTACAAATGTGGTGATACTGTACTTCAAGTGAATAAATAATAAATAAATTCACTCATGCAAATGCTTGAGATTCGTTCAATGAAATTCAAATGTCTACACTCTGACTCAAGTACTTAAAACGAAGCATTCCTACTGTTTGATTGTCATCACTGATGGCCTTAATTTGACTTTTAAGCCTTCATTACTCACCATTTACTGATGCTTAATTGATGAACTTTGTATTGCAATTCCCTTTGAAAAACCCAGTAAAATCAAGCAATCACAAAGCAAATTGTGCTAGAACCTGACTGCCAAGACCACCTTGAGAACCCCCAAGGGAACATTTCAAAAGAGTTGGTTATGAGACAGGCTTTTAAACAACAGGAAAAGTAAATGCATAGGAAGAATTTCTGTACTCTTTCTTTGACAAGACAGATAATGGGTGCGGGAAATATAAATCTTTTAGAACTGGAAGCAATATTGCATTGTTTCAAGCAGCGTAATCCCTACACTAGTTGCAAGCTTTTCTTTAACATCCATCTTCTTTTGGCGGGTCTCAAGTTTCTAAAGTCCTTTCTTATGTTATGTACCACATAATTGTTTTGAAACAACGCAACCTTTTAAACCTTCCTTTTAAAGTTGGATTACTTCCATTTCACTTTTGGTATCTTAGTTCCTGTTATTGGATGGACTGATATCTGTTGCTGTAGCAATTGATTGGCTCCCTAAGCACCTGGAGCAGAAACATTGAACTCCGGCAAAGATGCAGTGCTTTTGAGAAACTAAAATGAACATTTTTTAAAAAATCTTATTCGGAGAAGCTTGACATGTTTTACGTGACTTGACAAGCAAGTCAACCTTCTCAGAATAAGATGAAGAATCACAAAAAGTAACAATATCATTCAATTACACAGGTTTGGAAAAAAATAGAAAAGTATTAAGGCTTTAGTTAGTTCATGTAGGCACTATGGTGATGTCACCTGTCATACAGCCAGGTATACAAATGTAATTTGTTGTTGTCCATTTTAAACACCTGAGGTAATGGCAGCTTCCAGGTTAAATGCTACCTGCAGTAGTGACTGTTAATTGTGAAAAGGTAAGGGTCAAGATATCATGCTCTAATGGAGTCCAAGTATTCATTTGGCAACATAGCAAATACATATTTCATATCAAAGTCCTCTCCCAAAGCAGTAGAGAAATGTCAACAAGAAAGGAGTGATTCAGTCAGCAAACTGATCTGTATGTACAAGTTTTTGCTTTTAAAAAGATAAATATATGAAGGATAACAATTATTCAACCAGACTGTTATGGCAGAAGCAAGGAAATTCACACACAACACAACAATCACCTTACCTGTCCCAGTACTTCAAAGACAGATGTCCTAATCGTTATCTAGTAACAGAACAAACAGATGCTGAGAATCAGAAATAAGTGGAAATCTCCAATAAAATAAAGCTAAGTCAGTATACATCAACACATTTTTTTTTGTTTGGTCAGTTGGGTGTTACCCATGACCAGTGTATCCAACTAAAAAAGTTCAATATAGTTTCCACCTACACATGGAAATTCCCATGTTTTGCACACTCTCTTCCCAGAGTATCCTACTTAAGTATTCCAGAGAATATTTGACGCAAGTTGGCAAGAGCAAAGGCTTGGGGACCTCAGAGTATGCGTTGGGGTATTGTTGGGAGGTTAACCAGCTAAAACCACATAGCTTACCATTGAGAGGACTGTCTGGCATGCTTTCAGTTTTATAACTAAAGAAATCTGCCAAATGCCTCAGTTTGGCAAACATGTAGCATGGTTGCCTACATGTTGCCACATTTAATGTCAGAGACTTCTTCAAAGCGTAGGAGGTAGGAACACAAAAAAGCCAGTGTCTACCTTATATTGGCAGCCGGCAGATGTGTGAAGCTGTAGTTCTGGTACAGAGGTGTCATTTGCAGGTCTTGCTCTCTGCAGTTTGGCAGAGATCACTGTGAAAGACGGTCCACTGAAATCAATAAAACATGCGTAAGTTAATACTGGTAAAAGATAATAGTCCTTGCATTATTTTTACAGTACCTCATGACATCAAAACCTGTCAAAGCACTTAACAGTTTACGGTAAAGTTTAGTGACAGCTATTTTGGCGAAGATGAGATCAGTGCATTTTTTAAATGCAGCTTATGCACGAATCCTTGCACTTTAACCCACTGTGCCTCCAGATATCCTCGGGAAATAATAGTTTTGTGAAAGCATAAAACCCTTTATTTAGAATACTGACCTTGTCATTATGACAGAATCTTCATGAGACCATGGTACATGAAACCTGTATATATCAGCCTTTTTCTCTGTAAGAGAAGGAAGTTCCACGTAATACATGTAAAGAAATCAACCACTTTGTTATGATTCAGGAAAATTAAGTAAACTGAGACCATTCCAGTTTTTTACTAAAATACCAGTCACATTTGCGTTCATTTACTTATTTTATTTGCACTCATCAAAGCAAGGAATAGAGGGGTTGGGGGGAAGAGAAGCAGGATTTCCATTTTTTATTGTCATCCATTGATACAATCTGGGACATTGCCCTGCGTGAGGGGCGCTATATAAATTCAAGTTGTTGTTGATACACCCTGGAAAGTGTAATATGTGAACAGGACTGAGGTCACTTTGTGATGCCTTGTGACAGTAAAGCAGCCTACTCACAGTGACTATGTCTTCATCCACCCCCCCACCCCATGACACAAAATATACTGAATCACATATAAATTAAGCATTGAAAGCAAGCTTCTCAAAAATGATATAAACCAGTGTCTCAATTGATCAGAAAGGGAGTGACAACTTACAATAAACAACAGATACACTTTATCAATATCATACACTTCAGAAGGCTTATTTACCTTTAGATAACGGGCAATCTCTCTTCACTTGAATTTTAAAAGCCTGATATATCTAAATAGGATAGAAAGATGAGTAAAACTTCTGAAAGTTGGAGCAATCTTTGAAACAAATCTTCATGCAGCACATTTTCTCTGCAATATACTTTACCTGGTTAAACTCCTGAAGTTGCACAACATACATCAAACCGGTGGAGTTTATAACAACTTTGCTGGCAGAAACACCTACATAGAAAGCATGCAATTAATTTCTCAAAGTAACTTATACAGTTAACAAAGTGTCCAGAAACATTGTTTAAAGGAAAAAATAATATACCAAAAGAGAGGATGTGCACGACTGGTGTAGACATCATTCTGGACGCCGCTGAGAAGAATTCACACTCTATACTCAACTGTGAAAGAATTGGGAACATGGAAACATTTATAATTGTGAAGTAAGTTTAGAAATGAAATTTTGCTGCAAACTCTTGTATTCTTATACTGCAGTCAATTTCAACAAATTACTAAACTAAAAGACGTTTAGAATCGAAAGTCCTTAAATGTGCCACTAAACTTGTTGATGTTATTAAAGAGCTAATCGACTGTACCTCTTCAATCATGTTCAAGGATTGCAGGATTGAGGGCATCCCCCATTTACAAGTCTGCCTGGGATTATTACAAACAAGCTGAGTTATTAGACATGGTTGTATGTGCCCATAGTAAAGACCAAAAACAATTAGCTGCATTCATTTAAAATACAACAATAAAATCAGCTTTCAGCTCAAGTGAGCACGCTTTCAAAATGTTTGACCTTTTTTCAAACTTACATATCGATAAAAAGATTTTTAAAAAGATTTTAAAGGCTGTACTTTGATTGAGCACAAGCACAATTCTATTGGGAAACTATTTAAATGTTCCAAAAGCGAGTTTGTTTTACAAGAAGAAAAAAAAACAAGATCTACAGATCAAAATAAGCATAAACTCAGGGTAACAGATTTTAATACAGCACATCGTAGCATCCATGGCTTCATTAGAGAAAGCATTAGCTTTATATGTAATGCAAGCTGTTGTATTGCATATTAATGAAATAGAAGAATTAGTGCGGTTTTCCTTTATCCCTCCACAGGCTGCAAATCATCCAGAACTCTGCAGCCTGTGTCCTCTCCCGAACTCCCATCCTTGCCGAACTGCACTGGCTTCCCATCACACAGAGGATACAGTTCAAGATCCTGGTCCTCACCTTCAAAGCCCTCCATGGTCTTGCTCCCCCCTACCTCCCTAACCTCCTAACCCCTCTACCATGCTGTTCGCTCCCTCCGCTCACCAGGCTCCGGCCTACTTCATGTCCCCCGCCTCGCTCGCCCCACTATTGGCGGGCAGACTTTCCGCCACTCTGCACCCACCCACTGGAACTCCATCCCGCAGTCCCTCCGTCTTGCCCCCTCCCTCGCCACCTTCAAGACCTATGTCAAGACGCTCCTCTTTGACTGTGCTTTCGATCTCCGTTTCCCCCTCCTGCCCTCCACCCTGACCCCGAGCTCGAGACGTAACTCTGTCCGTCCAGTGCTTTGGGACGTCCTCCCGACATGAAAGGCGCTATACAAATGTAATTTTGTTGTTATTTGTTGCTTACCTGTTTGTTAACACTGGTCGTAGAAATATGAATTACAAAATGTGAGAAAGAACGATACTCTTCCAGTTTAAGCTTCACTATCTAAAGAACAAACAGTAGGTTCGGATTTAGAAGAAAAACAATGGGTTGACTAAGTCAATAACTAGTAACAATAACTGTGCACCTAGTAAATCAGGAAGATAAAAGTCACAGACAAAGCCACTACCTGTATACAACGGGCATTTAGTCAAAGTAATTGCCGAAATTCATCAGATTACTCAATATTTTCCAACAATTAACCGAAAGTTTAAGTTAAAATTTTGAATTTTGAAACTTAAGAGATTAATCCTAATGTATTTTAGTGAGCAATTTCAGAACATTGTTATTAGTAAGGATACATCTGATTAAGGTATACTGTCAACTGTATATTAAATACAGTTCTGAAATAAATACAACTTCCCAAGTTTGTTTCTTGGTCAGTGTTATTACTGTACAAACATTCTTGTTGTATGTTAGATTCTTTAAGCATATCTTTTATGTCTCATAACTTATTGGTCATGCTCCAGTGTGCCCCTCACTTTACTTACGTCAGGTGTTGCCTCCTCATATAGTTAACAATCTATAACTAAGACTTTTTAAAAAAAAAATTTTTATTAAATACGCAATTCTTCTATAAACCAAACATTGTTTTTCAAGCCCATAGCAATGGTACTGTAAAGCACACCTGCAAGTCATTATATAACAGAAGTCAATGAAGAACCTTGGGCTGTGTAAAGGACCCCAAAATATGCAATTATTTTAACAGCAAGATTCAAAATTAGTTATTGGTCCAATATTTTAACTCATTTTTTAAGTCATCTAACAGATTTTAACTCAGTACTCAGTGCTGTGTCAAAACTATATGCAGCATCACTTTAATTAATTTTTGGTTATTTTGTTTGAATAATTTAAATCATTTAAGGAAAATAAAAACATACCTTAAACATCTGCAGCAATTCTGATTTCCCAGACAAGTTAATGCCTTCTTGGCTGCGTGGGAAAATTAGCTTTTTTTTTTAAAAACACAAAGAATGTATTTTGGTAAAAGAAAAAGACAGCAAAATTGACATTCACTGCAATAGGGGGGGGGGGGGGGGGGGAAGAACTCGTGCTACATTCCCAGGCAAACAATAAAAAGTGAGGAAAGTAATCTAAAAAAGAAAGTGTAGAATATGTACAGATAGGCAAGAGCAGATCAACAACCATGCATATCAAACAATCTGATGCGTTTCTTCACTGTCAAATACCAAACGTGGGAAATGAAAAGGTAACATGAAGAGTGTAAAGGATCAGGGTTAATAAATATAGAATAAAATCTTTATTTTGTTTTCTATTTTGGAAGGCTAAAACGAACAATGTTCTGCAGCATATTTCATCTTGTTTCTGAATTAGTTGAAGCTGAATTAGTTGAAGTAAAAATTCAACCAATCAAGTCTGTTTTGCCTTTGTCTTTGAATACCATTTCCCTGTCTTTTCTCCTTACTTCCCAAGTATCAATCTTTCTCTCTTTTGAACAAACAAATCATTTGTACGACATGTCCGAGATGATCAAAAATCTTAATCTCACAATCAAATCTGGTGTTGGGAATGCAGAGAAAATCAAATTTAGAATACAGCTAGCAATATCTGACAAATTCCCAATAGTTGTTATTTGGTGCCACTGAATTCCTTTCATCATTATCAAATTGGTGTTTCCGCAAATTCACAAGATTGCAGTCTGCAACACCTGATTGCACTCATTGTATGTGATATTCATAAACTGCACAGAGGAAAGGTGATCAGTTTCGTAACATTAGATTCAATTCATTCACATCATTAAGCCAACTATTGTGTAACAGCCAACAATTGTTTGGCAGTGAACAGCTCATCAAGGTCATTTATCATTGGGATTTATCATGTGCTGATCATAAATTGTAACTATTTTCACTTTTTCCATTATAAAGACAAGCAAAAATATTGCAAAGTTTTGTGATCAATATACGATGGTTCCCACTGACCTCTTGTACAACTACCTCACACGAGACCTAACTCGTACAATTGGTATCAAATGACAGCAAGGACTTTTGGTTATTAAATTAATTTTTCTGACCTCATGAAATGTGAGTCTAGTTCAATTCATATAGCATTTCCACATCTGTACAGTATATTCACTTTCAAATTCAGGATTCAATTCTGGAAGAGGTAGAAATTCCTAACCCAATTTCTTATCATTGATTCTCCCCACCACCCCTCTTCATATGTCAAACAACACTTGTGGAACATACACTGATTACTGGAAATCTTCTTTAACCTTACGTTATTTGGTCTTTCTAAACAAGCATCTCCCAATGTTCTAATGTCGATCCATCAACATTACCCTGGTTGCCCAGAGCAGTGAGTTTGTCCAGCCATGGGCAATTCTTGCACTTGTGCACTTCATCAATAATTTCAGTTGCTGATCTCAGTGGGGAAGCAACGGGATCATTATAAATGGGCTCGGCATTCCTGAGCTTGGAAGCGAATAAAAAAATACTGCATCATCCTGGTCTAATCATGTTTCTTTTTGATAGATAAGCACCAAAGGACCGAGCATTAATCCCATGGGCCAACTATTGCAGACAAGTTTTGTACACTTAACAGCATCAGAATTTCAGTAGTGAAACTTATGTTCATCTGTTTGAATATTGCATCCTTGTCAATCATTAAATATATCTGTTGACGTCTACTTAAAACCACTCCTAAAAAAATATATAATGCAGATTACCATACTTCTAATTGTACAAAGAGGAAGGGGAAATATCAGCACATCTACAAATGCATGGGGCAATGACATGCTTAGAAATATTTCATCTTTACAATGGTACATTGCTTCTACAAACATCTGGTTTAAGTTGTATGGAAAACAGGGGAGTGAGGGGGACGGAAAAAGGAAAAGGTCTACACAGTCGCAACATGCAATGATGCAAGTAGGGAGTGCTTTTCCACTATTAGGGTTCAGCTACATGAAGCAATGCAGAAGGAAGACCTGCATTGCAATCAGCTAAATCATACCTAACACTGAAGTGCTTGAAACGGTGACTGAGAGCATAAAATGGGAAAGGGTTCCATTTCCCAGCACTATTATAGAAAACAAAGAAAACATAAATTCAGAAAATAACATGGCTTTGCTGGCATTATTGATAGGAACTGAGAATGCTGGAGAAATATTAAATCCCATAATAACTATGTCAAGAGGTCATACATCAACAACAACAATAACTTGCATTTATATAGTGCCTTCACATAAGGTAGCTTCTCAGAGCGTTTATCAGTGATGGAGCCCGACACCGAGCTAGGGGAGGTGACCATAGGTACGGTCGAAGAGGAAAGTCTTAAGGTGTGATCTGAAAATGGTCTACACCAGGAAGGGAGAAGGCGGAGAGTTTGAGAGAGAGTTTCTGAGTTTCAGGGAGTCGTGGCTGAAGGCATGGTGCCAATGGTGGAACAGAGGGGAAGAGGGACGTGCAGGCGGCCTGATCCAGTCGAGCGGGGGTGGTGGGTGGTGGTGTTGGGAATAAGGAGGTCAGCGAGGCAGGAAGGTGCCAGGATTTGTAGACGAGGGTGAGGAACCTGTGCTGTTGGATTTTGTGGATAGTGGGGCTGGGAAGGCTGGCAAGGAGGACATTTGAATAGTCGAGGCGTGAGGTGACAAAGACGTGGACGAGGGTTTCAGCTCTGTCAGGTGTGAGTTACGGTCAGAGGGGGGCAATGTGATGGAAGTGGGAGAAAGCGGACCTTTTTAGGGACTGGATGTGGGATAGGAAGGAAAACCAGACACCTAGATTACGTACAGGTTCAGTAAGTCTTAGGGATAGGCCAGAGAGGTTAAGGAGGCCAAAGCCACAGGAAAGAAGACATTGACATAAGCCAAGGAGTATCGCTTTCTATCTTCTTGACATTCAGCTGCAGGAAATTTGTGCCTTTATGTCTGACAAACAAGCTCACAGATCAGCGGATCTGGTGTCACAGCTGGAGGATTATATCCTCTCCTCTTGATGCCACCATCTTCCATCCTGGTCTTGCTCAGTATAAATAAAATTTTAGCCCCAAATGACCACATAACAAATATGAAAATAAGATTATGCTTAATTAGGTTATAAATACACTTGTGCCAGCCTTTGGCATTAGGTCATGTGAACATACCACAAATCAAGATTAGCGTTTTTTTATTAAAATTAGCTGCATAAACACGTAATTCCAGTTGCTCAGGTCTTTGTTTCCAGTCATACGCTTCCATCACTACAAGAACAATACGGATATTGCTACTAACTTTGAACTGAAGAATTCATAATAAAATGCATCAGCTAATAATAACTTTATCACACAACATTTAATTATTTATCCCTATAATAAAAAAATTCTCATTCATTTTTCCGCAATCAGAAGGAGGGGCAGTTTACACTGAAGACTTCAATTTGACTGCCAACAATACCACTTTATAGTCGGTCCACAGCAGGTGCATTAAAAACAGTATGGCCTCAATATTGTCCAGTTCTGCAAGGATTCCCATCCAGCAACCTGACTAAGAACACGTAAAGCACTCAACTAAAGCTAGAGAGCGCGAGTGTTAAGCAGTCTATAGCTGGAATTTCCAAGTTAGAAACTAACTGCTTGAGGATACCAGACATTGCAGTCTACTTATACACACACCTCATATCAAACAAGGATCTGCTTTTATTTCTCTTTTATGTGTTTGAGTTCATTTAAATGTAGTTTTGAAGATAAAAACAAGACTTTCAAATATGTACTAATCTCATTTAAAAGAGAAAAAAGGATGTGAAAGCTAATATCAAGAAAACACTTACCAAACCGACTCCTTATTCTTTCCACAGCCATAGATCCAGTTACTGGTGTCCTGTCAATTAAAAAAATCCAGTGTTTGTGTCAGTCATTCCCAATTCACTGGACTTGTATGAGATGTTGAACTGAGGCACAAAAGTATGCTTATGTAAAAGACAAACTTGGCTGCCGCGTTTCGCCCACAAAATATACAATCAATTAACTTTTTAGTATATTCTGTGAAGCGCTTGGAGACATCTCAAAGAGGTGATAAGGCATTATATCAAATGCAAGGATTATTATTATTTACCAAGTTTAAGCATATCCAAACCAAACTGAAAATTCTATGTATACCACCTATGCATGGAGGTAGTTTGTTGGAATGGAATGCATTCTCTGGAGAGACGCATCCTGCTTGCCTAATTCCAGAAAGTATTAGACGAATGTTGGCAGGGGCCAACGGTTGAGGACCGCAGAGTGTTTGTTGGGGAACTGCTGGAATCTTGGCAACACAATGTTAGAATCAAAGCAATCCTCTTTATCCATTTTTATGCATCATCAAGGGTTATTAAATCATACTTTAGTAAATAGCTGCTGGTAGATCTCTGTGTGATGTTCAAAGCCAAACAATAAATTAATAACCATTCGATTAAAAATATAGATGTTCCCAGCCAAGACTTATTTTTCTGAATCGATTACAGAACACTTAGATGTAATTTACTTTTCTTACAGCAGAGAAGATGCATTCTTATGCAAAATTTATCATTGTTGAATTTTTGATCAAAAAGGTTGGTTTCCTTACCAAGTTCATATTTCGACAATAAAGATTATTATCTGATTCTCCCTCAGTTGGAAGTGGTAAAAGGAAATATTTTGCCTCGGGGTCCTGTGCAGAAAACTGAAACAAATTTTTGCTGATATAATTTCAAAGACAAACAGATCAGAAATGTTGCTGAAGTTCCAAAATGTAGCATTCAGTACCTGTGGACTGGTGTAAGTCCATCGGTTTGTTTTTATTTCTGTCCACCTGGAAAGTGAACCTATAATAAAAACATAAGCACATTTAAAATTTTTTTAACAAGTTTACCAAATCCCTCATTTAAAACAATAATAATCCAAGCATTTGATATAGCGCCTTATCACGTCTTTGAGACGTCTCAAAGCACTTCACAGAATGTACTGTAAAGTGTATACTGTATATTTCTGTGGGCGAAACTGGGCAGCCAATTGCGCACAGCAGTGTCCCACAAACAATTGTGGAGTGAAGAGACCAATTTATTATTATGTTTTTGAAGGAATTAGTACCCATGGAAAAGCGATCCGCCAATTGACTAATAACCGGGTTCCTACTTGCTGCTAGGTAAATAGAGGTGTGTGGAGTCAGGAAACTTGCCCATCGTTTCGTCCTACCAAGAATCAAACCCAGGTCTCTTGCACGTGAGGCGAGTGCTCTGACCAATGAGCGGCAGGAATAGTAAGCTTCAAACCTGAGATTGTGACTGAAGACTCGGGCTTATTCTTAGAGGCTTTCAGTGAGTAGCTGACAAAACGATTGTGAAGAACAGACATCCTCTGGCTCGGATCAGTAGTTATCTGAATATAAACAAATCCGCAAACCATCAGCAAGCTGGAACTTATTTTTAAACAAAAAAATTTAAGGTATATTTAGCAGCTAAGACATTGTCTGAAAACAAATCATCACTATTCAAACAGTCATTTTGTTGTTGTTGCTGAATTTTACTTTAGATTTTTATGAATACAAAAGTCTGTTATACAGCAGAGTTTTGAATTCCTCAACTCCGTGGTCAAAATGATTTCAGTAAAATGAATCAAGTACTGAGGCAACACCAATCTAGTTCAACTCTGCAGCCAGCACACCTTTGGGAATGAATCTTCTTTCAAATCTCATCCAATCGGTTTACTGAAACTATGGCTTTTTCAGAGGGAGTTTTGCTTCTTGCTACCTTCCATCTAAAGATGGTTGAAGCACAATGAGACTCAGGAGAGGGGTGGGGGTAGCAATTTTTTTTCACTAATCTTCCGCTTTCACTAAAGTAGCGTTACATTCATTTGATGAGTTCACTATTAAATAATCTATGAAGTTCATGTGATTATCAGGTGGCAAGTTTTTTTTGTTTCATTTCACACAACTGTTTATTCTAGGCTTTGAAAATTATTAGCAACCTCAATTAATGAATGTTATAGTGAATAAATGCTTTTTACATTAAATTAAGTCAACCTGATGTGTTCGAGGATCAATAAGATCAAAGAAAGCTCTGATAGTGGCCAGCACCAGTTCTTTACACCTGAAAAGTAGACACAGACAAGAAAGAAAGTGACGTGCTTTATTTACTTCACACACAATATTAATGCTCAAAACTCTAGCAAGTTATGTTTTATCTGCATAGTATAAACAGCTAGAAATTCCTTCTAGAATTGCACAAATGACAACAGCCTCCATTACTTTGCCCAAGTGACCAATCTTCATGAGAACACTCTTGCACCCAGAGCCCAACAAGATCGGCTGCTTTGCTCATATCTAAACGGTCTCATAAACGATATTCAGATTTTGCTGATGTTCAGTGTAACATACGTTATTGAAGTTTTGATAATAAACTGACTTGCTGAATCTTTAAGACTAACATTTGTCCTTATACTCCTTCATACTCACCAAACTATGCAAAGATGATCTGTCGAGAGCCATGCCATTGGAACTGCTGATGTCTGAGTGGAATAAAAAAAACTGCTAAGAACATTTGGATGTAATTTGAGACATTGTGAAATATTTCTCTCATTTTAATACTGTAATGTTGCATATTTTCCTGTCCGGAAGGCTTGAACCAAGACTCTTGCTCCATAACCAGTCAGCTCGGACTTTTGGTAGCACCTCCCACCTCTGTATCAGAAACTTGTGGCTTCAAGACCGGCAGCTTTGAGGTCATGGTCCAGGCTCAGGCTGACACCCCCATAACAAATGCTGTGTGAGAGCTCAATCAAGTGAAGTGGAGGAAATGCTCTGTACTCACTAGCTACATGCACATTACTAAAGTATTTGCATTTCCAATCCAACATAGGATATTTTAAAACCAACTCCAGACATAGGATCAAAATCACTCTCAGATGATTGGAAAGCCACAGCAGCAAAATGTAAGAGCAGAAACGCTGCATTCCAACTGAAGCATTATTTTCCACAAGTCAGCAAAGTAGTATTCCTGCAGTCAACTCTACTAAATAGCCATGCAATGGCATTCCTTTAGTTTTCGAATATTTCAATTAAATGTAATAAATTACTGATTTAGAAAATGTGCTGATGCCATTGCTTACTGCTTTTACATCGTACTGAGGTACATTCCCCCTAATTTGTCCCCCACCCCAACCAATCACCAACTTAATGTATTGCAAACAACATTTTGGGAGCTAGTTACTTAGTAAGTGTTTTACCAAAGTCCTTTCATAACAAGGAAGCAAATTAATAAATAATAATCCTTCCTTTTCGTTTCACGTCTTTCACATCAGGAGGAGACCTCAAAGTGCTTCACATGATATATTGTAAAGTGTAGTGACTGTGAAATTTATGTAACAATTATAACTGCAAATGGAGAAAAAATATTACCACAACGTTTAGAGTATGATTATAAGCGTCCAGGCTTGGCACAACAGTCAGACCTGACCGGACTTGATAATCACGGAAACCGCCACCCACAGAAAGAATGGTGACGTTTCTCAAGTCTTTTTCATTGAGAATCCAGTAACTGTTTACAGCGGTGTAAAAGTCTGCAGAGAAAAACAATTTATTTAATTCAAGTTTGATTTAACAAATTTGATTAAGCCTGCTCAGCGGGCTCCGACTTGCGTCACATCCCCCGCCTCGCCCGCCTTACCATTGGCAGATGGGCCTTCAGCCACTCTGCCCCTGCCCTCTGAAACTCTGTGCTGCACTACCTTCACCTCGCCCCCTCCGATGCCTCCTTCAAAAACCCCCTCAAGACCCTCTTATTCGACTGTGCCTTCGGTCACCCTACTTCTCCCCCTGCCCTCCACCCTCCCCGATCCCAAACCCTAGCTCAGGTCCTAAACACTGATTGCCCAGCGCCTTAGGATGTCCTCCTGACGTGAAAGGCGCTATACAAATGTTATACTTGTTGTTAAAACGTCAGTGGTCAATGCCAGTGTGTCAATTGGATGCAGCACTGATCTAACAATATAGGGAGTAAAACCATGTAAAAATAGTGGATTTCAGGGAACCGTTCCCATTCCCATATTTATTGGTGTAATTCCTGTTGTGATGGCAGCACTACCTACTACCAACATAAACTTTGCCTAAGTAATAGATACTTGAGTAATGTAAACAACAACAACAAAATTACATTTGTAAAGCGCCTTTCAGGATGGGAGGACGTCCTTCGGTGCTGGACAGACAAAGATACGGACCACTGTCGGCTTCCAGACTTACCTGTGAGGTAGCTGTCTAGAGGCAGGACTGGTGCAATGTGAGGTGTTGCTTGAGTTATAATAAGACTGATCAGTGTTGGGTCAAAGTTGCGTAAAGTGAACAGTGCTCTAGCTATAATGCCACCCATTGAATGACCAACAATAGCAACACTGTGAGGGGGAACCTTTCGACTCTGTGGATGGAAACAAATAAAAAAGGTGCAAACTAAATATCTTGTCCATATCTCCTTCAAAAAATAAAACAATATTAAACTCTTCTGGGTGATATAATGCACTGTGAATCTTTTCAGCCAAGCTCAAACTGAAAAAATGAGCAAAGTTAAATGGAGTTGCACATTTCAGTCTATTGATAAAACGTTTCGAAAACTGCTTTGGAAAACAAAATTGAAAATTTAATCTTGGTAGAGTACATTAAAATACTTAGGTTGAAGTAGAACTCATCCACGTACTAAAATGTATCACTTGAACTTTAACCAGAGAAAGTTAATCTACAAAAATTCTTCAATGCACCTGTATGTAAGAGATTGAATATCACAAGAAAGGCAATTCAGAGAGGGATAAACATGGTGGTATTGTATTTGACAAGCTTTTTCAGGTTACCAAGCTTGAAACTTATTTTTCTATTGACTGACTGTTAAGTTGAATTTTCCAACCGTACTAAAACATTTGCTATGGTGCGCTGAGGATGCTGTACAGTCCATGCATGTATTAATTGTTCTAGACCTATTTCCATAAACTAGTTTACAGGCCCATTTTAAGCCAACTTACTGTACAAAAAAAAAACTTGGGGAGTTAATCTAGCATTGGTACAGTAAAAGTCATCATCGCACGAAAGATTTGTTTTTGTTGTTTGGTGAATTTCTGCTCAAAAATTGGAGAGGGGCACCAATTGTAGGGAATGGAATGTGTGCATATTTTTCCCTCAGCGACAGTATCAAACACAGGTACTAAAGTGAGCTGTATCACAAATGCGAAGCAGAATAAACTTTCTTCTCTAACATACCTGAACACATAACTCAGAAGATCATCCATACTGGCCAAGTGGAATATTTTTACTTCAGGACAAATTACGAGCAATTCAGACTTGAGTAGCTCTTCAGGCCCTAGAAAAACTAGTTTCTTTGCCCCGAAAGTAACCTCACATCACACTACAAAGCTGGCATTAATTCACAAACCCCAAGAATGTTGAATATTTCTTCAAATTACAAGAACAACTATGGAACAACCCAAGTACACACAGTTCAATAACTGGTCTTCACATATTGACTTTCTCAAGGACACCAACCGCTATGTCAGTCTGATCTTGTTTGAAGGGTCACTAACACAAATTGTCATGAACAGTTTCCATGCCGATGACCTGAGCACATGTACTCCAAATCTGAGCCCATGGCTTGCTGTAATCATTTGTACTTTTTTGATTTGGATGGTACATGTTTTTTTTAAATGATGTTTTCCACAAATGTCCTTACAAAATACTACAATATCAATAAAGTTAGAATTTTTTTTAAAATGACATCAATTGATTTCAGAGTGTTATTTCAGTAAAAGACATTTTGCTTCTGGATCCAAATTTAAAGTCACTCAAAACGTTTTGCTAAATTAGCATTATTTTGGTTGAGACAGGAAGGAAAGAGTCTCTGAATGAGGGAAGATTGATTCGTGTGGAGCATAAATACCTGCATGGAATGGTTGGGCTGAGTTTCTCTGCTGTACATTCTTTGTAAATTAATTCTCACAAATTTCAAGCTTGTTTCATGGATCTTCCCAATTAAGAAGTGTATAAGAATCTGGTTTACTACAAAGTAAATAATGCGGATGCGGGATAACACCTCATAAATGTTATGAAAGGCAAATCTTGGCCCTTACCTTGTAAAGGTTAAGAATGACCTTTGTACATGCACGTACAAACTTTGTTTGCTTCTCCAGGCTACCGCCATAAAGTGCAACCAGTTCTTCATTAAAGTCAACGCTAAAAAAATCGAAGTGGTATTTGTAATACATATTTTGAGCTTTCCTCAGTGCAACAGATCCCAGTGAACGAACTGAAAGGCAAACACAAAAGGGTTTATTAGCAAACAAAATTCTAATTAATAATAATAATCCTTGCATTTGATATACCGCCTTATCATGTCTTCAAAGCACTTCACAGAATGTACTGTAAAGTGAATGGACTGTATATTCTGTGGGCAAAACACGGTAGCCATTTGTGCACAGCAGTGTCCTTCAAACAGTCGTGGATTGAGTGACCAAATAATTATTATTTATTAGTTTTTTTGCTTAATATGTATTTTCTAAAGGGTAATCTGCTGAGCAATGGTGAAATCTACATTCTCTTCCTGCCTTTTACAATGCTACAGTTCTCAGCCAGACAAGTGCTATTTTTGTCCAGGGAATGTGGTTGTTTGCATCAATATAAATTAGTATAAGGAACCCCCCAAAAATACAAGCTTTACCCTCGATTTGGTGCGTTCTAATGCTCAGTTTGGTTGTATGCACGCTGTCCATACTTGCTTCTTAAACAAATTAAACAAGCATGACTCATTTACATATTCCATGCATCATTCAATCTGAGTCCTTTTGAGCAGAGATAAAAGTACTATCAGGCAGTATTTTTTAATGTAAAATCATACCTTGTTTATAACTCCCAGCATTTCCAGGAAGAAACAGGACAGGGATTCCTGTGACTTTTAGTTTCTTGCTTTCTTCAGCATAATCGCCTTCTCCGTAAAGGTACAAGCCATAACTTGGATATTTACTGGCTATCTTCTTAGGAAGCTTGATTCTCTAGTCACAAAGAGAGAGAAAAAAAATAATCGCTATGTGTGTATAATCCAACTCCTCCTGAAAAATCTCTTCAAATTAAGACAACAAACACAACCAGTGACTGATAAAAGTTCCTCTTCTAGGTAGTCTGGGGATGACAGACCGAGCTGGGCACTGAAGGGATATGGAGAGTGGGAAAATAGGATGAAAAATAAAAGATTGTCATGATCTAATAAAACAGCAAAACAGACCAAATGCTTGATAGTGTTCATTCACAAAAGGTGGTTACTATTGGTAAAACCCAACAATAGGTCTCCTGTAATTAGAATTTACTGTATTCTCTCGTCTATAAAACCAATCGCACTTCCAGAATCACTTGATAAATGTATTGGTTTGGGTTTAGCAGACTAATGTTAAAGGAGAAAGATGACCAGAAGGGCAGTCAAAGAGGTGGGTCTCGAGATGGACCTCAAATGAGATGAGGGAGAGAGCGAGTCAGAGGGACCTGGAATGGAGTTCCACGGAGTGGGGGCAGGAAGGCCATGGAAAGCTCGGCCGCTGAAGATGCTGCAAGAAACACGTTTGCTATAGTTACAACCGACTCTTAATTTGTATCGGCGCAATAGGGCTCCCTCCCTCCCTCGCAGAGCGTATCGGGGGGGGCTTCTATAATAATAATCCTCGCATTTGATATAGCGCTTTTCACGTCGTCCGGACGGCTCACAGCGCTTCACAGGATAGACCGTAAAGTGTATGCTGTATATTTCTGTGGGCGAAGCGCGGCATCCATCCCAATTGCGCACAAACAGTGGTGGGTTGAAGTGACCAAATTGATTATTGTTTTTTTTCTCTGGGATTATTATCAGGCGTGTGCGGAGTAAGGAAACTTGCCCGAGGTTTCGCCCCCACCGGGGATCGAACCCAGGTCTCTCGCTTGCGAGGCGAGCGCTCTGACCGCTGAGCTGCAGGACATATATAATACACACACACATATATATATATACATAAAAAAAATACATAATTCTGCAAATATAATAGCATAGATTTTTATACATTGGGCAGATTCTATAAAGTCATAATAACAGTATTCGATATTAATATGTAATGACACAACACATCACATAATAAATGTGTACATAAATATATGTGTATTGAACGTCGTGTGTCGCCCACAAAATCAGACACGTCGATTCACACGACAGTGTGTAGTATATTAAATGCGAGGATTATTGTGGCAGAATATAGATATATAATAATATAATATAATATAATAATAGTGAAACCGGTCCTGGTTCGCTGTCGGGGTTTAACACAGTAAAGCCCTCAGTAACCGGGGCCCGGGGTGGGGGGGTCACAGAGGCCCGGGGGGGGGGGGGGGGGAGAGTTACAGAGGCCCGGGGGGGGGGGGGGGTCACAGAGGCCCGGGGGGGGGGGGGGGGGTTACAGAGGCCGGGGGGGGGGGCGCTGGGTTTAACGTGTGTGACCGGGGTTCGTGAGAGGATTCGGGGACACACACTCCCTCTCCCTCCCTCCCTCCCGCCCTCAGGCCGCGGCCGCTCACCAGGTACTCCGGGCTCTCGAACATGTAGGTCATACTGCACCGGTTCTCCTCGTACACGAACAGCACGTCCCACGTCCCGAGAGCCACCAACAGCAAACAGGCGGCCTCCACCGGCCCCGGGAGGCGCTTCATCCTCTGCAGCCGAGAAGCCCCGCGCGACCGCGGGGGGAGCGGCCAAATTCCTCCCCACACCCCACCCACCAACCAACCAATCAAGGAGCGGGAGGCGGGGCCGCGCCTCCCCCTCGACGTGAGGAAGGAAGAGGGGAGGAGACTCTGTGATTGACAGGACAGCCGCCCACTCACGCGAGCGAGCGCTCATCCATCGGGGAGGTGGGGTGGGCTTCAGCCAATCAGATGCCGGCACGGCAGGTGGGCGGGACTACTCCGTCATTTCGCCCCTCCCCCCCAGCAGGCGGGGGGGCGGGGGGGGCGGGGCCTGGGACCTGCTGCCCATTCTCGTGAGTGAAGGCTCGAAGTCTGCACTGTTACCTGGTGTGGGATGGCCTGGTTACTGTCCCGGGATAGGGGAGGGGAGGGGGCTAAGCGGGGGTGGGTGGGGGGGGTGGGTGGCCTTTCGCGTTGAACTCGCTCCAAGGTGACATTGAGCAGCGGAATCGGAGAATAATAATAGTAATAATCCTTGCATTTGACGTAATGCCTTATCAAGTCTTCGAGACATCTCAAAGCGCTTCACAGAATGTACTGTAAAGTGAATTGACTGTATATTTTGTGGGCAAAATGCGTCAGCCAATTGCACACGGCAGCGTCCCTCAAACAGTCACGGATTGAGTGACCAAATTCCTTTTATTTATTTTTTTGAGGGATGCGCCAATCGACTAACGACCAGGTTCCTACTTACTGTTCGGGAAACCCGAGGCGTGTGGTGTAAGGAAAGTTACCCACCGTTTCGCCAAACCGGGATCGAACCCTGGTCTCACTTGCATGGCAAGTGTTCTAAACCACTGAGGTACAAGACTCCACAAATCCAGTTCCTGAGTCAGGTGGGTCTTATTTTTTTGTCCAGGGCACTGCTGATCCAATATATTGGCAGGACTTGGAAGGACAGACCAGTTGCTGGAGCAGGGATGCTATCCACTCTGCTCCTGTTAACCATGTAAGCCAAAGCCCTGAGGATAGAATGGTCCAAGCTGGACAAGCAGTGAGTGGCAAGGCTTGCAAGGCAGCGTTCTCACTGGCAAGCAATGCTGTTTTAAGATGGTTTAAACGGTACCCCAACTCACACTCCGGGGTCCCCGAATCTTAATTTATGCTAACCTGAGCCTGATGCTCTGGGATTAACTAGAACTGCCTCACTCGTTTGCTAATATTTTCAACCTTTCTATCCAGTCAATCAGGTTTTTTTTAATAAAACAATAGATGCTGTAAAGTAAGATTAGGTTCATGCATTAAATATAAATGATGAACTGCTTCTCATTTCAAGCTCATAAAGATTCAATACTGAAATATAAATTTGCACTAAGCTACTGCAGTGGAGGATAAAGATATATTAGGACAGGTTATTCAAAATATTTAGTTGTTAGGAGCTGGGAAGGTTATGGGCACCAACTGGACACCTAAGTATCTGTAAACCTTTTGAGACGATTCATCATTATAAACACCATATCAAATGCAGGGATTGTTATATTTTCCTAATGATTGGACATTCAAGAATAATAACAGAATGGAGCCAATTCAGGAAGCATTTTCAAGAAAGACAAATCATGCAAGATTACTGCATCAGCCTCTGTACCCTTTATTTTCATAAAAATACACAGCATCTGAATGCTTTTTACAAAAAGTAGTTTACAAGCAGGTACTTCTTTACATCACTGAAGCATTCAGTAGTTCACAAAAGTACATTAGCAAAATGTGCTCGAGGTCCAGACAAGAATTAGATCGATTCTGATTTACTTCATACACTTTGAAAGTTTTGAAGTACATCAAAAAGCCATAAAAGCTTCGTACCACCTTCTACTTAACAGTAGAAATGTGACCAAATACATTAAACTGCCATAGATTACTGATTCTAGCATACAAGTTCATTTTTCACTAGATTGTTACACATTCACTGCATAAAACGGAATAACACTGTCACTGTATCATGATACCATACTATACCATACAAGACATATTGCACATGCTAAAGCATAGTAGACAAGACTACCAAATGGAAGATATAGGCTTTTAATAGACAGACCACTGCATAAGCTTTCACAAAATTGTTTTCATGGTTTTAACACACTGTCAGATTGTCTAATTTTTAAATGCCCTTTTCCAAATAATACCGATTTACGACTAGCAAAGTCTTTTCCAAGCAAGACTTTACTTCAAAGCATGTTACAGCACTGCAACAAAAATCCATACGATGGTTTTAATGAACAAACCACTCTTCATTCAGATGCTTTTGGACCTTTAAAAGAAAATTTTACATTCAATGTAGGTTTAAAAACAAATTGACTTTATTGCTTGGATATTACTGTATTAGCAAAATGCTACAAGATATTTGGAAACCATCTGGAATATATTCTTGGGCATAAAGGCACTCTAACTATTTTATAATGGAACAAAAATCGTATTCAAACGATTTGCTACAAAGATTGCCAATCACAATGTAATGGATCTTAAAGTTCCAGTATCTCTTTTGCTGGGTCTCTATGCCTATATTTGAAACTATAAAAAGTTTAAAAGTACATCAATACCTGCCTAAATTTATGTAATCAAAAATGTATTCATTTTGTATTCCATTGATTCACCTAACAGACCTGCTTTCAAAATGAAGTGTATTAAAAACAGCCACAGTACAAAGAAATTACTAGCTGAGTCCATTTCAGTAAATGAAACAGGCAAGCAGATAGATCTGAAAAGTGATGCTGCAGCTTTCATTTAATAAAGCTTGTTAATGAAACACTTATTTTCTCTATGTGCTACCATTACTTTTGGCCTATTCCCTTTCATTTCAGTGCTTTAATATGATATGGTAAGCATTGCTGTAAAGCAATTTCATATCAGAGGTCTCTATACTGGAATTTAACTTTGTGGAACGATTCCATACAGTACTACTGGAATAGCAAGATAATTAAGGTTCCATGAAAGTTCTTCAGTGCTTGTAATCAAATCAATGAGGTTGCAGTATCAGCTCTGTCATTGTACAGAGCAATAAAAGTACTCACACAAGGTTTTTGTACATAACTCTGAAAATTTATTCTACAAACCTAATAATATCTGAACTTGCTAATGTGAAACGCAATTTATTTTGTATCTCAAATACTGCATTGTTTTCAGTAACAGACCACATCAACGTCACTGCAAAAATAGTACATTATAAATTGACAACTAAAAAAGGCTTCAATTTTGGAGGAACAAAAACAGCAACAGTCCCAATCTGCGGCGCGTTTGGTCCATTTGGCGTAGCTGGCCAGACATAAAAATAATTTGTCATTCCACCTGCTGTGTCCCTGTCACAGGTGAAAGAATGGGTCCATTTAACACATAAGCTTTGGCAGATGAAGCAGACTTTATCACAACTTTTCTTGGTGGCAGTTACTCTGTCTCTCTTCATCCTACAGGTGGGTAGATTCCAACAAAATTGCTGTGCATTGTTAAAGGCTGCCAATGAGGCTGTATAAAAAGGTAAGAATACCACACTGCTCGATGGAACACTAACCTACACCTGCTGGTACATTTAAAATGAAGGATGTCACAGGTTTTTTGGAATCTAAGGATTCCTTACATTTTCCACAGCAGTCTGGAACAGTTCATTCACCACAGATCAGTAGTTAACGGCTCAGGTGTATAGTTAGTCCCTAGCAACTCTATAACCATAAATTTTCTGAAGTGCAAATACATGTTTCTTTGTGCTGATTTGAAAAGGTTATTCTATTCTCTCATCAGTACGTATATACCAATACTCCTAGTTTTCTGCTTTCCCGCTAAAAATCTGTAAGAAAAAGTGCCTTTTAAATAAGTGCTTTTTAATATGCAGTACTTGATCAATTTGCAATCTTTAATTTGTGTAAGCCTTAGGCTTTTACCAATGCATGTCAATCTTTCTAACATCGATCAGAAAGTCTCAGAGTCTGAATCGTTGTCATCTTCTTCCTGACACCCATCCACTTCTCCTGCACTATTATACAACGGTTCAGTGAGAGAATTAATGTTGCTACCCGTATTAGGGGAATCATAGGACAGCTGTGCGTTCAAATTGTCATTTTTTATTAGGCTGATGCTGAAGGATGTCATTGTACTGGGAGGACAGAAAGGCATCATGGTAGCCAAAATGAGTGCCAGACAGTCAGCCACATCTTTGTTAGGAGCACAAGCCAGGGCTGGGGTGTGACCTGGGCATAAAAGCAGACAAGGGAATGGTTAGTATAGAAGTTTTACGCAAAACCAAAAAGGGAGGTAAGACAGCAAACAACACATTCAATTCAATACAATGTCAGCTTTTACTGTTCAAGTCATGCCAACAAGATACAAGTGTTTCCAGTCAGACTTGGAAGTGTTATTGTATTAAACCTGTGTTAGTTTAGTATTATCTCAACATAAATAGAGGAGCAAACGTTAGTAGGAATTCAATGCATACTTACCATTTTCATCCACAGCAATAACACTTGCCCCTTTGCTCAGCAAATCTTGAACAACTTTTTTAAGTCCATTTCGTGCAGCTATATGAAGAGGTCTGAAAGTATATATTTAATGCAAAAATGCACATCAAAATATCAAGAGGTGTACTTAGTAAGAATGACTAGTCACAAAAACATCTTCAATCCTTCCTCTCTATAAAAATAGTTACCAATTTATCACTTTTGAAGGTAGTTTGATGAGTATGATAACCTTGGGGATTTTCACACAATCAATATTAAACAATATTAACAAGAGACAGGCTATAATGTGGTCATACCACTTTACACTTTGAGATCTCTTGATGATGTGAAAAGGCACTTTATCAAATGAAAGGATTATTATATTAAAAATTCATCTAAGGAAAGACTAGCCACATTTTTACCTCCTCCAATGTTCACGCATGATTTATTTGCTAGTTTTCCACATCTTGGAACCAAATGAAAACTAAAAGCAATGACCATGATACTCTACCAATAGAATTTTCTACCCAAAGATTCACATGTGCAGTTGAACTCAGATACAGGCAGAACAAATGGGATTAACCATTTTTAAGTGTTAATTTTTTCAATGGAATATTTTTATTGCACTTTTTTTGCAAACAGACATCCGGTTTCTCTCTCTGGTGCGAAATTGCCACAATCACCCAAACTGTTTTGTAACGTGTTCTGGGTGCAAAGCTACGAACTACCATTACTTACGTTTGTAATGCATTATTTGTTGCATTAATAAGGCTCACGTCATCTATCTTCTCAAGGGCCAACAAGGCACATTTTTCATGACCCTGGCAGAACGGATACAAGTCATAACATTAAGTCGCAGATGTACTTTAGACATTCAATAGAAGTATTAATATTGTACTAACTAGAATTGTAACAAGTCTTGATCATTTAACATGGTTTTGACACTCGTATACTGTATTGAAAGTCGAAGTGTCAATTTCTGTTTCTCCAAACAGTTTTACTTCCTTACACATTTCTCACTTACTGTAGCTCTACAGAACTGAGAGTTCAAATGAATTGGCTACGTGTCCAGCAAGTACAATCATCAACCACCAAAATCAGGTTGCTCCATCTTTAAGCTTTACTCTCAGATTTTCTTGCTAATGTTTTATTGCTGCCAGTGCTCCATAATTGTTCCCTTATTTTAATCAATTGTACAGACATTGGATAAAAGACTGAATTTCTGTGCAAAATCCTTGCATTCCTTGCAATTCGTCATGATTTATCTTTTCCAGTGACATAATTTCTCTTAGATTTGTCAGTAATCGAGAGGAATGATATTTGTAAGTGCGATATTGGACAGATGTAGTGCTGATCCACAGGAAGCTTTGCATTAATTGGATTGCTGTAAACGGGTAATGTGTTTACTGTGAGTATACAGTTTTTATCTTATTCGTTCAATTAAGATCACATTTCAGTTTTTAATACTTCTTTCTTTGTAAAAGATCAATACAGCACGTATTTTGAGAAACACTCAAGCGTAGAACAATTTATATGGCTTATCCTGAATGTTCCATTAATTATATGTATAACTGTGACATGATCACCTGTTTTCACCATTGTAAATCAGTATTACATTTCACTTGTGTAAAGAGCAGATAGTAAATCTTACTTTGCTACAAGCCAAGTGAAGAACTGTATTCTTGTTGTGGTCTTTTAGAGTTAAATCAGCCTTTGCACTGTTTACCAGGATCTCTGAAATAGAAAAATAGTAAATTGGTTAGGAATAAATTTATAAATCTCTGACTGCAGCAATAATAAATATCCTTAAAACTTCATACTATCCAATCTTAAGTCTTAAGCAGGGTCTCTTGAGCTGATCTGGCTCCAAGGTGACATGCCTGGCAACGAAATGTCAGAATCGAGCCATCCATCTGTGGTGGTCTTGGTAATCTGGTTCTTGTCCCAGACGGGTCCTAGGACACTGCTGATGACAGCACAGATTGCACTGTGCATATCCTGACTGATTGGCAAGACCTGGAATGGCAGACTAGTCAGTGGGGGCAGGGACTCACCGCACTCAGAGCTTTGGCTTGCAGGGGTAACACAAGCTAATGGGTAGGGTGTTCCTAGCTGGAAAAGCAGTGGGAAAGCTTGCCAGACAGAAATATCAATGTCAAGCTATGTGGTTTTAGCTGGTTAGACTCCAGCTGTACCTCAACGCACACTCTAGGGCCTCCAAGCCTTGGCTCTTGCCAACTTTCCGGAATTAGTTAAGTAGGGTGCGTCCCTCCAGGGAGAAAGTGGGCATTCCATTCCAACAATCTATCTCTGGGTTTTCCATGTATAGGTGGGATGCATGGAAATCTCAACTTAGTTTGGATACTCGTAAGCATGATGATGGGTTTCTGCATGTGTCAGACATCCGGCAAGCATTTAAATGGGGAGTTTGAGCAAAGAGGAAGATTGTCATATTGGCACCAATGTTAGAAACAATTTTCTCTCCATCAATTGCCCCCTTGCTGCGTTTGCCAGCTCATTCTCAACCAAACCACTGTGCATATCAATATCAATGTTCAGGATTGGAGACACAACATACCTACAGCTCCACATTGTCCATTTTCAGCTGCCATCATTAATGGAGTTTTCCCTGAATTGTCAATAGGATTCACTTGAGAGTTACGACTTAACAGCAACTGCAAGCACTCTATATGATCTGTAAAAGCAGCTGCATGAAGAGGAGTTCTAAAAATACAACAGCAGAGAAAGTTTTTTCAACAATTTGAATGACTTTTTTTGCATCTAATCAAACATTAAAAGATATTGTAACGCTGCAAGTCTTCAAGGCAAATTAAAAGTTTGCATGTAATGAAAAGAACACAGACAGCTTGCATTTTGGCCAAAGAGTTATAACAGCTTAATCGCAGAACTGTGTTGAGACCATCAATGTACGTATCTGCATTTATTGTATACCATGCAATTCAACATGTACTGCATTGAACCAAGATCTGAGAGAATACACATTTTTAAAAAATGTTAAAAGGCAAGATATTTCATATTTAAGTACTTCAAATTGCATTAACTTATCTTAATGCAATTTCTCCCACAAAACAGTCACTACGTTTACAGTATATTCTGTGAAGCGCTTTGAGACGTCTCTGATGTGATAAGGCAAATACAAGGATTAGTATTTTATTTACCTTCCTTTGGCATCTCTGGAATCAACAATTGTGGCACCTAAAGCTTCTATTAACATTTCTGCACAATTTTCATGGTCATTTATTCTATAAGCAAAAAAAAACAAAGCTGCATCAGTCACTGTACAGTTCACTGCTGGTTCAACACACGTTATTTGTAGTTCTTTTATACCACCTCCTTTACCGTTTCAACTGGTAGTTCAAGCAATCCCATTTTCAGAATAAAACTATGTACAATGTATAAAAAAATCTGAACCTATTGACCACTGGAGGGCATATGTTTATTTTATTGAAGTGCATGTTGTAAATTCAGCAGCTCCCCCAGTAGAGGGCATTCTACATAGTCAGCAGCAATGTTATACATAACACAATCAATTTGAACCCTGCCCCTATCTTTTCTTTTAGGACTGTGCCATGGAATCTTTAACGTTCACCTGAACAGGTAGATAGGACCCCAGTTTTAACATCTCATCTGATGGACAGCACCTCTGACAACAGAGAGCTCACCAACCATTGCACTGAAGTTTCAGCCGAAAGTCCTGCCATGGAGTTTGAACTCAACCATTTGACTTACGTGAAAATGCTATACTCAATGAGCCATGCTGACACCTAACTTATTATCCCAGAATCAAACTGAATAAAAAAGGTTCCAATCTGCGCATCTTGTCCTTGTCCCTTCATGCAATATTAGGAAAACTTAGAAACAGAGTACTTGGCTTATGGAACATTTGACTTACATAGCACAGTGCAAAGGAGTAAAAGGAGTACCCTCGAATTTCCGAAATTCCTTTTGATCCAGTAGTACCTCTAAGCAATTTTCATGACCTAACAAAACAAATATCTCAGATTTTAAATCCAACAGGAGAAAGGCATGGAGCCAAATTATGAAACTAAATCTTTAGACTATCCCTATGATTTACTGCAAGTTATTCTCCACAAAAGCTGCAGAACGTGATACAAAGTGTACACTTTCTACAAATATTATTTAATACAAGACAGCTAAATCCTAAAAAACATGGGAAATTGTAGATCCTTCAGATGTGTTAAAAAAATGAGTGATCACAGTGCAAGTTACGTAATTTATATTAGAGACAACATTTATAGTTGTTTATATAGTGCCCTTCACTTGTAGGATAATGTCTCAGGAGCGCTTCACAATGATTGAGTTGGAGGCCAAATAAGGTGGAAGAAAGAGGTGGTGGGGGGGGGGGGGAGGTGGGTGATGGCATAGGCATAGTCAAAGAGGCTTGAACTCACAATGAGAGGGGACATCTTAAAGACAGTTAGAGGGGGCGAGAAGGAGGGGAAGAGGGAGGGAATTCCAGAGATTAGAGATGTAATTTAATACCTTGATAGAATTAACCTTTTAGTCTACGCTAGTGGAAAATTATTACAAGTCACAATGATAAGACAATATCTATTTAACAGTCAGTAAAACAATCTGCTCAGAAATCTTGGGAAACTTCAAAGGTATTTACCATTGTAGCAAGCCCAGTGCAAAGGTGTACAGCCGTAATTATCTATTAGATTTGCTAGGGAACCTATAGAAAGTGCTGCCTGTAATAAATTGCACAACAAGGTCACATGACCACATGCTGCTACGAAATGTAAAGGCGTCCTTCCTTTGGAATCACGACACAGAACAGATGCATCATGTTCCAGCAGCATTTCCACACATTCTTCATGACCTGTAACAACCTGTAATAAAAGAATAATCAGTTTGATGCCGTCTCCCTGCACTGTATTAACTTTAAAGCACATTCTCCTCGAATGACCCCAGCAGGCTCACTCTGTACTGCTCTGAGATCTACTTAATCAAAGGCAGATTGCCAAATTCAGGCAGCATTTATGTGATTTGACTGATGTGAACTTATTTAACATCAAACAGAAATATTCACAGCGAATCTAAAAAGATAACGTTTGCCCCGTAATGTAAGTACACAGGTATTGAGGGAGAGATTGTGAAAACACAAATGGAATTTTTTTTAAAAAAAACTTTGTGAGCAATTATTGTCAATCATTCACACTTGGACGTATGGCATTAATTGCTCACAAAGTACAAACTACAATAGCAAGAATAGTTTAGTAAGTACTTTGCTTTAACATTTCATATTTTGCTTTGGCTTTGTCTGAAAAGCTTGTACTTCATTTTTTAAAATAAACTCCATCGAAAAACAGCATGTCTTACCCCACGATGCAAGGCTGTGCAGCCTTGTTTATCTACTGCATCTACATTTGCACCCTTTTCAAGTAACAAAATAACTGCATCAATATGTCCATTCGCCACTGCAAGCATCATAGGCGTCCTGGTGGAGAATGTTTTAAAAGAAAGGAAAAAGTAGATTTGCATCATCTTTTAATATTGCAATATTGACATTTCTTACAATATAAAAGCATTTGGATCATTGAGAATCAAAGCTTGTTTATCGACTAAAGAACAGTTTACACAGATAACAGCTAAAGGGCAGAGGGAAATCTCCAATTAAGTCTATGCTTTATTAATTATAAAGTAAACTACAACTTACTGTCCTTTGCCATCTGTTACATCAACTGCGTCCGACCCATCTGCACTCTCTATCAATAAGCGTAGGCATGTTGTGTGACCATTGGACACTGCAAAGAAATTCAGAAGAATACCAAATGTCAATATATAGTACAAGATAATCTATCCATATCACAGCTATGCACCAATATATTTATTCATTCAGTAAATAAATGCACTAAGGGGATGTTATAGTACACTGCTTTTTCATATGCAATTATTTCACCAATATAATCAACTGACAGCTCATTGTAAACAACTGAAGTCTAATCTTGATCATTTATCATAAATATTACAGGCCCTAAATCAAGGCAGCCTAACTTTTATTAACTACGGCTTTTTTTTAAACAAAACCAAGATAAGAACAGGATAAATTGTCTCAGCAATGAATCCAGTCTGGTAAAACTTATCACTTTCCTTTTAAATTAGCTCAACTAATCCTTTGATAACCTGGGGAATACCAGTCCATTGTAAATTTCAGCACCTGGTATGCAATTTAAAGAGCTACTAAATAAATGTAAGCGCGTTTTCTGAAGGTTACTGTGAACGCTAACTAATATAGGCTACATACATTGTCGAGATCTGTAAGTGGACAATTGGTTCAGAATTATTTAAAACCATACCAACAGCCGAGTCAACTTAAGAGTCAAAAAATGATAACACATAATCATTGTGTACGAACTACAAGCTTCTGGGGTGACGCAAACATCACGATGAAGTACTTGAACAGCGTAAAATGAGAGGATTTTTGTTGCAAGAAGAACAAGACAAAGAACTAAAAGACCTAAATGTTCACTTTTAGCCTACACTTTTCAAGTCAACATACTTGGATCCATTTATTCTTCAGGAAGTAATTTCAAACCGTTTCCAGCGTTAAAAGACATTAGGACTGGAAAGTAGCATTTATATTTCCCATTCCAAAAATCTGATTCACACAGGAATGCTCATTGTGAGCACAATTAAGCATCTATTAACTGGTGCTAAACACTCATTAACTTTCTAATGTTAATCATTCACACCATTTTGTTTATGGGACATTGCTAAGTACAGACTGGCTGCAACATTTGCCTACAAGTATACACAGTCACTTTACAATAATAATCCCGTGAGGAGTTTTGTCAATGAGGTGATAAGATGCTAAATCAATTCCAAGAATTAATAATTCCAAGAATTATATTGTTATAAGAGATGGGAGTGCACCAACCTGAACATTTAGAAGCTTTAACATCTTAATGCGTCAAAATGAAAACTGTAGTAAAATTAGACTAAATACCCTGCACGATCCTAAGAATAATGTAAAATTATATGAAATATTACATTATATATTACTTGCCTAGGGCAAAACCTTGGGCAAGTTTCCGTACTCCTCAAGCATGATAATAATCTCTCAATAAAAAAAACAATTAATAATTTGGTCACTCAATCCACGACTGTTTGTGAGACACTGCTATGCCCAATTGGCTACCGTGTTTCGCCAACAAATATACAATCAATTCACTTTACAGTATATTCTGTGAAGTGCTTCGAGACCTCTAAGACGTGAAAAGCGCTATATCAAATGACCATTAGATTCCACACAAACAATTTCATTTCCTGAGGAAGGTCCCATGAAACATTTCAAAGCAAGATAGTCTAACTTTTGCAACCTATATTGTTGATATCCTACCAATTTCTTTCCAAATCAAACAGTCATTTGACGTGTACAACTGTGCTAACATGGAAAGGCAGCCCAGGATATGTATACCACAAAGTATGCGCATAATGTTAACCACACTATAGTAAGTATACAATAATAGTATAGTAGTATGAAAGATTCATATTCATATTGTAAACATTTAGTTGAAAAACAGTTTACCTGCTGCATGAAGTGGGGTTCTTTTAGCTACATTGTCTTTCACTAGGATGGAAGCACCTTGATTAATGAGAGCGTCAACACATTCCGTATGACCTCTAAATGATGATAAATCTAAGGCTGTGCGTCCATTTGCATCTTTCACATCCAGGTCAATAATGGAGTGAATAAGTACTTCAAGGGCTTGGTGATGTCCATTATAGGCCTAGGAAAGAAGGTTTTAAAACGTTCACGCAAGGGAAAAACACTTTGAGAGTAAAATATAATTCCTTGTTGAATTTTTCCAAAAAACAATCAGCATAATGAACTTACAGCCAGATGCAAAGGGCTCTTTGGAGCTGCTGAATCAGGATCATCAAAACTGCTGCCAGTTGTCTCCATAAGCTATAAAAGAAGGGGTTGTGACAATAATAAATGAATCGAAAAACAAAGTAGATACAGGTAACATTCCCAAGAAAGAATACAGCTAGTTGGCCTGAACTAAACCAGTATTTTTAAAAATTGCATTTGTTTATTGATTGGTAGGAATGCACATGCAAATGGTTCAGTTAGCCAAGTAGTTATGTCTCACTTAAATTGTGCTGTGCTTAAAAAAACATACCAAAATATTTATCCATAAACATTTATCCATAAAAATTTCATCATGCAAGAGAATAGAAATCCCAGTTTTCATTAGGCAATCTCAGACAAGCAGAAAGTTGTGAACACAGCCACGTGAAATCTTACAGCTGAAAGTGCAAGTTACCTTAAAACTGAAGTACAAACTAACAGATTTCATGGCATGCTGATACTAAAACCTTGAAAGGTGTTTTTTTCTACTGATCTATTGCTAAAAGCAATTAGGATATATTTAATAACAATAAATGCAAAATGCAAGGATTATTATTATTATTTAAATGTGAACACTGAATTGAATGAGAACATCGCATCTGCTTAAAAAAAACTAAACCAGAAGCAATTAATGGCCTGGGATAACAAAACAAGTGCTACAAGTAGTGGGAGGTGATAACAGACTATGTGCACGGGGGAAATGAGCAGTTATTTTATGAGAGCTGACGCTGGGATAGGCCTATATTTTTCCAGTATTACTTTGATGATAAAAAAATGCACTAATATATTTAGACATTGTAAATAAGTGCTCAGAATTTGAAAATTTAGCGCACTCACATCAATACAGTAGTTACAATTAGTACATTTATTTTCATGGTACTACAGGTATACTTTGCGCCAAGGACATGATTCTAAGCCAAGTGATCAAAACTGCTTTGTGTTATATTTCTCATTTGGACACAAGTGTACCTAACCAACAGTATAACTAATTTTAAACATTTTACTTCTCTCAACCGAATGGCAGGATTTCTGTGTATAGTATTATTGTTTGAGAATCTGTATTATACACAACAGAAAAACCTACAAGTCGCAGTGCAAACCCATTTTATTTTTGTAGCTCATTATAACTGCAATAATTTAAAAAAATAGATTTTCTACAAATATTGCACTTGCATAATTTTCCAAATGGGAAAGCAAAATTGGGCTTAAAGTCAGCTATTTACATGATAACATTTTGAAGTACTCTAGTTTAGTGCAATAGATCCTCACATGCAGTTTTCAGTTCAATGAAAGGAACCAAATGGGAGAAAAAAAGGATTTCATGAATCGTCATCAAATTCATTCCATTTAAGAACAGCGTGAAAGCACCATGCAAACACTTCACAATTACTTACAAACTCCAAGGAGTTTTTGCTGGCAATCTAATTAAAACAGTAAGTAGGTAATTAAAAGAAGGATCACACACATACACACAGATAAAGCAATATGGTAATGAATTTTAGCCTGTTTTAACAATGAATACTATTTTAGTCTCTGATACTCTTATAAAATTTAACAAAAATATAAAAATGCACGTTTGAAGAGTTCAGAAAATTTCCGTATTAGATGCATGGAGAGCAGATTATATTTAATAAATTGGGAGTTAAATACTCAGTTACAGTTAAAAATAAGAGTTGCTTACATTTGTTCTAACCTTTTCACAAACTTTAAAGAAAAACTTGAGTCTGGAATTCTGAACTTAAAAGTAATGAGGCCTCCTGCCTGCTTTAACTGGCCAAACATATACAGCTGCAAAAAAAAATGGCAAATGGCTTGTTATGATTTAATCCTTGAATTATTCTCAACACACATTAAAGATAATGGTGTCAAGCTTCTTAGTGGTAACACTTGCTACATTCAACAACTGCTGTCTCTTAAAATGTATGTAGACAGCAACCTTCACTAAGTTAGTGCAAGAGTTCAAACCTATTGTTTATATTCAACATTTAAATATGTTCATTACTAATTCCTAGTAAAATACGGGGCTATGTTAAAACTAATTGCATGACATTTGATTTCAAATGCAACACTGGAGATGCTTGATTTCTATTCTCACTAAAGAGGAATTTCAACATAAGAGAATAGTGGAAAGAGATGGATATGTGGATATAACAGTATTTCTGCATCCTTAGAAATACTCCTCAATAAAGGAATGAATCTTAAACAATGAAGTAACTTAAATGTGATATGAATAAACTATGCCATAAACAACAAGAGGATAGGATATTGATCCAAACAAGCCCTGGTGTACTTCCTCCACAAGAAGATAATATACATATTTAGGACTTTTCAGTCAATGAGGAAAAAATGGGTTTCAGGAAGCAAGAATATATTAAAGTTAACCAAGATTTACTGAATATAATGCAGATGCTTTGCATTCATCCAAGGCATAATTCTTTCTCTTCTCTCTCCTTCCCCTCCCAAGTCACAGCTCACCACCATCTCAAATGATACATTTGATTTAAACATTTATAATTCATAGACATCACCATTCTTGTGTGCTGAACCAAAGAACTAAAATGCATTATATAGGTCAAAGGAAAGTCCAAGACACCAAATGAAAACTCCAAAGTATAAACAAAACCTTTACTACAAATTTAATACAATAAAACAAAGTATATATGAAGCACAATTTCTTTCAAATTCAATTTTCATTTCTGGTGTAAGACAAAGTTATAATAGTAACAATCCTTGCATTTGATGCAGTGCCTTATTACGTCATTGAGACAGCTCAAAACACTTCCACTGTAAAGTGGACTGATTGTGTATTTTGTGGCTGTATCTTGTACATTGTGACTATGTGCAAATACTGTAAAAGTCTTACATATTTTCAGTTATTTATAACTTTGTATTAATTCCTAATATATCCCTGCTATTTACACCCGTTTTTTAGCTCTTGTCAGCAGTGCTAGAATTTCACCAGAAGATGGCATTCACATGTATAACATTCCAAACATTGTCTTCATATTTTCATCAGAGTTTTCAGATTATAAGCTGTCAAACAGCTCTATACCATACATTTGAACACGGAATTGAAAACAGGAAATGTTAAACTTTTGTGCCTGATGACCATTGCAACATTTCGAAGTTTGTCATGTTTTATTTGAGCAATTTGAATTCTCAATAAAAATTCAGTCCTATATTTGTAGTTGTTACCACAAGAAGCTGCAATGAATAGAAGCCAATGAAAAGTGACTGTGATTTTGTCATTTCCAATGAAAGGAGCTCCACTGCTTAAGTACGGTGCATGAAATGTGGCTTTTTCTAAAGTTCGTTTTTAAACTTTGTCCCGTTTGCCTAGCATTGTGGCCATCCTTTGGCAGAGATTGTAATAAATGAGCCAGTGAGCACACAGTCTACCCTGGCTACGGTCAATGCAGTCACAGCATCTTGGTTATTTACAAGTACACGCTTGAAAGAGAAACGAGAACCCACAAGTAATTGAGTAATAAAATAAAACACAGAAATCAACCCACGGAAAACAGCTCCAAGTAAAGCTAGGTCAGCAAGAGAAATGAAGGGTGGTCCAAGAGAGTATTATATGTGGATGTTATACTTGATTCAATAGAATTGAAGGTGAAGACTGATAATCTAATATTGTTTCAAGCTTAGCACTCATGCAAGTTGAACCACTGTAGTACAGAAGGTGGTAGGGGGCACTTGGAAAACCTACACAGCAGTGATATTCAAATAAGTCAGGTCAAGATAACAATACTTAATCAAAGCATTTATACTGCCCATTAATGTTTTGCATCAAAATAAGAACTGGTAAAGTAAGTCTCTCTTGAAGGCAGTGGCTCATGCTTAAGTTGAGTTCCATGGGAGCCAACAACCATATTGTACCTCAGCCAAGTCACCATCCTCCATGAATGAACTGAGACAGTGAGTGGTCAGCAGGCATTTCGATTGTACCAAACGGTTATATTGTCAGTGCATATTCTCACAAGTTCTGTTGTGAATTGGTTCTTGAAAATAATTCTGGCCCAACAATATTGCTGCATCTCAAGTCTATTCACGTGTCAAGTTTAAGTTTGGGTGTGGGCGACCCATCCTAGGAGTCGGGTTAATCTCTAATTTTAGCAACATTGGGGGCAAAAGCTGCAACCACAGCATTACTAAAACCTTAGGAGACATCAAAAGCTCCTGGATTTGAAAACTATGCTGAATCCAATGTAAAAGACAATTCAAAACGCCCATGAGACTTGTGGAGCTCTCTTGAGCAATTTTTGTCACCACTGATCCTAAAATATGCAGGTAACGATGGACCCACAGCTTATTCTTTCTGAATAGCCGAGTGGCCAGGAGCTTGCCTGATTGGAAGCGAGACAATGGAACATTTCAGATATTTGCAACAAGAATGGGAGCCTGAGAGGGTAGGTGATTTGTAAAAGGTTACAAAATGTCAAAAAGACCAGAGGGCAAAACATAGTTCTCTATGTTAACCAGTTTCACTCCCAGACTTTTTCCTCACACCTTGGAACCTTTTGGAAACTACCCAACCAAGAAGCGTCAAATTAGCACTCTCCACCCTGTTTTGTGAATGTCATAAGTACCACAATGCTGTTAGAATAGTTTTTAAAAATGCTGAATAGTTCAATTCCTATCTTTAATTGCATCTGGTTCTTCGGTAGAAATGTTCATCAGGTCATCAAAGTCAGCGTCAGGAAATGTAATATTCCATTTTAAGGAAAAACAATTAGATCCACTTCAGACATCACAACATTGGGACACAGCACTGTTGGATAATGAAATGAACATTTAACAAAACCTATTACTCACCAGTTCCAGACATTGCTTATGCCCATATGCAGCTGCATAGTGGACAGCATTATAACCCTGCTTGTCTCGAATTCCTGGATTGGCATCATTATGGAGCAAATAATGTAGGCATCTGCAATACATTTCACAAAAGGTAAAGGAATCCTAGCATTAGTCAATGTTTCTCCACTTCTTGCCCTCTCAAATACATGAAGTAAAGCAATAATGCTATCTAGTTGAAAGAATGAACGGCTGAAACTTGTTTTCAGGTAATGTTAATTTGTTATTCAAATATTTGCAGGTTAAGCATTTGTTTTGATTTTGACAAAAAAAATGTATTCTTTCGTATTATATGGACAAGCAAAGATTTATCAATTAAAGAAAGAATTACCTGAGCAATAATTCACTTTTTTTTTTAAAAGACAGAAGATGAGAGGTGAGGTTGCAAGATGAACTACGATAAAGGAGACATTTCTCCTCAGTCCCTCCCCCTCCCCGTTAAGTTCCCAATATCAACTGTTCCGCATTTGTTGTGGTACCCATTTGCTCCTCCATTAAATTTATCCCTCCCAATTGCCTACTGCACCACACCACCACCAACAGAGCAGTTAAGCAGTTTGAAGTTGGCCATTTGGAACGTGACAGTTTGAGTTGGCCTTTTCCTTCCCTCTCCAAGGAAAAAGAGCATGTCTGCTGCAAGTTATGTGCCCAACCAGGATCAATGATCAGGAAGTCACTGAAAGGAAAATGACAAGCAAGGCCACCTCTCTTCAAACAACATTCTTGAGGCACAGCCTGTCAGTGCACCATTTTTCGTAGGACGGGCTAAATTACACTACAGGAAGGGTTTTTGCCCCCCCATGACCCCCAGTGACTTCTTGCTTTCATTTGGTGATGAAAGTGTCAGAAAACGCAATACTCCATTCAGGCAGCCAATACCAGGTTAAGTATAAAGCAGTTAGTTGTGCATCACAAATAGTTTTATGTTGCCTTGAACCCAGAAAGCTCCGAGCTGAGATGGCATAAACTCATTCTACTTAAGCCTCTCAAAATGCAGCTCTTCATGCAGTAATTCAGGGCTGAAACTGAGCTGAGATCCCAAAGCTGAAAAGACAGTGTTTTAATTCCACTGCTTTACCCCAAAGCATCAATTTTATATAAAATATTGCAGATAGAATACACAGATGCACAGAGGTGAGCTAGTAAACAGGACAATAGAAACTCAGCAGCTTGCATGTAATGCAGACCATGTATACAAGAAGCATTTTAAGGAGGAGAAAGCATATGACCTGTACTTAGTCGTTTTCCCACAATACGTGCTGCTGCAAAAATAACACGTATTTTGGACAGACATTTTGGGATTCAAACTTTTCAGAAATCAGGTCCAAAGTTTAGCATATGGCCTGCACGCCAGGATTACATTTGATCCAATATTTGGAGCACGACAACAACCTCATTAAAACTCCTTGCGCATTTGTTTGAAGCAAGCAATTCCAGATCCACAACTCTGCACTCAAAAGTTAGCATCACTGGAAACAGATCACACAAGTTTTATAGTGTGTTCACTTTAATATCAGAATTCTGCAGGAGCAGCTGAACCTTGCAAACATTACTAGTTTCCAAAACAATTAAACTAGTTTTCATATTTCATCTTACCCAGAAAAAGAAATACTACATTAGCCATAATGTATATAAATTCTGTTTTACATTTCAATTCACATGGTGATTACAAATTATAAGGACCTTATAGTTTCGCCATTATTTCAGTTTTCAAATATTTTTATACCTTCAGAAAATTCAATGAACAATAATAAACTTGCAATTTACATAGCACTTCTCATAGAGGTTTATGTTTTTCACTTAAAAATGACATACTTGCTCTAGGACCATATTTATATTTTGGAAGTCATTTATTTATATATTTGTAGGAAAGGTTTATCCATAAATCTAAAAAAGGAGGCAACATGACAGCTTTTCTAAATTGGTTTAATCACATATTATTGCCACTTGAAATTGATGTTTCATGAACACATCAGTGCTCTAAAAATAAAACTCCTCTCGTCTTTGTTTGAAGCAAGCAATTTGAGACCCATAACTCCACACTCAAAAGTTAGTAAAACCACAGAGCACAATTTGAAGCCCAAAGCAGCAGGAACAATCATGGAAGTTTTAGTTCACGTTGTTACGTCTGGAAATTTTCAAACTTACAACGAGGCCTCCTTTTCTTTCGTCTCATTTGTGTTATCAACGTCTTCAATATTTTCATCTGAATTTTCCAAGATATTTTTTTTCCTTGGTGAAAGAATCAAAACATTCAACGGGTTTAAGGTTTTTAAAAACTTTAAATTTACTGAAATTTCAAAAGTAAATGTGATTGTTAACCTGTACGTTCTGTCATTGGAAAGGGTTTACAATGTCAAAGATGTAATTAAATCACAATTCCTATCCCTCCTCTTTTACTGCTCATTTATATCAACTAATTTTGTCATATAATACCAATTTAGGGGAAGAACAGAGAGTTAAAGTATTTGGAGTTGCACTAAAATACACTAGAAACATCAGAAGTGCTTCTCTTTTTCCCCACAGATTGAAATGTACTCTGTATAATAGAATTATTTCAAAGTGAATTCAAGATCAATGTGTTTTATGAATAAAGACAAATTTAGCCACAAGAGATGCTGCAGATCCACACACCATATCATGCATGAATAGATGTTCTTACTTTTTGTCCATGTCTGATGCTGCAGCATAGTGCAAAGCAGTGCAGCCTCGCTCATCAGTTTCATTAATGTTGGTTCCTGTTGTCACCAGTGTCATAATAGACTGGTAATTACAATTTGCAGCTGCATAATGCAGTGGGGTCCTATAAAATATTAAAGTTAAAAAAAGTTTTCAGTAATAGCTAAGATCAGTATTACACAAAGATTCAGATCTTGCAAATTATTCTGCTTTTAATCAGAAAGATGTTTCAAGGAGTTTAGAAAAGCTAATCAAAATGCACAATATTCATCTTTTCTTCATTCAGATTGACATCTTTGTCAAATTGTATGCTTAAATCCTACTTGTAAATGCAATAGTTCTCCATCGGTTCGGCCTTTAAATTCAATTATTTCAAATATTCATACAAGATTTAACTGCTACAGTTCAGCTGGCATTCACAAGGAGACAAGTATGAAATAACACTATTAATTGTACATGTAGCTGGAGATACTAAAATACACTAGAAACATCTTATGATCATCATAACTAATAACACATTTTAAGATTACATTTTAAGATCACAATTTTGATCAGATATAATCACAATTACTATTATGAATAGTTTAAAGAAGACCACGCACCGGCCACATCTGTCCTTCTTATTGAAATCCGCTCCACTGCTCAACAGCAGTTTTATACAATCTACGTTGCTGTGTGATGAAGCATACAGTACATTACTATGACATTACATATAATTTGTCTCAATAAAGGGCAAGCCCAACTGAATTAGAAAAAGGAGACAGCGCATTAACTGGAGTAACAGATTCAATGAACCAAAGATTCAGCCCACACAAACATCAAAAAATACCATTTCAACAATGCTTGTTCAATACAGGTTTGAATGTCAGAGGTGTGGAAAAAAAGCAGATAAATACCTTGACCAAAGAGTGAAACAATAATTGGATTTTAACAAAATAGAACAAAGTAACATTTGAGCTGGTAGATGTGTCTTTTAGAAAATAAACTCACTCACCCTCCTGCTGCAGCAGCATGAAGACAAGTCCTTCCAAAAGTATCTGGAGTGTCTATCTCAAAGCCTGCAGACAGGACTCGCTCATTACTAAATGAGGAAACAATGCTATATTTTTGCCCTAGTGAACCACAAGAAATATTGCAAAACAGAAATCAGTTAGCAAATGCAAGAGTTCACAAACTGCCCAAAGCAAGTGATCGCCATGGAAACCGATCAAAGGCTGCTCAACCTTACAATAAAAATGAGCTGCTGCACTAGGCATAGCACTCAAGGAACATACACAATGCTGTGGAAGAAAGCCTCTTGGTTTACTCACAATCACATTCCATTATTTTACTCAATTACACCAACTCATTCCACATAGTAAAAGTGCATTTATTTTGTAAAAATAGATTGAAAGGAGATTTGCTTGCTGTGGGCAGGCGAAGAAGCCAAACAGTCAGTAACAGAAATAAACCAGTCACACAAAGCATGTATTCTACAATCAATTCCTTGAATTACTAAAAAATTCAAGATCAGTACAACAGTTCTGCATGCTTATGCAATGGTGAATAAGTTAAATTAAAAAAGGTTACCCACTTTCACAAGACTTGGAATTATGTAAAAACTGACAATTTATAACAATCAGGATTCAGCAGTTTCAACCTGTGCCAAGTTAAACAATTCTGCCCACTGATTTTTGAAACAATACAGGATACTACGATCATTGACACACAGGCACTCAGGAAAGCCTTGGGTTGTATTTCATTACTCATAATGAAGCATGTATAAGAGCACACAATGTTAGAGGAAGCCATTCAGAAATTTGCCAAGCTGCCCAGACTTGAATTGCAAGAGGCCTGTTCATAAAAGTACTATGAATCAAGATTGTTTTTAATACACTTGCCTGAAGTCAACAACTTCCTGCAACAGTCAGCATGTGCATTTAGTGCTGCTAAATGCAAGGGAAACATTCCATGGACACCACGCCTATAAAAGATATATCACAAAATCAGGCCAAGTTATATAATCAGATTTCATGTACATTTTTACATTTCTACATAATTGTATTTTATTATGTGCACAAGTGAAGAAAATGTACTGGTAAATATATCAATTGGCCAGAATACACATTTTCTGCTTTCCACAGCACAATATTTCTAATTGAGTTGTTAAAAGCACTGGTCTAATGCAGACCTGGTGTGGGAAGGATAATAATAATAATAATCCTTGCAATTGATATAGCGCTTTTCACTACGGGAGGATATCCCAAAGCGCTTCACAGAACACACTGTAAAGTGAATTGACTGTATATTTGTGGGCGAACGCGGCAGCCAATTGCGCACAGCAATGTCCCACAAACAGTCGTAGATTGAAAATGACCATTTTTTTTTATTATTGTTTTTGGAGGGATTATTATTAGACGTGTGGAGTAAGGAAACTTGCCCAAGGTTTCGCCCTGCCTGGATTTGAACTCAGGTCTCTCGCTTGCAAAGCAAGTGCTCTAACCACTGAGCTACAGGACTCCACTATTTCTAGATTTGATCTAGATTTAATTTCAAATTGATTTGAGCTTGGACAACAACAAAAACCCCATAAATTGGTGAAATGGGAGGAGGGAGGGGGGGGGAAATTAGTCAGGGCTCCACTCGTGATTATGATCCAATGACCCATGCTAGAGTTATGCACATGTGTGGATGTAGGATCATACTTCAATGCGATCCCCTTCAGAGTCAAATCTCTTGTCGATAATTCAGATTAGACTTACACAATGGTTACTTGGTTGGAGTATCAATGAGCAAGTGGCAGCATTGGAGTCCTGTACAAATCAGCACTCAAGAAAAATAAAACAATTTTGTTCTGAGAAGAGTTTTCACATACAAGATTTTAAAAAATTGTCATTTGTTTCATAGCTGTTTGTGGGATATCATTGTGCGCAAGTGAGCTGCTGAGCTTGCCTAGAAATACACAGCCACTCCACTTCACAGTAAATACCTTGAAGCGCTTTGAGATGCCCTTCCAGTGGGAAAGGCACTATAACCAAATTCAAGTATTATTGCACAGACAACTAATTCTTAAACTCAGTCATGCGGCACCAGGTTGCTGAGTAGAAAAAGACAATTTCAGCAGCGAGCAAGATAACAAAAGTCTTGGCTCCCCTGTCTCCAGAAACCAGGAGCTGGGATTGGAAGAAAGGCCAATAGAGGAAATGAAAAATTAATTATTTAATAGTCAATCTTAAGTTTGGAGTACTTCTATGATTCTAAAGGAACAGGCGAATCAACCGTGATCACTCTCGACTCTCGACAAGTATTTCAAAAAGGATATATTTTACAAATGCCAAACCTCACAAGGTCTAAAAATACCTTAATCTGAGCTTCCGCAGGTTTTATGAAAGTAAAAGTTTGATAGATGTATTATTTCCAACATGGGACCATATACACTTCTGAAACTTTCCAAGTGGAAAATCCAGCAGTAGGTGTTTTAAAAAAAAATATTTCTGGGGATTCCAGTTCAATCAAATTTTTGCAATTTCATACCACTTCCAAGAAGGCAGCCCACAACTATAATAATAATCCTTGCATTTGATATAGCGCTTTTCACTTTGGGAGGACATCCCAAAGCGCTTCACAGAACACACTGTAAAGTGAATTGACTGTATATTTGTGGGCGAACGCGGCAGCCAATTGCGCACAGCAATGTCCCACAAACAGTCGTAGATTGAAAATGACCAATTTATTATTGTTTTGGGTTTTGGAGGGATTATCATTCCCATCAACCTCATACAGTTTGAGTTTCAAGAGAAACTGGAAATTAAAGTGCTGCTTTGAAACTTATTCCAGTGGTTTAGTAAAGAGTGGTAAGGTGCTAAATCATTCAGCACTTGGATTTTAATCTGTGCCCATAATTCATATATGGCACTTTCCTGAGTTGTCTGTGGGAGGAGGAAAGAAGATTGGTAAACATTCAAGGCAACATTACTTACTTTGATGCAATATATAATGTGAAGCGCTTTGAGACATCTCAATATGATAAACTACATAAAATGCAAGGATTATTATCACTATGATGCTGCTCGTTTGTTTTTTGTATGAACATGGAAAACTGCAGTGTTACTACTCTCCATCTGTCACTTAATTGACATTTTCACATTTCATGGTTCTATTCAATTAAAGTGGTGCCAGGGGGCAACTCTCCCACTCTATCTAGGTTGATTGATTTTAGGAAAGTGTGCAAAGTTGGTAACATTCTCTTTGTGACTGGCTACAAGGAGGCTCCTTCACGCCTGGTACCTTTTCGTTTATTATTAGTTGCAAATCAACCAGGAAGCCTACAGTCTCGAACACACCCATTTAGTTCATCTAAAAAAAAATCCTTTGACGAACTCTTCTCAACAGCCTCCTACACCATTATCTTGTGCACTCTTAAATAATACTTGCATTTGATATAGCATCTTGTCACGTTGGAAGGACGTCTCAAGGTACTTCACAGGATTTACTGTGAAATGGAGTCACTGCATGTATGTATAGGCAAATGCGGCATCACAAAATTGCACACAGCCATGAAACGAATGACCAATTTTATATGGGGGACTTGTTGGCCAGGACACTGGGAGCACTGCCTTCTATTTTTGAATAGTGCCTCAAGATCTTTAATGTCCACCTGAAAGGGGACCTCAGTTTAACGCCTCACCTAAAAGACGGCAGCTCCGACAACGTAACACACCATCAGCATTGCACTGGAGTGTCAGCCTAGACTGTGAGTTCAGGGCCCGATGTGGAAAATAGAAAGGACTGTTCATTGTGCTGGTCATGCTTGTTGTGACTTGTAAAACTTTTTCTGTACACTGTACTCGTTTGTTGCGTCCGGTTGTTATTCCTACATATTGTAAAATTTCATAGATGCACCATACTTCTTTGGTAACTTACCTTGCCGTTTCAGCTCCACTGGTTATCAAGGTATTAATCAGAAGTTCATGCCCATATCTGGAAGCCACATGCAATGGGGTATTGCCGTCTATATCAACGCAGTCTATCTCACCACCTTCAAAAGGAAATGAGCAACATTTAAAAAAAATTATAATGGACAACAGAAAATATTCTTTATATGTTCAACAGTGTCTGCCAGATCAATGATCAGAGCTCCCCTGACTTCAAGACAGTAAATTTTTTCCATACTATTGAAAATACACAAGAAGGGACAAGAATATGAAGGGGCAAGTGGAGGAGGTGGGTGTCTAAGGAGGAGGAAGCAAATTCTGATGGGTGGAGGCTCATATGGAATATAAGCATCGGCACAGACAGGTTGGGCAGAATAGGCCTGTTTTGATGCTACAAGATTCCATGTAATATTGAAAACTGCTTTTATTTATTTCTCTGCAATACTTACATCAATTATACACCATTTACATAAAATAAATTTGCTAAAATGTGATGACCAATAGCAATTGTCCTCGTTTTTAATGAATGTCAAATTAGCCCATGCAACAGAAAAAAAAATATTTCAACACACCATTTTGAATGAGAGTTTGTGATCGTGTGAACCTTCCATGGACTGCGGTCATGTGTAATGGACTCTTGCCATCTTTACTCTGAAAAATAACAAATTTCATGGTCATTTTGGATATACGTTCAATTGGAAATGGTCTTAAATAACCACATAAACACAATACATGCAGATCTGGTGTTTAGCCCAAACTGAAAATATTCAGCAGGTCTGTTATTACAAGAAAGTTGCTAAAATCTGTGCATCAGCTTTGAAATCGACCAGGTTGCTACACACAACAAACCGACTGGGACCAAGCAGGTTTCCGTTATAACAAAAAATTACATTTATATTGCCTTTCACAATGTCCCAATTATAGATATAGACCCTTATAATTATATTGAATTACATTTATAAATTTAAATTCATAATTATATTAAATTATAAATTTAGATATGTTACAATAATCAATATTTATAATCACAATAATTAATAATTATAGTTTATAGACCCTTGTACTGGTCTATGTTTTGAATCCTTCAAGGAACTCCACAGTTAAGCAGAGTACCAGATACATTACAAGAGGCTATTTTTCTTAAGACAATGAGGATGCCAAGCCTCATCAAAGAATCTACCATGTGTTGAACTGGTTTTCGTCTTGTGCTGTGCCAAATGGTATCCCACATGGACTAGTCTGACCTAAAGTCAAGTTTGTATTTACAACTAAATAGTAGGTTGTTGTGTATGAGAAACATAACCTTTTACACATCTTTTTTATAGATAGATGCAATAGTTAATTATTTCAGCTGGGAAGGAAAAAGCACTGATTGACAGGGATGAGAGGTCATGAAAGATGCTGCTATTGTTAACACCATAAACATTTTGAAAAGGTAGAGGAAAATCAATGCATCAAACATTTTTCAATATTCCAAGCATTTATTTGGAAAGAAAGAGGAAGAAATAACAGCATTCAAAACAGCAAAATGATTTCCAAACATTTGTTTAGATCTCTTTTCAACCACAGAAAGTAAGTCAAATATTTATTATGAGGTCCAAGATATACAGTATTTTCAAGACGGCAAGGCAAACTACTCAAGTATGAGGAAGGTGAGTGAAAGACTACTAACATCACAAGTTTCCTCTGTTTATTTAAAGATTTGCTCCCAGATAAATGTACAATATTCTTCTCTCGCCCACCCTCCAGGAAGATAGGGCATGCAGAATACATAATCCCTGCATTTGATATGTATAACCTGGTCTCAAAACAGATTAAAGACGATTAGTTAGGCCATGGAATTCTAAGAAACCATGAGTTGAAAATTATTTTGAAAGTTAAAGTGGAGATTTGATATCTAGAGAGTTAAGCTTTGAATGAAAAATCTAAATGTATTTCTGGTTTGTCACCTATCAATACTAAATAAATCAATGAATTGACAAAAATAAATCATGTTCCCTTTGAAAAACAAGACACGAAAATGTAAAAATTTACCTGGAAGTTTACATCTGATCCATTATTCACTAATAGTTCAAGACACAAAGCACCATGAGTTGAAGCAGCAGCAAAGTGCAAAGGGGTGAATCCCTTATTGTTGGGCTGATTTACATTAGCACCATAGTCAATGAGTTCATTGACCACAGCATCTTGACCGTTGTAACAGGCAATGTGGAGTGCTGTATTTCCATAGGAATTTGGTTCATCAATCTGTCATTAGAAAATTCAACAGTTGTACAATTAAGTGAAGAGCAGCAAATCAATAGAATGTTCAACATAGTCAATATTAACAAACATAATAAAACACCATTTTAAACCTGCACTGCATTAACATTTGGAGACATTGTCTTATATGGGAGAGCAACATAAGTGTGCAATACAAAATCTATGAACAGAGTGATATTGGTTTCAATCAACTGTAAAAGCAAGATAGTGCACGAACAACAACAAATTGCATTTACGCCTTTCATGTCGGAAGGACATCCCAAGGTACTGAATGACACAAGCAGAGAAAGTCAGTCAAAACTACTGCCCTGCTGGTCACCGCAAGCACTGGTGAGCACAATTAAAGAGAGATAGCTTTGGAACATCTGAACACTTGCTGCATCTTAAAGCTTTATTCCCTACATGAAACTTAAAACTCTAATCCCCCCAAAAACCCAAATCAAATCCAGAAGGATTTGAAACTCGCTCTACGTATACCCTTCAACAAAACCAACACTTACTTCGACCGCAAGATTAATCAGGTGCTTCACCACACTAATCTTCCCATTGGATGCAGCTGCATGGAGTGGGGTGTAACCTTTTTTATCCTTGCAAGTAACTTCCGCTCCATGACTCACCAGCAAAGAAAGTAGTTCAACATGACCTGTGATACATTTAAAACATTGAGTGCCTTACACCAAATTCAAAATGCAACATCTCTGCACGTGGATTTGATAGAATAGACAATAATCCAATTTGCATTTATAAAGCAACCTTCATCTGGCTGACCTGGGGACAGGGCTCTGGTGCTGGGTGTTTGCCATGTACAGATATGGTGTTGGCATTGGCACATGTCCCACTCCAAATCCCCAAACTTTAAAAAAAATTATGTGTGTCTCAATCCACGACTGTTTGTGGGACACTCTGTGTGCAATTGGCTGCCACGTTTTGCCCACAAAATATAGTCAATTAACTTTACACCATACTCTGTGAAGCACATTGAGACGTCTCAACAATGTGATAAGGCACTATATCAAGTACAAGGATTATTATTATTAACACGAGCACAGAAATGCACACCCAATATACATTAATAAGCCTTCAGAAGCTTACAGATCGGAGCAAATATTGTGGTCTAAATTTCTACCACTGAATAATGCACACCACAATCAGATAGTTCCATGGACCAGTAGGACAGTTCCCAATCTCCTTTGTGCCTCTGCCAGAGAAAAAATAGAGCCTTTCATGCTTTGAGTTATAAGGAAATGTACCTTCTCAGACTGGGATGAACAGTTTATTATCTAAAAAAGCAATAGTACAGGGGACTAGTTTCCAAAAATATGCTGGGAGTGGGAAAGCAAATTTGATTGCAGAAACCTTTATAAGTTCATTTTAGCTTTATTATTGAAATTTCCTAAACTTTGACCTTCAAATAAAGATAGCACATAATTCACATGCATTTTGCATAAACATAATTGGTTTAAATATTCAAATAAGTATTTTGAAGAATATATTACTCACCCATATAAGCTGCCCAGTGCAAAGCTCTTCTATCCTTCTTATCAAAAGCATTAATATTGGCCCCTTTTGCTAATAGGAGATTTACCATCTGAAGAAGGGAGAAAGAAAAACATACACAAGTTTTAAAATTCAGCATTGCTACATCATTCAGAGTTCAATTTAAATGCTCAGAAAAAAATGTGCTTTCCAAAGTATCCGCTGAAGAAGTCGGTGTTACAAAAATGAGGAGTGAATGATGCTAATCAATTAAAAATATTATAAAATATTCAGAATGCATGAATGCACAGTATGTGCTGCGTGTGTATATATACATATACAAACACATAGAATTGAAGATGACATCTCATCCAAAGGATGGCACCAACTACAAATCAGTGCACTCTGAGCCCAGCACTATTTCCACTCAGTCAAAGATGACATTCTAAATCCTAACAATTGGCCTTGAACCCAGAATCTTCTGACTCAGAGACGAGCATTCTACTAACTGAGACAGGCTGACACCTAAATGACAGTTCATCACAATGCTCCCTGACATAAACTAAGTTTGCACACTGACAATTGTTTGACATACCTCTATATGCCCATTGAGTGCAGCATGGTGCAGGGCTGTCCTGCCCCCTCTGTCAGACACATTGACACTGCTAAGAAACGGAATTATAGCTTCTGCACAGTTTACAGCCTTGTTCGCAGCCGCTACATGCAGCGGTGTCTGCCAATTTTTGTCCCGCGCATTGACATCTGCAGAATGTTTTATCAAAATGTGGACAGCTTCCTAAAAGAATAGAAAAAATTATTAAACACATTGGTTTGCTAAAACTAAATAAACTTTTTTTATAAAAAGGAAAATTCATTTTCCTCACACATTGATCTGTGGCAAGCAAGTATTTATCTTAGGGTGCATTTCTAATTCTCTCCAGCAGCTCAATTTAAAACCTTCCTCTTCCAGCCAATAACGCATGCAAACAGGGTGAAATCTTGTCTCCAATTTGCAAAACATATGATGGCTCTCTCAACATAGCCACAGCTATGCACAGGTATATGCGTCATTTCTGCCACAATGTACTTCTCCACATAAAGACAAGTGTGGAGTGTATTGGCTAGAGCACTCGTCTCACAAGCGAGGTTGGGTTCTATTCCCAGACAGAGCGAAATGTTGGGCAAGTTTCCTTACTCCTCACGCCTCTCTTTACCTAGTAGTAAGTAGGAATCCGGTTGTTAGTCGATTAGAGGATCGCTTTTCCGGAAGTAATAATTCCTTCCAAAAAAAATATTAAATTGGTCACTCAATCCACGACTGTTTGTGGGACACTGCGGTGGGCAATTGGCTGCCATATTTCACCGACAATATACAGTCAATTCACTTTACAATATATTCTTTGTAGTGCTTTGAGACGTCTCGAAGACATGATAAGGTGCCATATCAAACACAAGAATTATTGTATCAATGGCTTTTTAAGAACTAGATTGCAGGTTTTATTAAGCCCCCACCCATCAAAAAACATGCTTAATATAACTGATACTTTTTCACTCCCAAACCCTCTTCACGTAGCAGACCGCTGTTCCATTATCTTTAATATTAAACATTCCAGTTTTCTCAAACCTACATTGTGCTGTTCCAAGACTGTTAGACATCATAATCAATTGTCAAATCTAACAGACAAAATAAAATGCATTATTCTGCTCACCTCTCTTTAGATGATTCTGTCGGTAACCAATACATCTGAAGCCCTTTCTAAAGTAGGTAAAAACTCCATTGGGAGCAACCAGTCTTAAAAAGCCAATTTAGATCAACCCCAAGAGTGACTGTTCATGGCAGATTTACTTCAATAACACAAGACAGAAAATTACTCGAGATAAATTTATATTCAGAAGCAAGTCAATTTCAAATAATTTCCCTTTAATTTCATCAGTGTTCAGTGCACATACCATGAATATTACATAAACCAAAGCATTAAGAAAAAAAAGTGCCACTGTAAGAAAATGATACAGCTACAAGGAAAAGCCAGCCTGTTAAAAAGAAACAATAATAATCCTTGTATTTAATATGGTGCCTTTCACATTGGGAGGACACCTCAAAGTGCTTTACAAGTCACAATTTACTGTGGAGAGTGCATTTTTATAGGCAAACACAGCAGCCAATTTGCACACAATCTCCCACAAACAGTCATGAATTGAATAACCTATTTTATTATTGGCCAGGGGACTTGGTGAAACTCCCTTTACATTTCAAACCATGCCATAGGATCCTTAACATCTTTAATATCCACTTGAAACGTAGACTGAACCTCTGTTTAATGTCTTGTTCAAAGGGCAACACCTCCAATATTCCAGTAGACCCTAGTCCTGTATTGGAGTGTCAGCTTGACTATGTGAGTTCAAATATGCTTGAACTCATAATCCTCTGACTCAGGGGGGAGAGTGTTACCGACTGAGCCAGGCTGACACCTTGTATACATGAGCATTTCCTGAATTTTAGGCTCCAATAAAACTTCCAAAAATACATCCTATCCTATGCAGATTAACTCAGCCATTCATTCAACAGTGCTTTACACTTGAAATAAAAGTAATTTCTTGTGGCTGGATACTCAGAAGTTTCCAACAGGGGCCAAAGTAAAGAAACAGTAGATGCAAATATTTAAATGACTAAAACGTTTTGTAATACTGTAGTTTCAAAACTATTAAACAGCATTTGTAGTTCAGATGTACAAACATCACAGCAACCAAAGCTTCATTACATTAAAGTCATTAAAAATCCCCCTTAAATCTATTTCACAAAAGTTATCTGAAGTAGATTGCTAAAATATCAGACGGTAAAACTTACTTCACTCCGTGAAGCGATGGCACGATGCAATGGGGTTAGCCACATACTATCTTTTGCATTAACACGGGCCCCTGAAAAATAAAAACAAGGTGAATAGTTTTATAGTGACATGACCAGTTCTGTTTCAAGCTGTTCCAAAATAAATATAGTGGCCCACTAAACTCTACCCTTTGAACTACAATCCTTTTCACAAGATCAATTAGGATGAAGAAGGCCCTTCAGCCCATTTGAACTCATTCTTCTCCATCACAGCATCAAGCTGTGTGTTTTTTTAATAAAATGAGTCTGTCATTCTTAACCCGTTTCAGTCATTAATAATATAATAATCCTTGCATTTGATATAGCGTCTTATCACGACTTCAAGACGTCTCAAAGTGCTTCACAGAATATACTGTAAACTGAATTGACTGTATATTTTGTGGGCGAAATACGGCAGCCAATTGCACATAGCTGTATTCCACAAACAGTCATGAATTTAGTGACCAATTTATTACTATTTTTTGGAAGGAATTATTACCCCCAGAAAAGCGATCCGCCAATCGAGAAACAACCTGGTTCCTACTTACTGCAAGGTAAACAGAGGCGTCTGGAGTAAGGAAACTTGCTTAAGGTTTCGCCCTGCCCGGGAATCGAACCCAGGTCCTTTGCTTGCGAGGCAAGTGCTCTAACCACTGAGCTACAGGACTGTGGGTTAACTGTCCTCTAGGAAAAAAAATACTTCCTGATGTCGCTCCTGAAAATGTCTTGGTGCATCGAGAAATATCCTATTTAAGATGTATACACCTCTATAATATTGCCTGTAAGATGACTTCTTTCAAGATTGAAAAAACATCAATAGATCTGGACAGATAATGCAAAGCTTCTAATACACAATCTAAGGATCTCAAATATAAAAGTATATAAAAGGCACTGCAATCAGTTGTCCAGACAAAGCCATTTTAAAGATTTGCTTCAATTAGTTTTGGATACACTGGTTTTCGAGAGCGCTTAACATCAGCTATTGGGTTCGGATGAATATATTTGACTGGATGTGGAAAACTCTGCTTCAATACTTTAGTTATTCACAAGCTGCACAAAACACATGGTGCCACTATAACCAAGCTATACGCAAATTGTTTCACAAGAAATGTATATCCAGCAACTAAATTTAGTTTAAATCGGAATTAATTCAGCAACTGTTTTGTTGGACCACAATTCAAATAGTGTTCCACAGCATAATGTACTCATACCGGCTACATCAGCATCTGCAAACTGGAAGACTGTAGATAAAGGCCCAGATAAAATGGAGTTTCACATCTGCTGAGTGTTAATTGTGAAGGGAAGAAAGCTGCAAAGTGCCCAGGGCAATTGATGAATACCATTGGCATAAGTAATAAAGGCTGGGGTATGGCACAGTTAGAATATTTTGTCTATGGACTGCCTGTAATATAACCTCTGGCTGCAAGCTCAGTCCTTTTTATGTATATGTGTTTGAAAGCATTTGTTATTAAAACATCTCCATGGGTGCAGACCGACCCCTGAAACACTAAGTAACGAACAGGATCCTTGGGAAAATTTCTACAATTCCATGGTGTTTGTCTCAATATTATGCAGTTAGAGGACCAGCAGCGAGAGAGGCAATAAGTGCTGAAAAACACAATTCTTTTTGAATCCTTTCACAATTTCATGAGAAAATCAAATGACATCCATCAATCACTTCCTGAATCTTTAATGAGCACAATATTTCTCGCATACACAATAAAGTAATATACTCTCATTGTTCAAATATACAAAAAAAATTAATTCAGCCTTGTTTGCTTCTTACTCAAGAACAGGTAGATATAACAGCAATGCTGCCTTGAAAAGGTTACCTGACAAGATGAGCAGCTCAATGATCTCAGCATCACCCAGAAAGGCAGCTGCATGCAATGGAGTCCGTTTCTCTGAATCCTATTAAAAAAAACTAAATACATTGAAACTCAAGGTAAAAGTACCATATTTTCTTCCAAAAGCGATCAACAAGTTTAGGGGAAAGCTAAGCGTTGGCTGGTATGCTACTTGACAACAGACTGCACCAACTATTCTGAACTATTCTGAACCAACAGCAAGACATCACTGCTCTGGGTTCATGGGTGAAATATGTATAGGATATCAAAATTGCATTTGCATCATTTGTTTAGGGATGGGCACACTTCTCTGTTGGACTTGCATTTACAGATTTGAAATAAAATGCAAAATAACAATTTGCATTTTCAGCTCTCGAGCTAGCATCCACACTGAATGGATTCAATTTAAAAATGGCATCCAATACGATGTACAATTCTGCTCTCCAAAAGCTGTGAAAAAAAATAAAGTTTGATTTCTGACGGTCTCTGATATTCATGAAAATATTTGAAAGAAAATCTGAAGGAGCCATTTTCTTTACTGATCCTGTTTCAAACAAACCATCAACCGTCTTACTCAAAATTAGTCACAGTTCAGAGTTTTATTTAAAGTGCAAAGTTGTGACAAGAACAGTGAACATCAAGCAGCATGGAAGCCTGAGGAGGTGGGAGCCCTGTTAAATTTCATTACAGATTTCTCAGTCAGTCTTTAGGTTTGAATGCATCATCTATATTAGCTAACCTCAATATGAATTTGCAACATAGAAATCAAATCCTATTCTCTATGTAAGAGAATATAGAATCCATAGACCATATGTTACAAATTCCTTATGAAAAGGCTGGAACAATAGAAGCAGAATTGAACTTAAAATAATTATCAATATCAAAAGTAAACAAGAGGAAGATTTAAACAAAAATATTTCAATTGATCTACAATGTAAGATAAACCAGACTAAAATTGCCTGACAACTCTCGACTGTGATCAACATTGTAACAACAACTTTAAAAGGAGAATGTTAAAAGGCTTTCCTTTGGAATTAAAACACTATTAAATGATATTTTCTTTGACTAGAAATTTACGTTTGTGTAATCTACACATACAAATTAATTTGTATACTCTGTATTTATAATAGTTACAATCTTTGTTCCATAAAACCTCTTGGTTAATAAGTAATAGGCCTATATTCTGTTTTACGAGGTTTGGAGTTTGTATTAAAATTGTAGATTTAACTTGAAACTCCCAACAATATCATGCTTTAAATTAAACTGCCATGTTTACACTTCATCAAATGAATCAAACAAACAGCACTTTGCAACAAAATTCTCAGTAATATAACATCTGCAAGAACAGAGTCTAATAAATATCTATTAGGTAAAGCATTATATACAAGAATCTACATGGAGGCTGGAGTACAATGATACCCTATATTGTGATGAATAGGCTTATTCATCTGGCCCAAAAGTCAGATCCATTTAGAAGTCATTGCAAATGAGTCTGAAGTAGAATGAACGTCCCGCGGCACGGAGAGAAGTCCAATCTCAATAAGTATAGCATTTGGCAAACTATTCTTGGAACGCATAATAAATACCATCCAAGAGCCAATGAGCAACTTCACAGGCCTGCCAAAGAATCATTGGATTTGTGAGCCTCAAAACATTTTTAGTCAGCTAAAGTTTACCATCTAAAGTTACCAAGACCCAGTTTTCAGTCTTCCACGTACAAGGGAACCTGTTACAACTCAATTCTCTGGGTCCAGTAGCTTAGAGGCTGCATTATAAGCCAAGTGTAAAAATATGGCTGATTTAGGGGTCATCAGATCATCGCTGATATCATTTTGTAAGTGTTGTGCTCATGCAACTCATCACTGATCAGTTTTTGTACACTCAATATGCTGAGCAGCTTTACAATCATAATTTCCTTCACAAGCGAGGTCAGTGGGGCTTCCTGACTATCATAGAGGTGCGCATCACACAAGAAGTGATGCAAGGGTCAGTTCCTGCACAGTCATTCGCAGGAAATGACAAACTTACCTCACACAGTGCACAACATGCAGAAACAAACATCAACGTCAAGCTAACAACTTGGATTTTCAATGACAAAAGCTTCCGGTTAGCATAGGATACCAGTGCTATAGCAAAATGCATTGATAATGGGGTTCCTCTGTATATTTATTCAATAAAGAGGTACGTGTAATTTAGGTGATCTGAACTTACCAAAGCATTGACATCTTCGGTTTTATAAATTAGCATCCGCACTTCATCAGGATTACCATTAAATATTGCCTGAACCAACAGAGGCTGGAAAAAAAAAGAAAATACGTTTACATAAAATTTACATAGAACTATATATGCCCCATGGAATCTGTTCCAGTGTTTATACTCAACAGCCTCCACCACCTCCTAATCCCGTTTTATATCCTTCCCTTTTGAAATTATCCTACAGTTCAGTATTTAACAAACATACACTGAAAAAAAATAAATACTGGTAAATTAAAATTCAGAAAGTTACCAAGAGGTTAGTTAAAGGTTGACAATACATGATCATACTTGCAGTAAATAATACAGCATATCCTGAACCCTAGTACATATGTTAGGTTAATTTAACAATTCAAAAAAATAAAATACTAATCCTTATATTTGATATAACAACAACAAAATGATATTTGTATAGAGCCTTTCACGTCGGGAGGACGTCCCAAGGTGCTGGACCTACCGAGTTTTGGACCCGAGCTGGGGATTGGGCAGGGTGGGGGAAGCAGGGAGATCGAAAGCACGGTCGAAGAGGAGGATCTTTGGATGGGTCTTGAAGGAGGCAAGGGAGGGGGCGAGGCGGAGGGACTGCGGGATGGGAGTCAGGCGATGTTGCGGAGGTGGGGGACGGCAGAGCGGGTCATTGCGCAGATGTGGGGTAGAAAGGATAGTTGAGGGTCAAACAAGACGCCAAAGTTCCCGACTGGCTTAGCAAGGTTGAGTGTGCAACCATGGATGGTGATGCTATCAGCACCTGAGATGAGGAGGTTCTGACAGGAGCCAATCAGGAGGGCCTCGGTCTTGTTGACTTTCAATTGAAAAAAATTAGCTCTCATCCAAGTTTTGATGTCCAACAGGCATTCTGGAGGGAGGGATGGGTAGGAGCCAGAATGGGAGAGGGAGATGGGAAGGGGGTAGCAGATGGAATGACAAGAGGCAGCTGAGTGGAGTCCCTCGACTTTGGATTCAAGGAAGTCCAGCATCGCCTTGCAGTTGGCATTTGAGATGAGGATGGTCGAGGTGTAAGAGGGTGGGCGGAGGAGCCGCTTCGTGATAGAGAAGAGGAGCCTCCAAGATTGTCTTGGAGTAAAATGACGATTCAGTGGAGGCGGAATGAGGGAGGGGTTAAGGGAGATGAAGTGATGGTCCGAGATCATTTTCTCGATGATGGTGAGGTCCGAGAGATCACCAGGTTGAGGGGGTGATCGCGGACATGGGTGGTGGAGTGGATGTGGAGGGAAAGGTCGAGAGAGGAGATAAGGAAGCAAATGTATGCAGATATAGTGCCTTTCATGTTGGGAAAACGTCTCATATAGTGCTTCACAAGATGTATGAACCACGTGTAATGCCTACTTTGCAGATGAACACAGCACATCTCAAGCACTGCACTAGGGAGTGAGCTGAGATGACCTACATTACAGTATATTAAAGGTGAGATGTCTTTTTAATTCTAGAAGTTTATAGTTGTGTACATATTTATAACAACATTCAAATTTAATGTCAATGTAAAACCAAAGTTGAAACTTAACATTTCTAGTGGTGAATAATTCTGTCGGTAGGATATGAGGCCTTGTACCAGCAATTTCTCCACTCAATGAGATTCCAATGTCAGTGATGCCGTCATGGGAAAACAGAAGTAATGTCATTCCACACAGCAATACATAACATTTGGAGTATTTGGAGAATTATCAGTAAATGGAATAGTTCTAAGTGCTAATTGTTCCAGCTTCACTATTTTTGGATGCTCATAGAATTTTCTTTTGTAATGAATCAGTCATTTAATGAAACTCTATAGGGGTTTACATTCTCTGTGTTGGGTGGACAAGGAGGGAAACATTTAATTGGTCTCTAGCACTCTGATCCACTTTCAAGTGACCAGTTGAGATGTGTCCTTCGTAAAAATCTAATTGTGGGTTCTGTTTCCGCAACAGGATATAGAATGGGAGTAGGAGGGATGAAGGCAGATATGTATTAAAATACCTAACAGCTATTTCTCATTAATGTGAAAACAAATTTAATGGTATATAAGAAAGTTTAACATTTCTCACAAAATATTGCTCCTCACCAACAATCAATACCTAGTTTGTGCAATCAATTAATCTCAAAAGCACTACTGGGATATTCAGCAAACTACAGACTGATTAATGGCTTCAAGGTAAGCACAGTATAGTGAATGATGAGTTATTTTTCAATTAAGGAAATGAATTATTGGAGGTGGACATACATAGCAATATCTAGAACTCCTCTCTTCCTCTCCCCCCCATCCCAAAACACCAGACAGAAAAATGTAATTAGCACCATGGTATATTTTGAATACAATTAATCCCGATCTTCATTCATACAAATAACTGCATTAGACAGCGTTCGTCTTTGCGCATACACAGACATCTCGTAAAACTGTTCAACTACGGTATTCAATGCAATGGACAAAACAAAACATATAACATAATAGTCGCAAAATCTTTAGAAAATAGAAGGCAGAACAAATCTGTTCAGAAAACGTCTGCATTCAGAACTATTATAGTAAGCATATACAATCAGAACCATCAGAGAAAATCCATACATTCAAAACCATTTTTGAATTGCTTGAGTGTTCCTACTCAGAAGATGATTACTGACTCAAAGGCATAAGTTACAGTTCCCACCATTCATAAATTACTCGAAGAAGTTTGTGTAAGACTGTAAAAAAAATTGGAGATGAATAATAAGGATATAATAGGATTCAAAAAGATCTAGCCCAATTAAGCAGATGGGTCATTGAGTGGCAAGTGAAGTTTAATGTAGACAAATCATTGCAGTTTGAATTAAACAGTAAACCTGTGTACAAAACGTGGGTTATCCATTAGCAAAGATGCAGTAGGAAAATAACTGGATGGAATGATTAAAGGTTTCCAGAATGGAACAACAACGTATATTTGTCTACCACCCTTCCCATAGAGTAACATCTCGGAGTGCTTTATAGGGACAGGGATTATACACCAAGTAAGGGAGAGGGTATAATCCACAACTCTTTCAGAGAGCTGGCGCATGCATGTTGGGCTGAGAGACTTTTATGCTGTAGAATTCAATGATTCCAAGTACTGTAATGCTTCTCAAACCAGCTGAGCTACCTGGGACGTTACCAATATAGATAAACAAATGCTACGAAGGACAATACTTTCTGTGTTGCTGGTAGGGAGGGAAAGAAAAGGAATGTTATCTGCAGAAGCAACAATGCTAGGCTTTGATGTAAAAGATGTGAATATGGATGAATATTCTGGGATGTGGAGTCCTGTAGCTCAGTGGTTAGAGCACTTGCTTTGCAAGTGAGAGAGCTGAGATCAATTCCAGGCAGGGCGAAACCTTGGGCACGTTTCCTTACTCCACACACCTAATAATAATCCCTCCAAAAAACAAAACAATAATTGGTCATTTTCAATCCATGACTGTTTGTGGGACATTGCTGTGCGCAATTGGCTGCCGCGTTCGCCCACAAATATACAGTCAATTCACTTTACAGTATATTCTGTGAAGCGCTTTGGGACGTCTAGAAGACATGAAAAGCGCTATATCAAATCCAAATGCAAGGATTATTATTATTATGTGAGGTACTTAATGTGCATATTAATAAATACGGGGGTGGGGGTATAGATCCATTATCTATGGAAATGAAATATATATGGAGAACATCTCTAGGAGGTTGAATAGTGAAACCCACATAAAGTATAAATTTGGTGTAGTCTGTGGAGGGGTTTGCATAATGAGATTAATATCCTTTCCATTTCATGTGTTTTTTCTAAAACATTCAGAATCAAATCACCTTTTGCTTCAATTGAAGTCTCTGCTAAAGCAAATAACCTGCACTACTAATCTATGCCTCTTTGGCCCCAAAAAGAACCCCCCCCTGGAGCCAGCAAAGCATTAAGACTTAGCATCTGAGGGAATAAAACAGATCATATCAGGAGACCATCCCTGTTTACACAGCCTGAGAATTCATAAATATTGGCACAATGGCCACTCACATAAACTACCAAAAATAGTACGTATGACAACTAGTTTCATTGGGTACGTTGTTTACGTAAATGCTTTTGTTTGCATGTTTTTTACTGAATTCTCCTTCCGCTTTTTCAAAGAGTCTGGCACACATCCAGCTGAAAGAAACCAATTAGCCCAACACTCTGCACAAACTTGCAGATATTAACATCATTTTACCTACGAAGCCTTCAGAAGGTTTAATAAAATCTGTTTGTTTATTTTAAACTTAGGCTTTGCAGATTTTTTACTCGAGCTTCAAAAATGTTATTACTGCAGTTAAGATTTGCTGTGCTTCGATCCACTGTGTAACAGAAAGAGGAGGGAAGTTTGGTGTCTCAGTATTGTAAAACCAGGGTTATGATAGGGTTAGCAGCTGTGCTGACCAGGGCTTTATTGAAAAATGGTACATTCCATTTTATTGAAAAAAGCATTCCTACAATAATAATAATACAAGCAATACTTATAGAAATAAATACTTAGACCTGCACTGAAATGCTATTAAACATTGAGGAGCTACCTATCTATCTACCAAGACAGAAAAGTAAAAACTAAAACGTTCAAATGCCTTTCTTCATCTGCCTCTCAGGTATATGCTTCAATAAAAAGCTATATATACATTCAGAAAATTGAATACACTTGAAATCATAATACAAATTGAATTTGATTCACAGTTTAAAGGAATTTTTTTCTTCTTAGCTCAGTAAGTCAAGTATCAAACACTTCACTGCATTTAACACATTTAGTTTTTTTAAAATCAGAATTACAAGCATCTACATGAAACAGTGGTGGATCAGAGAGGGACCTTAGATTAGGTCTATAACCCTGACATCTTAATTACTGGCTAGATTTTGAAAGTTATTTAAAAGATCTGAAATGACAAACAAGGTTTTCCACTCAGCACTTGTAGTTCAGATAAACAATTTAATGTTCATGACTCAATGCTATAGTGTGCTATTCCTGTTGGTGGTTTTAGGCCAACACTCCTAGTTCATTAAGGACAGATTAGTTGATGGAAAACCTCCTACTAAATGCCG